GAAATTTACTGATAAATAAATGCGATTGTGCGGCAAATTGTGCAACGCTCCGAATGCAAAATTGTCGACAAGCTCTTCTCTCGTAGTTACTTATAGTATAAAATAAAGGAAAGAAAACATCAAGATGAAAACTGTATTTAAAAGGGGACTATTTATAAGTCGGTGGCCAACTAAATAGTCACATTGTCAGCACAGTGCACTGCAGTGCAAGGGGGCGGACCACACGGCGTATACGCAATGCGCTGCGGCTGAGCCTCAGCTCAAGTCAACTGAGTTGTTAAATTAATTTTTTCTGCATGCCACCAAATGCATATATAAAATTCATAAAATAAATGCAAAATAAAGAAACAGAGCGACGGCGCTCTGTCAATCAACCTGCTATGGCTGACTCGCAGTCTTCGGTCTTCAGTAGGATGAAGAGCAGCCGCTTGCCAAGACCCCAAGATTTATGGGAACAAGCCACGCAGTTGAAAATGCACTCGCACATATTGTATAGTTAAAGAAAAAAGGAAATCCAATTTGCCATGCATTTTTATACCCTCTCGAAAAGTAAGGACCCAATCACCCCAAAAGTATTCAAATAATTTGTTTACCTATTTTATTATTATGACCTTAGACTAAAATAGAGAAAGTTTTTAAAGTAAAAAACTGGGATAAAGCAATACTCATTTTGTTATTATTTCTAAAACAATAATAATATATAACATTATGTAATAAAAATCACTTATAATATAGTTGTTCCCTCGAAGAGTATTTAATTTTCGAATTAATTATTAATTTGTCGAATTTAGCACGATGTCTGTTTTTGGGCGAATCCCCCATGATCCGGATGATCCAATCAAACACCAAAACCACAGTCACATGAAATATTGCCCTCAATATCAAAAACATCATTTCATGCCAAATTTATATTCAATTTGGGATCCGAACGAACTAAAAATACATATCCAAATTGGCAGCCATTTTGATAATTTCTTGTTTATTTGTATTTTGTTTTATATTTTATTCGGTTGCAGTTAATGCTGTGAATGTTCAGACAAATACTCAGAGTTTTCTGCGATTTAATACGATTTAGTGGACCATTTTCATAGGACGCTTCGCTTAGTGTGAAAACGTGTTAATTGACAGCCTCCGCCGGCGCGCTTATTAATTAAAAGAAATTCGAATTGGCTTTTTTCTTGTTTTCTACAAATAACCAGCGTCTCTATAGGCGTGATAAGTATTATTGTCATCGTTTGGAGCTCGCTGAAATTTCGCCTATGCGTTTCAAATCAAATGTCATATAAATCATACAATGTATTTTTTATGATCGCATTAAGCGGATGTCTTATCAATGCGAGATGTTTGAATTTGTTAAATTCAATTAGGCGGCAAATAAGTTCATTGCCTCTCGACATTTGACATCAAAGATGTTCCCCGTCGACGTTCTCTGTTATTCTTAAATAATCACAGAGTGATCGAAGTATTTTATTTATTGCAATTATTAGTTGCAACTTATCAATCAGACAGACAAGTAGGAAGACGACTATCGCCGCTGTATATAGCATACATATATATATTGTAATTATGTAAATGGTTTGTGAACTGATAAGATTGAAGTGCATTTCTTGAGTGACAAAATCTCAAGTAAAATGCGCATGGAGATTACAGTAAAAACTTTTGGTAAGGATTTAGATCGATCGGCTTGGAATTTCAAGTTTATTACCAATTTACAATACAATATCCTTAGGTTATTTTTCTTAATTGCTCTAGTCACATGAAGTTATTTTCAATGGCCCTATCTATAGTGATTTAAAAGGTAGTTTTTCATAGAATATAAAATATTTGTTTTTAATCATCAGATTCTTGACTGTATCCACACATTCACACAAGTTGACATGTTGTTTTGACTGACGCTCTACGCTCCGTCCATTTTGTTTAGCAAAAAATATTATTTTTAATTAGTTCTACTTAGTTAGCATTCGTTAATTGCTCCTGTAATTGGATTTACCCGCATCAGTGGGTTTCGAGAATATACTTTAATGATATTTTAATAATTTATAACAACTAAAATACAGAAAAATAACTTAAGCTGCAATATGCACGATTTTAATTGCCGTCGGCACTGCTTTTGAAAAAGTGTTGAAAAATTTCCATGGAAAGAAGATCGAGAAGGAGAGAAACTCCGGCAGGCATCCGCACATTAAAACCGACATTTCTTTCTGGATTGCATTTGTAATTTGCTCGGAACAGTGGTCGCCATTGTATTCGGCAATTTCCCAGAATTTATGAATTATAATTTTGCCATATAGACAATTTTAATTGAGCTTTTTATGGGACGTATGGTTCCTGAAAGCGAGAGCTGCCGGGAAAAGCATATTGTTACTATTTTATTGGTAAAAATTTAATAAATATTCAACAAGGAAATGAAAGGAAAGTAGAAGGAAGGGTTATATAATACCCCAAATAAAATGCTTAGTTTTTAGCCCATTTCTTTTATTGCTCTATTTCTAGTTCAGAGTTTACCCGAAGGATGAAAAAAAAAATTCGATAAAATTAATTTTTTAAATAAGATAGAAATATATATATATATATATATATTTTATACAGATGTTTTTTTTCTCTCGACTTCCTGATCTCGAGCCAAGCGTGACCTACCCGTAAAGGTGTATGATTTCAAAGCAAACACAGCCATTTGTAAGCCATTTGTACCGACAACACAGATATAAAACCGTCTGCTACTGGATTCTAATCCGAATCCGTTTCCAATTTCCGCCCTCGGGAGTCCTAAGAGGACCTTGGCTCGAGGAGGTTTTGAGGGAGACTCAAAAATCCATGGGCAAATATTGACTGAAAAAGGCAGGGCAGCAGCTAGATGGTTTCAGGGTTTCAGACTTTATGATTTTTTAAGCTGTTTGCGCGACCTCTTCACGAATCCATAGCTGTTTGCATTTCATTAACAGAAGCTGCTGCTGCTCTCGGCTCGGATCGGATCCGGGCCCTGATCTGTCCAGCATCCCGACGTGTTTGCCTTGATTAAATCTGGCTAGTACGACTAGCGGAAAGTAGCAGGGGATCTGATCCTTTCCTGCAAAGTGGCCCAGTGGGCAAATCGCATTTTGTGCGTAGCTTGAAATGAAATAAACAGAATTTAGCCCCTCAGCGCGCCTAAACGTTTCTGGCCAAGAGCCTGACCTGCTAGCTGGCGGGCAAACAAACAAGAGAATAAACACAGAACCCGACGGCGACCTGGCTTGCACCTTCCCGAACTGCTCCTCTGATCGTGACCGACACCAGAGGAGTACCTGTGCCCACCTCCAGTCCCGTCTCAACGACGGTGGCATGTTTGCACCTTTAATAAGACCAACAATCAGTGCCGACTTAGCTCATCGCCCAAGTAGCCGGGTCAATGTTGCACTTGTGAACCCTCCAAAAAGGGGCTTAAGCCTAGAGCACACACTGGAAGAAAATGCAGCTTCCCTTAGAGAGTTATCGTCAAACTTTATAGTCATGTTTCTTATATTCTTTGATATCTTGGTGATCGGACAGGACTAAATGTTGTCACCTAGTAATGCTGTTCCAGAATTTCGAGCCCTACAAAATGTTTGTGGTCTTGACTCATCTCATCTCATTTCCGTCGGTTCCTCTGTGCCTCTCTAATAGGAAATACGTGACTAATTTGCATGTACTCCCGAGTAGTATTTAATTCTGGCCGGATGTCGATCGGCGGCCATAAATCACAAGCGAATAAGCTTACTCACAACTTGAACGAAGACGACTGCTAGTCGGAGAGCTCTCTCCAATCGGACATCAAGTTCAGTACCAGATAGTATAGATAGATTCAATTAATTTCCCAATTTTTCGGTCAGGCAAAGGTTCGATTCATATCAGAACAGCATAACTCACACATATCATAATTAAACCCGCAAGTGCTCAACTTTGGCCGCCATTAATCTTTGGTAATTGCCCAAATTTGATGTCATGCGTATTTGAAAAACCATTAAAGCGGGCAAGCCATCGCCGATAGATCCAAAATGAAGGAGAAAATAGGCAACAGAGATACGAGGCCACAGCATCCAGGCATTGCGACAACTTAGGAATATTTGTTGAGACAAATTTATTGACGTTTAGCGCAAAAGTCAAGCACTGGTAGATAATGTTCTCGAAGGGAAACCAACAAATTGCAGCCATCATTGGGAAAATACTTTGAATTTTTTACACTCCGTGCGCAGAGTATCAAAATGAGAGAAATGAAACAAGACATGTTGTCACGACTAAGCGATACTCTCCCAACAAAATATAATCTTTTACCCGAAAATATAGCTTGTCATGGAAAATAAAGGCTACAATGATATAACCCAGAAGTGAGTGATCAGACTTTCTTTAACAAACAACAGACATTAAGGTTTACATTTCTTTTTACATTTATTTTTTTTATTTGAATTAAAAGTATTAAGTTTAGACCACAAATGTTTAAGCAAGTTAGAGAGTAATCGTGTATCAATTTTAAATAAAAATTTGTATGTACAACTCCCTCACTCGAGATCGCGTATTTGTCGTCTCCATGATCTTTGACTTTACTTCTGGCTTTCCTTCATGGCGCTGGATACTTCGTTTTTCTTCCCGCTCTCCCTCTGTTTGTAACTCAATTCGTAAATAATTAACGATCACGAGATTACAAATGTCAAACAGAATGTCAAGCGCCCTGTCGAGGGGAGCAATAGGCTCCTTTCCCTACACGGCGACACAACTGCTCAAAGACCGAACAGACGAAAAAACCACCGACTTGGCCCCGGAATGAATGTGGATGTGGATGTGGATGTCAGATTTTTCCTGGCCACCGTACTCACTGCGTGTGGGTCTGCGGCGAGTGCCAGCCGATTTGTTGTGACTTATGTCAAGACAATTGCAGTTCCAGACCTGAGGATACTTGCTTCCCGGGATCCGCTCAGACTTATGGTTTAAGCGGAATAAACTTGGATTTTATTCGAGGTGCAAACTATCGTATACCAAATCCCATCTAGAAGCTGTTACCGCATGGTTTTATTATACATATAAAAGGAGCTACTAATACTAGGAGCAATTTTTGAAGCTTCAGGTAATGGAGATTGTTAGCTACTGGAGGGAGCTGCCGGAGACCCAGTCGTAGCTGGATTTTGAGGGGTAGAGGGAACTGCCGTAGCTGGATTTTGAGGGGTAGGAGGAACTGCTGTAGCTGCATTTGGAGCGGTAGAAGAAACTGCTGGAGGTGGATTTGGAGCGCCAGGAGAAACAGGTGGAGGTGAAGCGGGAGGAGGAACTGATGCAGTGCCAGCAGGAGCAGTTGTTCCTGGGTCTACATTAGCTGTTGTAGATCCTGGAGCTGCTCCACCTGCTGGAACTGGTTGAACCAAAACCGTACAGTTGCTACAGACCACTGCAAGGAGAAATCTTAAAACACAAATTCAAATAGAAATATACCCTTAACATACAGATTTTTTCGGTGCCTTCATCGCTGTCGCTGTCAAATAGCCAGTCATCAAAGTAAGAATACCAATCTGAAGTGTCTCGCTTCTAAAAAGTTTAGTTTAATTTTATATTACTAAAAGTTATAGATAAACTACATTATACGACTTACACTGACAGCAGCCTTCGGCAGATTCTTAGCTTGTGTGCCCAGGAAACTGAGTGCAAGGCAGCAGCAGGCTAGCGCGACGAATAAATCCCTTCTGAACGACATTTCGAATCGGACTGACTGGAGTGTCTGGGAAGCAGGCTTATATAAAGCCTAAAACTCAATGTATGTACATATCTACCTAGTATACCTGTAATATTCAGGGTTATTGGGTAGTTGTTAAGATGAATGGAAGGGTAATCAGGAATCTCATGGAGGGGTTAGGACATGGAGGTATCACACTTCAGGCATGGTGTTTTCTTGATAATATAATGGGTGGAAATTAACAATCCCCAAATACAAGCGCCAAATTCAATTCTATTAGTTCATCTTTGAATTGTAGATTATCAAAGCATTATTTACCCATTATTTCCACCGAACCCATACGGTATCCCTCAGTCGTACACCTTGTCTGACATAGCACACCCTCAACTATTACGATCACCTTTTATGGACGGAGATACCCATGCTGATTCCGTATATTCCGCACAGTTTTTTCAGTATTTATGCAGCTGCACGTTCTCTGTCTGGGGGTTTGGGAACGACCCCGAGTGCAAGTGCTGCTCATATAGATCAAACTGCAATTGACAAGTGCGCAAATCCATAACCATAAACTATGTACACGAAATTCGAGACTGGCTGGGCATCATTAGCTGGATCAGCTGAGGGTCGGGAGTCGGCGGCAACAAGTGGGATTTGAAATCCGATATCTCCCGGCGGCCCAACGAACTTATAAGTCGCGAAGTGCCCTTCTGAATGGAAAGCCATCGAAACGACGTTGATATACTCCACTTCCACTACCACTCCCACTTCCAATCCCACTCCCTCTCCCTCCGTGTGCCCCTGCTGAAATGTGCAGCTCCTTTGTCCCGTTCCTTCCTGATTTCTTGGGTAACCCGGGAGCTCCTCTATTTTATGGCGCTGCATGCTCTGGAGTACGTGTTGCCCTCGAAGTTGCAGTTGTGAAACACGACGATTCGAAATTAGAAGACGGCGCAGATGTGCAACATTTCCCCCGACTACCCATAATTGTAATGGACTGGACTGGCACTTCCAGACGATAGGGAGGAGAGCGCTCGTTCCGGCGGCAGGTGCCTCCAGATAAGGGCCTTCCCATTCACCACCTAAAAATGACCAGTCTTAATAGTAAGTTCAGTAAGTTTGCCTTTGTTTGCCTTGCTTTGTTGGCCACGAAATAATAGTTTTCAGACACAAAGCTCTCCATTGATCCCTTCTATATTTGTTTGTTATTTTACCAGTATAACTGGTTGATGTTTTAGTAATAATAGAGAGTGTATAAGCTAAATAGTAGTTAATTATGCAACAATTAATTTTACGGGGACTCCATATGACAATAGAATAAGTGTTGCGCATTCTTTTGTGTATAATTTCATTTATTTTACTCTTATTGCAGTAAGTGAATTACCATAATAATTTAAGAGTATTGTTATAAAAAGTAAATATCGTAAAAGCTTCTTTTCTATTCCTCCAACTATTCCCGTCTCAATTTCTCGGCCAAATCCATTTCGTTTACAATGGTTACCACCGAAAAAGCAAACTTAGCCATCTGAGCAAATACACAAATCAATTTAATAATTAATTTTAATAATTTTCCTCCGCGGAAACCTACCTTTATGTTGGTGTTCAAGCAAATGGGGAATATGCCGCCGGCCGTGAACAGAATCGACTGTTGGGCATTGTGTATAAAGTACAGCATCGTGGTTCTATATCGTCGCTCTGCCCCAAGCCAGCGGGAATGGAATAATGTGTTGGTCAGGGAGTCGCAGTCACTGCTCACCTGCTCGCAGACATAGCAAAAGGGAAAGGTCTGGGACAGAATGGCCACGGTGTAGGTTCCCGATACCAAGCGCTCCATGGTGGTGTTGTAGAACTGCATGGACACCGCAGCTAGGCCTAGAAGGAGTCCCACGGATAGCAACTGGATGAACATGGTGGCCGAAATCAAGGGTCGCAGGGTATTTCCGTACCTAGAGGGGAATAGAGGGGGATTTATTTACTTGTGGTAATAGTATTAAATACATATAAGAATTAATAAATTATATTTTGAGAAAACCTTGCATACTTATAGGCAGCTCAAGATAGGGAGTTTTCCTGAGAGACTCGACACTTTCTCCATTACAAATTTTCTTACTCAACAATCAGCTTGTGGTCCTTCACGCACTCCACTAGCTCCGCATAGTGCTGATCCTCGTCCTTATTCGCATCCGATCTCAGCTCCTCGATCCTTTTGCTCAGTAGCCCCATATGGGCCCTCAAGACGACCACATAAATGATCGGATAGACGTCTAAAATGAGGTTTGCCATTATAATGCCCGCCATGGTGACTGCCTCAATCGTAATGGCCACGTAGAAATGGTCGTTGGCGTTTACCAGAGGATTGTACACGCAGAACGGGGACTTCCGTATGATCAGTGCTCCGATCACCGCAATGGTTAGGTATCCGAAGTATATACCGTGGTAGATGATCACGACGCGGTTGCACAGGGCTGCCGCCCGATGCACCTGGTTCTTCTCCTCCATCTTGATGCAGCGGCTGTCCATGACATCCATCATCTTCTGGGCCTTGGCGAACCTGGCCCGCATAAACAGCACGATAATACTCTTCATGATGGAGGCATTCGTGTTAACCGGAACCTGGACGTAAGTGAAAAGGTCCGTGGTCGTAAAGTTCTTGAACTCCTTTATCCCGGTCATTATCAGGCCATAGGGAATGAAGATAAAGACGAAGATGAGGACTACGAGGGTCCAAAGGTAATACAGCCACCAGTTCTTGGCGGTCCTTGGCGGAAGCCTCCATCCCATTTGGTCTATGCATCGATTAAAGTAAATTAGAGCGTCTCGGGAGCGAAGCAGGGCATCCAGGGTCGGCTCTTGGATGTACTTGAAAATCATGTTTGATTTAAATAGATTCTCCCTTTCTTACACTTTCTGTTTAGTATTAATCTCGCGACTGAGGGCACTTCTTGAGAAACCTGTGGTTTATACAGACTTTCTAATAGAGCAATTCGTACTTAAATATTTATAAAACAAAGTAATTGTCAATTAGTCGAGGGGCTTAATTTTAGGGTAGATATATTTCTGGGGGCGTGGCTGTTAGGGGAAATGTCTCAATTGCTCTCAGCTCAATTCTAGGTCATTGTTCGAACAGGTTTTTGTCATATTGTCGCCTTCTCAGGGCTATTTTAATTGCTGTGTTTATGGTTTTTGGCTCTGGGGGTACGGAGATGAGAGGTAACAAGGAACGCTGTTAAAAGAGACCTATAATAACTCCGCTAAAAGTAAGTTGGGAAAAATATATTAAGTCTCTTTTAACTACAATATTTAGTATTTTATGGTTTATGAATAACTTTAGTACTCACCCATATGCACCTATCCCTAGGTGGGGCTTCCGACAGCGCCTAAGGGGAAATCTTTGCGTCATCGCTCAAAGTGCATTTCCGCACGTTCCGGGCATTCAAATTGTGTTTTCATCCCAACAGTACCAGCAATCTCCCAGCCGAGGCATCCGCAATTCTGAGAAGCAAATGGTAGCGATTTTCAGTTGAACAAACGGACCCCGATCCGCCTCCACAGCTCCCTCGCCGCTCAGTCCATTCGCCACTGAAACTAATTAGACGCAAATGTGCTTATGTTCGGCTTTCGTTCCCATTGTGCCCATCCAGTGGGCACCGCTCTTTGTTTATTGCTACCCTGTACTGGTTATAGGGAATGTATTTTTTAGAGGATATTATATATATTTGCAACATTTCAGCATATATACTTGATTTTCTAGATATTTAAATGGAATTTAAAACTATTAAATAGCCGCCATTCGATTCAAAATAAGCATTACATATTTTTGAGGGCTCCAAATTTAAAAAATCAATCCTGAGAAAAACTAATTATTGAATTTATTTAATACCCCCTATTTGATACCTATTCCTTCTTCTTGAGAACTCTGGCTAATGCTAATGCGGAACCCCCTCTCTTTTTGCAGAGTCTCAGTGTCCGCAGTACGGCGAGGTGAACCAGCTGGGCGGCGTCTTCGTCAACGGTCGCCCGCTGCCGAATGCGACGCGGATGCGAATCGTGGAGTTGGCCCGTCTGGGCATCCGGCCCTGCGACATCTCCCGCCAGCTGAGGGTGAGCCACGGCTGCGTATCGAAGATCCTGGCCAGGTACCACGAAACGGGCTCAATACTCCCGGGGGCTATTGGTGGATCTAAGCCGCGTGTGACGACACCCAAGGTGGTCAATTACATTAGGGAGCTGAAGCAGCGAGATCCCGGCATATTCGCCTGGGAAATCCGCGATCGGCTGCTCAGCGAGGGAATCTGCGACAAGACGAATGTGCCGAGTGTCAGCTCCATCTCCAGGATCCTGAGGAACAAGCTGGGCAGCTTGGGCCACCAACACACACCGGGAGCAGTGATGGGCAGTGGAAGCAGCAGTGGCGGCGGCAGTGTCTCCAGCAACGGCGCTCAGAACAACGGCAATAACAACAACGTCGGCGGGAGTGCGAACAACAACATCAACCTGGGCAATGCTGGAGGAGGAGCCCACCATCCGCATCACCATCACCATCATCACCAGACGGCGGCAGCGGCGGCGGCGGCGAGTGCCCACCATGCCCACGCTCACGCACACGCCCACTTGTACAACTCCATCTACCAACCGTACAGTGCTGCGGCGGCCTACAGCATGAAGGCCGTGTCCTGCGGCAGTCCTTCGCCCCCACAGGGATCGGGCGGCCAAGCCTCAGGGCCCCATCCACACCAACTCCGGAGCGTAGCCGCCGCGGCTGCAGCCGCCCACTGGCCCTCCTCGCACTCGGTGAGCGATATCCTGGCCCATCACCAGGCCGTGGCCTTGCGGGCCAGCTGCCAGGTGGGCGTCGGTGTCGGTGTGGGCGTGGGTGTTGGAGGAATGGGTGGCATGGGCAGCACAGTGTCACCGCTACCAATGACCCCGTCCCCGGTCACGGGAACCGCCGGCACCCAGCCCCTGCTCGACTGCGAGGGCGGAGCGGGTCAGCAGTCTCCGTACAACTATTACATGTACTTCCAGAACGGCGGAATGCACCATCACCACCACCATGGCGGCATGATGGCCGCCGGAGCCACTGGGTTATGAGTGATGAATGGGTAGCTAGTGGGTTGGTTGTGGGTTCAGTCTTAGGTTACGCCTATGCTAAGCGCTAATTAGGAAAGGGTCTATGGCACTCACTTGAATAATTTATACACAAAAAGAAGTTTTTTAAACTAAGAGTGATGTAAATCTCGATTATTATAGGTTGGGTCTGTCTTCAAGGTGACAAGGAATGTAAATATACAAATACCTGAAAGGTAAATAATGCATTACTCAAATCACTTCTCCGAGAAGCAGTCATTAGTAGTTAAAAGATATCCCAAACATGAAGGAAACTAACTTCGGGATGCCGAAGCTTATATACCCTTGCAGTTTGCAATTGAATTATGGAACATCTAGATTTATATGATTCTTTCCATTGATATTTCATATGACAATTTTTCCGACAAATCAAAGTTTAAAAGCTCATAACTACGCCATTAATTTCAATTCGGAAACTTTTTCTGTGTCAGTTTGCAAAGGGCTTACAAATCTGCATACCCAGTTTTAAATTTTAAAAAATTTAACATTTTGCCAATTTTTGTCAATTTTAACGATGTAACGCCTTATAAAAATTTGAAAATTTTGAAAAAATTTAATTTTCCTCAGATATGGCTAAAAAGTTTCGGCTGTTGATGCTGATCAAGTATATATATGATTTATAGGGTCGGAAATGACTCCTTCACCGACTTTTAAGCTTCTGACTAAAATTAAAATACCACTCTTTGGGTCGATATTTATCTATATTTTTATGACAATTATTTTGCCACAAGTCAATACTTAAAAAACTCATAACTGAGCCAAAAAAGCATTAATCTTGATTCGGGAAGCTGTCCTATGTTAGTTTTTGTTAGGCCAATAAATCTGCATACTCAATTTGAAGTTTAGGAAAATCAAAATTTTTGCCAATTTTTGACAATTTTAACGATTATAAAATATTGAAAATTTTGAAAAAATTAAATTTTTATCGGACACGCCTAAAAAAATTCGCCTGTTGATGCTGATCAAGAATATATATGATTTATAGGGTCGGAAATGACTCCTTCACTGGGTTTCATGATTCTGACTGTAATTATAATACCCTGCAAGGGTATAAAACATATTATGAATCAAATAAGAAATAAGGAGAAAGCTTATCTGAATCTAAAAATGTTTCCAATTTTAAATTTATCCCAAAAAATTCTAAAGAATTAAAGTTAGGTTTATATATTAAAACACATTTAGTTGGAGTTTAGTTGCCTGGGACAAGATTAACAATAAAACCTCTTTTTAAACTTTAGAAAGCTACATGTGGGTGCCAAGGACAAACCCTTTTATGGACAGGGCCATGACTGAAGCTGGCAGTGTCCCTATTATTTACGAATTTTATGTAATCCTGGAGATTTATATTTGCCTTTTTGTTTCGATTTGTTTGTGTTTCAAGCTGGGAGTTGTCGAAAGATCAGGTGGATTTCACATGTAAGCCTTTATTTCAAAATGAAAAGTATTGAGTGGTGCATGTGAATCGATCTGGAGATACAAACGCGTTGTATAGGTTCTTGTTCTCATAACTGCTATTTGTACAATATGCTCATTAAGTAAACTAGTGACTAATTTATGCTACGATTACATCAATTTACAATTAAACCAAGTGTAACTATCGAATAAAATTGTATTTTTAGACAATTTGCGCCAGTAATTACTTGGGGGACGGGTCTGCTTGATGTGTAAGCCTAATTCGCAATAAGGGCTGAAGTTTTTAAACAATTACAAGAATAATTACTAAAAACAAAAAAAAAAAAAAATAACAAAAATACACTCGCAAAACAAACGCGAATAAGTTAGGGACAGCACTCGCTATCATCGGGATTTTTCTTGTTCCAGCCGAAGAAGAAGTAGCCAAAGCCCAGGCCCAGCACCACAGCCAGGCAAAGCCAGTAGTTGAAGGTCATGAAGATGAGCATCAGCAGATAGGAGATGACGATCTGCAGCAGGTTCAGGAGCGACTGGAAAATGTGTGACGAGGCAAGGAGGCGCTGCCAGTAGGTCTGTTCCCTGATCTCCGCCAGCGGTGTCTCTGAGCAGCAGCCCCCGGCAGTTGGATTCTCGTTCTTGCGGCGCTGCTCCTCCGCCAGGCGCTCGGCCAGCTTGCGGGCTTCCCTGCGGGCCAGCTGCTGACGTAAGAACTTCAGGGCTTCGTAGAGGAAGGCCACCAAGAAGATGGCGATGGCGGACAAGACAAACTCCCAGACTGTGGAGGCCACCCAGCCGCGCCACAAAATCCGTTCACAGTGACCGGCGTGGAACTGAAAAGCATTTCAGCAATAAAGGGTTAATTTGTAGGTTTATCAAGTCTGAGGTAAACGACTTAGTTGTATACAGGGTAAAGTTGGAAATCTTTAAAATCTTTTTTTTAAAAATATAGTATTTTTATACCCTTGCAGGGTATTATAATTTCAGTCAGAAGTTTGCAACGCAGTGAAGGAGGCACCTCCGACTATATAAAGTATATATATTCTTGATCAGGATCAACAGCCGAGTCGATCTAGCCATGTCCGTCTGTCCGTCTGTCCTTCTGTCCTTCTGTCCTTCTGTCCTTCTGTCCTTCTGTCCTTCTGTCCGTCTGTCCGTTTCTACGCAAACTAGTCTCTCAGTTTTGAAGCTATCTGAATGAAACTTTGTAGTTAGCCTTCTATATACTCTCACTCGTATATATGTCGGAACGGGCCGGATCGGACGACTATATCCTATAGCTGCCATAGGAATGATCGGAAAAATTTTTTTTTTAAATTTTAACTTTTTCAGTTTTCAATAGAATTGGCTCAAATTTGAGATATAGCCATTTTACTATACTCTACAATTTTGTATAAAATTATATGAAAATCAAACTACAATATCATATAGCTTCCATAGAAACAATCGAGAAATTAATACAATTAAATTTATAACTTTGTCAGTTTTCAGCTGATTTTCATCAAATTTGAGGTATAGCCATTTTATATAAGTCTTAAATTTTGTGTCAAATTTCATGAAAATCGGACAACTGTATCATATAGGTGCCATACAAACGATCGTTTGATGTGGAGGAAAAATGCAAATCAGTGAATGTAAAATTGCAAATATAATATGTATAGGTGAATAAAATGAAAGCAGGTATTACTTCATTGTTTTTGAACACAAATATATATAATTTATATTGTATGGATTCCTATTCATAGAAGTTCTATCTGCAAGGGTATATAAACTTCGGCGTGCCGAAGTTACCTTCCTTTCTTGTATAATTTAAAATGCATTTTTTTTTAACCTACAGATATATCTTGATTTCGTTTTCCCAATGAGAATGATATTTTTATTATAAGTCTTGCTTGCACCAACTTAGAATCTTTGTTTATATCATCAATTTCAATGTTTTCTACTTGTTTAATGAACCTGCCAATATATAGGGTTAAGTAAGTTATCAATAAAATGGAAAGTATTGTAACATATTTATCTCCCTTGGAATCGGACGTAACACCCTGTACATACATGAAAATATTCAATTTGTATTTGTAGAGAGCAGCATTAGAGAGAGAGCAGCAAGTAAATTATTGCGAGTGTCGGGCCTTCACATAAATATACATACTAGGGAGTGACTAGCAGCCAGAGCAATTTAATCCGATGCATGGCGAGATTCGTGAGCTCTCGTCTGAATCTCAGCCAGCGAAACTGGATGAGTGACTTTAGCAATTACAGTGTTTAGCGTATATGTCTGGGATTTTGTTTTTAAACATTTAAATTGGTTACGGGGATTGTGTAAGTAACTCTAAGACTAACGACTTACCACCATGATCATGGGACAGGACTTGGCGGTGCTGTCGGACTCCTCAGTTGCGGTGCCGTGGTCGTGATCGTGATCGTGATCCATCTCGGGGGGAAAACCGAATTTTAATGATGCGAGGGGGAAGCTCAAAGATAAGCAACAACGGGACTTGCTGAGAGCAGAGCGTCGACTGACTTGAACTCGGTGCTCGCGAGTGGTTTTTTAAAGAAAATCGACCCTAATCCCGACGTCGCGGCGATAGGCAGGCCGCGCTTATCTATGAGAAATGGGGAAAGGCTGGCCGTTATCAACAAGTAGCAGCGATACCAACGATTACCAACCTAGATACTGAACAGCCTAACGGACAAATGAATGCATTTTTACCTTAAGATATAATGAGCTATGCCATCATAATCACGATTGCTGATTGTTATCTGCAAACTTTATCTGAAGATATCTCTATCTGTCCCTCATCTTAAAAACTCCCTGGGAGATTCACAATCTTATTTATGGACTATACTAGATGCAGAGTTCAACAATCGACTTGAGTGCAGACTTTATTGCAATTGAGATTATCAATAATGGTGTTGCTGTAATACATGAGAGTGTGGAAACTTTTCCTTCTTTCTTTTTGGCTTTGGCATATAAATATATCATTTTATGGTCCCAAAGCTGATACGTGTGTGTTCGTTCATACATGGTGCCAGCGTTTTGGCCGGAGCGATAGCAACCGCCGGGCGGAGGTTCTCCGGGTGGTTTGTCGTCTGCACCTTAGTCCACTTGGCTTTCCAACAGCGTTATTTCTAACTGAACGCCAAATGGATGGATGGCCGTGTGCAAATCGGCTGCGGTCGTGTGCAAAAACCTACGGACATTCTTACAGACGTCTGCCAAATTCGAAAAACTGGTGTCGTGTGCAGGCTAAGCGGTTAACCTTTCTGCAGAGGGGTAAAAGGTTTGGTTATTAGTTTGGGAAAAAGCTTTCTGGCGAGCCAAGTACTGAGTCTTAAATGGCATAATAATTGTTAAAGCTCACAGTATAAAGAAGAAGCACATTATTAAATATTTTCTGATGCTTGTTTAACAAACAAAATTAGGCAGAAACGTATTATTAAATATTTTCCGATGTTTGTATCACAAAAAATTACGACTTCATATCCTATTTACTATTGTTCTTTAAATACATAATTCATTTATGCTTTTTGCACAAACTATTATAATAATGGAAACTTTAAATATATTGCCGTTAAACTTAACGGCTTCTGCGGACAAACCTAACCAAATTTTAAAATGGCAAGCCGCCAAAAATTGTAGCCATACCTGACGGGAAAAAAGCTAGCTTGCCTTTTGCGCTAGCAACGTTTAAAATGGTTTTTACACGTGTAAAATGTAAAATGTAAATAAAAACTGGTATGTTTTCAAATTGTTAACAAGCAAACGTCTTATTGTTCCAGTTAGAAATATGATACAATTATTGCTGTTTTTTATTTTTTAAACTACTAATTTTAGACATAACAATGAAACGAAATCATTCCTATCCCTTCTTAAATTAAAAGCTTTTTCAAAAAGTAATATAGATCTCAATAAACCTTGTATATTTTTACTTTTTATAAAGAAAAACTCGTTGTATAAATAATATTTATTGTCTCTTTTATAATATATAAAAGAATATGCTATAAGATTATCAAAATAATTAGTTTTTAAAGCTATAAGGTAGTTTGAAATTTCGATAGCTTTTCCATTTTCAAATATGCCTAATGTAAGCTGGCAACACTGCTCGAAAGAGAATAAGTTCATATTTTTTTGTAAAAGAAATAAAATAAAGCGGAGCTAGTTACTATTACTAAATATTGAAGGAAACAACCCGCCCGCCGAATTGGAATGTTTGCCCTACGACACCTGCGACTTCACGGCATGCGGCCTTTCCGCAGCTCTTACGCGGCACCGGCAACAATAAAACACATGCTGCCCAGGCGACCATCTGAACCGGCGCGTGTTCTGATTGTAGATTGGAGTCCCGCGGGGCGATTGCCACAGCTGCACGATCTGTGCGCGAGGAGCCTGGCAACCGCCCCCTCGTCTGTAACGGCACCCGAGAAACCTAGGACGCCGCTGGAAAAGCTGGTGGCCGCTGCCAAACCCTACGCGCAGCTCATGCGGATAGACAGACCCATCGGCACCTACCTGCTATTCTGGCCTTGCGCCTGGAGCATAGCACTCAGCGCGGACGCGGGCTGCTGGCCGGACCTGACCATGTTGGGCCTATTCGGGACTGGAGCTCTGATTATGCGCGGAGCCGGCTGCACTATCAACGATCTCTGGGACAAGGACATCGACGCCAAGGTGGAGCGCACCAGGACGCGTCCTCTGGCCTCCGGGCAGATCAGCCAATTTGATGCCATTGTGTTTCTCTCTGCCCAGCTCAGCCTCGGACTCCTCGTGCTCGTCCAGCTCAACTGGCAGTCAATTCTGCTGGGCGCCAGTTCACTGGGTCTGGTGGTCACGTATCCGCTTATGAAGCGAGTTACCTACTGGCCACAGCTAGTCCTGGGCATGGCCTTCAACTGGGGCGCCCTGCTGGGCTGGTGCGCCACCCAGGGCAGTGTCAGTCTGGCTGCCTGCCTGCCGCTCTACCTCTCCGGCGTATGCTGGACCATAGTGTACGATACGATATACGCGCACCAGGACAAGCTGGACGACCTGCAGATAGGAGTCAAGTCGACTGCTTTGAGATTTGGCGAGAACACCAAGGCATGGCTATCCGGATTCACGGCAGCAATGATATGCGGGCTCTCCGCCGCAGGCTGGGCCTGCGACCAAACGCTGCCCTACTACGCATCTGTTGGAATTGTAGGCGCCCATCTAGTGCAGCAGGTGAATTCGTAGAAGCCATACATACTTTCAAGTATTCATTCAAGCTCTTTCGCCTTTCTTGCAGATCTACTCTCTGAATATTGACAATCCCAGAGACTGCGCCAAGAAGTTTTTATCAAACCATCAAGTAGGACTCATTCTGTTCCTGGGCATTGTCTTGGGCACTCTCCTGAAGTCGGAGGAAACAAAGAAGCAACGGAAATCATCCACATTGACGACAAGCTCCTATGTTTCGCTGCCACAGAAGCCAGAGGTCATAAGCTGAGACAACACATAAAACTATCGGAATATAAAATAATGTTAGTTAATTTTACCGCGCGCTCTTCGTTTTTAAACCAAAGCTTGTAGTTAAGGTGATTGTAAATAGGCATCTGACATCTTGAATCACTTGTAATATATTTAGTTACGAAACGGTTTCATTTTAGTTGCTTCTCGCGGCGTAATGCATTACGTAAATGCCCCGCACACATTCGAAAACAAAACTGGTTTCTGTATTAAATTCTTACTTGTTATTTATTATTATACAGATTTTGGTTGTTTAATGTTGAAGGTCAAATACTCTTCAAATGTATTCACTTCACTTGTTTGTTTGTTGGTTACGGCTAGGAAGGGGTAAGGTTACGATAGAATTGTAAATTATTAGATCAAGTCGGCCACGTTCATGGGCATCTCGTCGATTTGGGTCGAGTAGTACTGCTCGATATCGCGAAGGATGCGAATATCATCCGATTTGACAAAGTTAATGGCCACACCCTTGCGTCCAAAGCGACCCGACCGACCGATGCGATGGATGTACAACTCACGGTTGTTGGGCAAATCGTAGTTGATAACTAGAGACACCTGCTGGACGTCGATACCGCGTGCCCACACATCGGTGGTGATAAGGACACGCGACTGGCCGGCACGAAACTCCTTCATGATCTCGTCTCGCTCCTTTTGAGGCATGTCGCCATGCATGGAGCTCACCGTAAAGTTGGCCTCGCGCATCTTCTCCGTTAGCCAGTCCACCTTGCGCTTAGTATTACAGAATATTACGGCCTGGGTGATGGTGAGGGTATCATAGAGATCACACAGCGTGTCAAACTTCCACTCCTCGCGCTCTACGGCAACAAAGAACTGCTTGATGCCCTCCAGCGTCAACTCATCACTGTAAAAGAGGTTTGTTTGGCTTTAAGGTGTCGGAAATAGGACATTAGATAGGCTCTTACCGCTTGACCAAGATACGAATAGGATCTGTCATGAATTTGGAGGTCATTTCGAGAATCTCGTGTGGCAAGGTGGCAGAGATGAGCACCACCTGCGTGGCAGGCGGCAAGTAGCGATATACATCGTATATCTGCTCCTTAAAGCCTTTGTTGAGCATTTCGTCGGCTTCGTCTAGAACCAGCATCTTGATAGCTCTTGTGCGGAGAACCCTTCGCTTAATCATGTCGAAAACTCGGCCTGGGGTTCCGCTCACAATGTGCTGGCCGTAGTCCAGTTTGCGGATATCCTCGCCTAAATTTGTGCCGCCAATACACACATGGCACTGCACGTTCATCATGTCACCGAGCGCGAGGATGACCTTTTGGATCTGCACGGCCAACTCGCGAGTGGGGGACAGGCAGAGCACCTGGGTCTCCCGGAGCGTCGTGTCCAAACTCTGCAGTATGGATATGGAGAATGTGGCCGTTTTTCCCGTGCCAGACTGTGCCTGGGCAATCACATCCCGTCCCTTGACGATCGGCTTGATGCTTCTCTGCTGGATGGCCGAGGGTTTCTCGAAGCCTGCAAAGATCAGACGCTTGTATGCATAAGCCCCGGCACACCGGCAATAAATATACACACTTACCGTACGCGTATATGCCGCGTAGCAGCTCTTCCTTTAGGTTCATGGCGTTGAACGTGGGAATCACCTCCACGTCCTCGCTCGTCTCGAACTCCACGTTCGAGAGGTCCTCAGCCTGGGCATTCTTGCGCGCCATGTTATCCGTCTGCTTTTATGCGTCTTTTGCAATATTTAATTGATATATCAAGAACTGTTCTCCGATTTGTAATATTTTTTCAACTTTCACACGATGCCGTTAGGGGTGGGAGAGATCAGCGTTGCTTGGGTTCAACTTATCGATTACAGGCCGGGAGCTGCCAGACTTCGCCAGGCGGCAGCACTGGCAACGAATCGGAAAAGCCGCCAATTCAGTAAAATTTAAATCAAAATACGTGTTGCAGCATTTTTCATATAGCGGGCGTAACAACAAATATAATTATTATTTCAAGCTGAATTATAAACTCAAGGGGAAAAAACCCTGTCTGGGATCGGGAGCGGCCTTCAATCTGCTTTAGGAGGCATGGTTCCTATGTGCTTTCTTGCCTCTGCGGCGGAGTAGTTAGCTTTCTTAGACATATCCCAATTCCGGTCGAGAGCCGCTCGGGCCTCCTTCATAAGGGCGTGCAACTCCTCCACCCGAAACTTGGAAGCCTCCACGAGGCTAAGCTTCTCTTTCACCAACTGCCGGGCATTGGCTACCATCCCCCGCATGGTGTCCATCTCTTCCTTGTAGATGCCCTGAAGGTTTGTTAGCCTATCTCGCGTTTTATTCCGAACCCGACCCACTGTCTTCATAAAAGTTGAGCTGGTGACAATGGCCCGCTGCACCTCCTCCATGGCGCCCCTCGTCTCGGCCAGGTTCTCTAAAAGCTGGTCAAGCACCTGCTTCTTCCCAACTAGAATCGCATCCGCTGTCATGCTGGCTAGGTAACCTTGGCTTGATAGAATTGACTTGACCTTCGAACCTACCACTTCTTTCGGGGAGGTCGCCCCTGTGATCTCCTTGGGAGCTACCTGGATGCACTTCGGTTTCCCTTTGAAGAAGAATCCAACGAGATCCTGTTGGGTCATCTCCGTGATGTTTGCCAACAGGATGTTAACCAACAGAATGATGAGCAAGGTTCCGCAACGCATCTTGAACGTATCTTTTTAATACATCCTTAATATTAAATGTCTGATTCAAACTTGAAAGCCAGAACTTCAAACGATATTTTGGAAACAATATCAACGGTGACCTTGCCTTTTGTAAAGTTCAATGTGTCAGCCAAGAGTACTGGAAACTCAGTCGATGCCAGCATTATGTTTGCTTATACAGACTCTGTGTATTGTTAAAAATTAAACTAATTATTTTGCCATAAGCTTCGTATTCCCATGTTCACACGCGGATCTGCAAGGAAGCAAACACTCACCGGATAATCATCAACGTCATATTCAATCTCGACTGCCCCTGGAGCGGGCATTTAAAGAGTCTCATGGCAATTAGAGGCTCCTCCTTAATTGCGCCGGCTACAAATTATCCAATCGGCCAAGCCAGGCCAGGCTAGCATTGGTAGCATTGACCCAGCCACTCGTTGTTGGTGGAACCGATTTGCCGCGGTGCATGGCCAACTCATCACGATGAAAATCAAACAGAAACGGCTAACAGCCAGCGAGACAACGGGTTTGCACTTTCTTTCGGCGACCCGACCAGTTCAGTTTGTTTATAAATACATGGCGCCTCCGGTGGCCGGCTGGCAATCGACGTCGAGGCACCACCGGATTTACTGTACTCCTCCATTCATTGCCGTTTGCTGCTCTGCCAGCTTTTCCGAGTGCGAAAGTAAAAGCGTTTTCCACCGAACCCGCCAATCGCCATTGGATTGGGCATTGTGATCTTGTGGCTCAGAAACATTTTGGCTCCGGTTCAAACAGGACGCCGCTGCGTGTGGTCAAGAGGTGCGTTGGTTGGTGGTCGTGTTATCCGTCAACCTGAGTGGTGATTCGTCGTGATTTGTGATCTGTCCAGTTTTGATGGCCTTAAAAATAAACAGGTTCTTCTGTGGAACATATCTGTCCGCGACACACTAACGTATTGGTCGGTCATCCTAGAGCAAAGAAAGTGAACATCATAACCCATTAGATAATAACCAAGGCGGCCAAGCAACCGGTTACTGCATCACATACACTCGGAAAAAGAGTCCTTTCGAAATGGAATTTGTGCACCTGAACAATGTAAACTATAGGAAGGAATAAGCAAAGGAGAGTAATTTAAATAGGAGCAGCTTTTTAAAACAAAAAATAACGATTAGGTAAATCTACTTTTAAAATCCGCCCTTAAAACTACAGGTTATATAGTTTATAGTTTATATACATAGTTTAGTTGGAAACTTTATTTCTCCATTTTGTACTTCTATAAACAAATCCAGTTATTTTAATTAAAATAAACCGATTAAGATATTGCTAAATATAAGTTTGAAGAGAAGGACCCAATTAATTAATAAAGTAAAATATGGCTTCTTAAGGCAATCATTTAGTACATGGAACTTGTTGATGACTTTTTTGACTTTTAATACGTCTATTTCCCAGTTTATCGCCCAAAGGCTCCCCTTCCACCATACAACTGCAAAGATCAGAGAGTCTTCCGGTTGCACGGTTTCCTTTCGCCAGCTGCCTACTTGCATAATCGCCAGCGATGAGATCATTGATGCAGCTGCTGCTCCTGACGCTGTTTTTGGGTAAGTCTCGTGGTTCCGTCCTACTCGATTTCCTCATACAAATGTCACTGATTTTTGGGGATTTCCTGTAGCCATGCCGACGCTGGGCCGCAAGGTGAAGCGGAAGGAGGGGCACTATCACCTGAACGTGCCACCACCACCCCCGCCTCCCTCACACCAGGGTCAGGGGCCAGTGACTCAGCAGACGGCAGTCATCGAACACGAGGTTCCGCCTTACACCTTTGAGGCTATCAACCACGACGAGTTTGAGGTGGCCAAGACCAAGCTACCACACTACGAGAGCTCCGACTACATAGTTCACACACTGCACAACGGTGGAGGAGGTGGAAGCGGGGGATATCTGGCCGACAATGGACTACGCAGCATAGCCAAGGGATCAGCGGACCAGGCTCTGTCCGCCGTGGCCAGTCAAAATGCAGCCGGCAAGCAGGCTTCGTATGTAGCCAAGAGCACTCTGGCCCAGGCAGCGGCGCAGGCGGCCGGCACAGCCGTGGCTGTGCTGAAAGGCAAGGAGGTGTTGCTCCACCGCCTTGAGGATCAGAGCGTGGAAGCCCACAAGGCGATGGAGAACGAACTGACCCAGCTGCAGCAAGCCAAAAGATCGGCAAAGGCAGCCCAGTATGCAGCCCAGCAGGCTATCAATCATGTCAGTGTCTTAACTGCCGCCCTCAACAATGCTCAATCCGCATCAGAACTGGCTCAGAAAGCAGCTTCCGAGGCAGCCGCCGAGCTAGCCTCCCAAATTGATATGGTGGCCCAGGCCAAGGCTAAACTGGAGCACGCCGAATCTCATGCTTACGCGGCTCGCCTGGACTATGAGGAAACCCGCGATGCCGCAGAAAAGGCTACGCTGTCGGCCCAGGAGGCACAGCTCAATGCCAACGATGCAGCTATCCATGCGAACGTCGAGCTCAGTGAGTCAGTCCAAATCCACGACAAGAGCGACCGGCATCCGGGCGAGCCCCCTAGGAATCATCGACGGCCGTGATGGAGCGTTACTTTTTATCCTTATTTATTTGTTATACCTTTTGTTTAAAACTTAAGTCGTTGTTTATGTTAAATAAAAGTGTTAAAAGTAAATATATATGTATCTGCAATAGGAAGTGAACTTCAATTTTGCCGCTTTTAGCATCGATACCGATTGTTCTCACAACGATAGGTAACAATGATGTCATCGACGTCGACCCACCTCTGGCTTGTGTGTTTCACGAGCCGGCAAAATACAATTGTTTTTCTTAATTATATTATCAGATAAATTAAAATAACAACTATGAATCGCTCGGAGCCGACAGTCGATGACCTTCGGACCTACTTCCGGAGCCACAGCAAGATCCGAGAGCAACGGGCACACATTTCAAAGGTAGGACAGAATTCTCCGAGGTCTTGCAGTGTCCCCACTGATTTTCAACTGTTTTCAGGTTCATTCGGTGTTTTGGAATGCAGATGGCAGGTTCCTGGCCTCGGGTTCCTTTGATAAGACCGTGGCTGTGTACTCCTTGGAGCGAGACCGTTTTCTGAAGCACCACACCTTTCGTGGACACACTGCTTCCGTGGACCAGCTCTGCTGGCACCGAAGCAACCCCGACCTGCTTGCCACAGCCAGCGGGGACAAAACAGTGCGCATCTGGGACGTCCGCCAGGGAAAATGCGCCTCGGTTATCAACACAAAGGGTGAAAACATCAACATTACCTGGTCGCCGGATGGCAAGACTATTGCCGTGGGCAACAAGGAGGATCTGATAACTTTCATAGACACGCGCACCAACAAAATCCGAGTGGAGGAGCCCTTCACCTTCGAGGTCAACGAAATTTCGTGGAACAACACGAACGATCTGTTCTTCCTCACCAACGGCTTCGGGTGCATGCATGTCCTGAGTTATCCCGGCCTGGAGCACCAGGTGACGCTTAAGGCGCATCCCGCGAACTGTATTTGCATCGAGTTCGGACCCACGGGTGGGGTTTTAGGGAACCTATGTTTCTATTCCAGTTTAAACTGTGATTTGCTCTATTTTTCAGGTAAATACTTTGCTACCGGTTCGGCGGATGCCCAAGTCTCCCTATGGGATGCCCACGAACTGGCCTGCCTGCGCATGATTAGTCGCCTGGAGTGGCCCGTTCGCACTATATCCTTTAGCCACGACGAGAAACTTATTGCCTCGGCCAGCGAGGATCTCATCATAGATGTCGCTTACACAGAGACGGGAGAACGCGTTACGGACGTCCATGTGGATGCCTCTACCTTTACCATTGCCTGGCATCCCAAGCAATACCTCCTCGCCTACGCCTGCGACGAGAAGGACCCCGAGCGGCGCCGAGACGCTGGCAATGTCAAGATATACGGCTTTGCGGAATAAACTATTTAGATGAAACAACGAACAACTTTATTTACTTTCAAATTAAGCGGTATTTTTACTGTATTGACTTAAAAATGATCTCGTTTTGGCATTGGTCGCGTATGTACATTCATACCCCTTGCAGTATCGATTGGATAATGAGATCAAACGGAAAATTAACTAAGCCAAAAATGCACTAATTTCAGTTCGGAAAGCAATTCTGTTCTAGTTTTTGTTAGGTTAAAAAATTGTAAATTGAATTTTAAAATTAAAAAAAAAATATATTTTTTTTTTTAATTTTTGATAATTTTAACGATGTAACTCCTTACAAAATTCTGAAAAAATTTATAAATTTTAATTTTCTGCCGGAGATGGCTACATCGACTCTGCTGTTGATGCTGATTAAGAATATATGTATATACTTTATAGGGTCGAGAAATTTGGTTTGAAAACTGTTTAGAAGTTCACATTTGCCGCAAGGAAAATGGGCCTTCACTTTTTCGTCAAAGTTTTCCCAGTCTGGCAACGCCAAGGTCGTGACCAGAAATCGATACTATTGAGGAATATTTCCCGAAATCGACGTATTGACACCTCTATTTCATAAGAATTTTTAATTTTAGTAGAAGCCGTAAACAAAGACCTAAATCTGACGAAACAGCACTGAATTCAGCGGAGCGAGATGTCAGTGAAGCACGACTGGTACCAATCCGAGGCGAAGGTGGTCATCACCGTGCTGCTGAAGAACGCCGAGGAGAAGCACTACGCGGTTGAGATCTCCGCGCAGCGCGTCCACATGACGGCAGATGACTACGACCTGGACCTCATGCTGCTGCACCCCATAGTGGCGGAGCGCTCCTCGCACAAAGCCTATTCCTCCAAGGTAGAGATCACCCTGGCCAAGGAGACGGGCGTGCGCTGGGAGACTCTGGTGAAGCCGGCTGTCACCGCCGCAATGGTTGCTCCACCCAAAACCCAGGCCAAAAACTGGGATAAGCTGGTCAGCGAAGAGGAGCAGGTGGAGGAAAAGGAGGCTAAGGGCGAGGCGGCGCTCAACAACCTGTTCAAGAAGATATACAGTACCTCGTCGCCCGAGGTGCAGAAAGCGATGAACAAATCCTTCTCCGAATCCGGTGGCACAGTGCTCAGCACGAACTGGGGCGAGGTGTCCAAGGAGAAGGTGACCGTGAAGCCGCCCGAGGGAACCGAGTTCCGAGAGTGGGAGAAGTAGTTGCAGCAAACCTTGATATAGATGAAGAGAGATTAACTAATATATATATTTTTACCACTGGATCGGTTGGAGGCTACGCATGGCCGGATAACAACACCCTGAAAAGAAAATATTTGTTTTGAATAAATATGATTTAAGCATTGCAATCCTATGTTTTAATTTTCCATACTTCGAGAAGGTACTAATAATCCACTAATGTTTTTATAAACATAGGTACTAATAATAATAGACTCCCTAAAATGCGTAATTGTATTTTATTTTAATTCTGTTAATACGCCTCCGTATAAATTCCCTATTCTCGAACTCATCGAACTACCCCCGCCACTTGCCTGTAACGTTCTGAGCAAAACAGCTGATAGCGCCAGACCGGTTCGCAGTTGTACGTGTACGCAAGAACGCACAAATTACCTTTTTTCGGCGCACAAACCGCTTCAAGACAGCAAGATGTACAAAAATTTGGAGGAGCACAACCGGCTGGTGAACAAGTACCTTAAGATCTTCTTCGTAGTGGCCCTCTACTGGTAAGTACAACGAGTGCTATTTTTGGGTGCAGTCCGGTCACTCCTCCCGAATTCGCCGCTATAGGTGCACCTCGATTCTGACGGTCTTCGTGAACAAACACCTGCTGAGCAGCGATACCGTCAACCTGGGAGCACCGCTGTTCATGTCCTGGTTCCAGTGCGTCGTATCCACGGTCATCTGCTTTTTAATGAGCCGGTTAAGTAGGAAGTATCCGTCGGTCTTCACCTTTCCGGAGGGCAATCCGCTGGACATTGACACATTTCGGAAGATTCTGCCCCTGTCTGTGCTCTACACGCTGATGATTGGGGCCAACAATCTGTCGCTGTCGTACGTGACGGTGGCGTTCTACTATATCGGCCGTTCCCTGACAACGGTATTCAGCGTGGTGCTTACCTACGTGATCCTGCGCCAGCGCACCAGCTTCAAGTGCCTGTTGTGCTGCGCCGCCATAGTCATTGGATTCTGGCTGGGTGTGGACCAGGAAAGCCTCACCGAAGTCTTTTCCTGGCGAGGCACCATCTTCGGAGTGCTCAGTTCTCTGGCCCTGGCCATGTTTTCCATTCAGACGAAGAAGTCGCTGGGCTATGTCAACCAGGAGGTGTGGTTGCTTAGCTACTACAACAACCTGTACTCTACACTGCTCTTCCTGCCGCTTATCATCATCAATGGGGAGCTGGAGACCATTATAACGTACCCGCATCTGTGGGCTTCGTGGTTCTGGGCCGCCATGACGCTCAGTGGCGTTTGTGGCTTCGCCATTGGATTTGTCACCGCCCTGGAAATCAAAGTGAGCTAAAGAGCGCATAATCCGCCTGGTAACAGCTTATCTCATCCGTTCGATACCGTTTCAGGTCACCTCGCCGCTAACGCACAACATCTCGGGCACTGCCAAAGCTTGCGCCCAGACTGTGATCGCCACCCAGTATTACCATGATGTGCGGTCGGCGCTGTGGTGGACCTCCAACGTAGTGGTTCTAGTGGCCAGCGCAGCTTACACGCGGGTCAAGCAGCTGGAGATGCTGCGCCAGCACCAACAGCGGAACGCCGCCACCCAGAAGGCCTAAGAGGAGCAATAGAAACCACCAAAGCAACGTAGACTGTTTAGGACTTTAGAAGAAGTAAGTTTAAGGTATGCACAAGCGATCCATGAACAAGAATACATATGCATGTATGATAATTAGTTGGCGGCCACGGCTTCTTGGGGCTCCTCCGGTTCCGCCTGCTTTTTGACTTCCTCCTTTTTCACCCTCGCCGAGCTCTTGTCCCACATCTCCGGCACGTAGACAAAGGGATCAATCTTCAGCTGCTCACTGCTGGGCGGGCTCTTCAGCAAAACTCGGGTGATGAAGCGACCCTCGCGTTTGGGTCTCATCGTGTTGATGTCCTGCAGCAGGTGCTGGATGTTCTCCTCCAGCTTCTGAGCTTCCATATCCAAGGTTCCGACGCAGGCCGTTATCAGGCCGAAATTCTGCTGGTACTCATCCTTCAAAGCGCTGTAGCTTATCCCGCTGGAGAACTTGACGATCATCTCGGCGAGGTTGGTGCCCAGCGTCTCGCTCTTGGGATTAGGGAACTTTCGCTTCATCAGGCCGCGCAGAGCTACAAGCTCGGCCAGGATGTTGGGATGGGCAATGACGTATTGGTAGTCTGAGAGCAGCAACTCGCCACTAGTTATGTCTTTGATTAGTTCTACGCCACCCACCAGGGACGCGCCCGCTTCCCGAGCCTCCATGACTTCGTTCTGCAAGGAGATTCAATGAAGATCATTAACCTGATATATTCTGCCCACAACACTCACGTTTCCTTTGGTAAAGACTATGATTTTGCGCTCCTCTCCGTGATCAAACTTATGTGGAATCATGGCCATACGTTGAAAATTGTCCACGAAGCGAGTGATCTTCTCAGCTTGCATGTTCAGCTCGATGTCCACGTTTAGGGGCGCCTTAGGAACGTTGTACATGCTGGGATGGTGCGTCTCCCGGTGACACTGGATGGCCTCCGACACGGAGTACACCGGCCAGCGGTAGTAGCGGCCAACATAACAGTCGTCCTTTGGCACCTGCTTCCAGGAGTCGTCCACATGCTTGTCTGCCCGCTTCACGTTGATCCTGGACACGGAAGAGCGTTAACCTCGGATCAGGCACTTGGGGCTAACTACTCACTTTTTGTTGCGCTGGTTGTGCGGAATAAATCCCACCTTCTTCACCTCCACCTTAACTTTCTTCTTTCGTGCCTTCTCTCGGGTTCCCTTGCGAGCTGCCTCACTCACTGCGGACAGGTGCAGCAGCCGGAGTGACTCCGCCGCCGGCTGGCGCAGGGCCAGAGCACGCATCGAGGCCAGAACGGACTGCATTTCTTTCAAAATTTGCGATTTATTTGCGTTTTCCGGCAAACAACCAGGATTACGTATTCGCCTTGTGCTCAATGTGTTGGTGTCGGCGCTTCCCGTGTAATGGGTGTGAACGGATATTTTCGGGGTGATTGCCGAACTGCTGTTTTGTAATCAGCTGCTTAGGCGCGCGATTTGAATTTAAAATGTTTGGATTATTAACGGAAAACTTTTACTTGCAAAATAACTGTAATGACTTTATCTAAAGGTTTCTGTTAAATCATTCTGTTCTCTGTTAAATGCTTAAGACTATAAACTCCATTACACAAAGGAGAATATTTTAAAATAACTTAATTTTATGTTTTAAATTTTTTAAAGTTTTTTTATGTGAAACAATTAAAGGAGTCGTATTTTGGGACCTAAGCACTTTTAAATGTCAATATTGCACCATTATAACTATTTGAAACCATTGATCGTTGAGATCTTAAGAGAAATTCTGAGAAAGGCGGTCCAATAGTAGATCAGCTCCCAATGCTCGCGTTCTCTCTAAAAATAAATCTCACATTTTCCGACTTTTCCGATGCGTACGGACGAAAGCACTGGCGGCACAGCACGGTAATGTGCTCAGAATAGCTCCGACCGGCGCAACGGACGGACACGGAACAGCTTTCGGGGATTGGCCCCAACGAGTGCGCCGTGGAAAATCGCGAACGAATTCCGCAGTGGGGGAGAGTGACAAAGAGCCCGAGTGTGTGTGCATGGGAAAAGTGCAAGTAGTAATTTGTTATTGTTTTTCGTTTCAACAAAAACAGCCCCGAAATAAACCTATAAAGCTAAGGAAAGACAAGCTAAGAGGCGCCGCCGTCGGGAGGAGGAGAGAAAAAGTAAAAAGAAAAATGTGTATTCAATGTGTGGCAACAGTTTCCTATATAACAACGCCAGCAAAGTGGCGAAACGCCTAGTGAAAGTATACACATGATGATCTTTTCACCACCACCACCCATCCATCCACCCACCCAGCCTCCACCCATCCATCCTCCCACTGGAGCACTCTGAGTGCGTAACGTGCACTTTCGCATAAATTGGAAATATTAATGGTGTGTAACCTAAAAAAGTGGAATAAATCGAAATAAAGGAAGTGTGCGCACTTTCCGGCGATCCGTTCGCGGGGTATTGGGTGTGTTGCGATCGCCATGGGGAGGCGCAAACAAAAGAGTGTCAGCGTTTTAAAAATAGTTCTGCTTGCCTTGCGGCAGGCAGTGCCTCTATTTAACGTGATTTTCGTTGGTTATTTGCTCCGCCGCTGGGACTGAGCCGTAACTGAAACTCAGTCCATGGACGGAGTGCATTCCGAAGCAGTTCTCCGTTCTCCGTTTCGGTTAAGTGACAACACGCGTGCGTATTTTTAGAAAACAAAAAAAGACAAATATCCGAAAACTTTCGCACATGTGGGGAAACGTGCTGAAATGGATTTTCGAACAAAATATTGTTTACATTTCGTGGATTTAATCGTTACACTTTAAGACTTGCCGCGGCGGCGGCGGCGGACGTTCTACATTTGTCTTCCTCTTTTATAAACAATCTACCATCCCCGTCCCCCGATTCTGATCTCTGATAATTCTACGATTTTGCCGTCTTGTGTGCGTTTTTAGTGGCTTATCGCAGCGTAAATAAACAATTGAGTCCCAATTGAGCGATTCCCCATTCTGTGCCGAGAGCTCCTAATACCACAATGGACTGGGATAAGCCACCGCCTTCAGCTCCAGCTCAGCCGCCTCCAAAGCCTCGCAGGACCCGCGTTCGGCAGAATGTCCTGCATTACGAGAGCCTGCCCACAGCTCCGCCGGCCATGTGTGGCCGCACCGAGGAGAACATCTTCCAGTTCCCGGCTGTGGCCTCCAGAGCACGCAATCTCTCCGCCTCGCCCAAGTTTGAGCGAAGGGAGGTTAAGGATCTGCCCGTGTGTGAGCGGGGCAAGCATGCCTGCTCCAAGTGCCTTCCCTATCGCGCAGATAGGGGCACCATTGAGCCGTTAAAGACTCGCCTTAATTCCGCCATCGAGGCCATGGACGAACTGACTAGAACGTATGCTTTGCTAGAGGGATTCTTAGAGCAGCGACTGGCAACCATAGTCGACAACGAAGCTGGCGAACGGGCGGCGGAGCAGGAAGCCAAGATGGCTGCGGATGAGGAGTTGCCCTCCACTAGTCAAGCTGCTAAGCAGCGCCCACCTGCAAAGCCGGCCAGGCTCAATACGACTCACAAAGACACCGAATTCGAGCTGGAGCACTCGCTTACCTGGCTGGAGTCGCTGATGGGCACCGAGGTGGTTCCACTCTTCAAGCAGGGAAAGTTTAAGAGGTATGGGTTATCCTTAACTAGAAATACTTGTGTTTTATTTTTTCAAATCCCCTTGGGTTCAAGGAGGCTTTTTCCTTTTGTTAATCAATTACTGAAAATCTACGCTGTAATTAAAATAACAAACTTTATCCCTTAGAATCAGAGAGCGCAGCAAGTCTATGATGGACGACGATCTTAATCTTTATATGAAGGCCGAGCGCTCGGGCTCCAAGCTAAGCACCTCCTCCTCGCGTCCATACCTCCTGAGACGCCAAAGTACGTACAGCGACAACAAGGCCAAAGTGTCCAAGTGGACCAAGGTGAAGGCCGCCTTCAAGTGGGAGCGAGCCAATGTTCCGCCCTCGGGTCCAGGGGCGCCGGAAAACAGCGTCCTGATGCCGCTTAACCATGAGGTGGAGAGGTCTGTACAAGGACTCCCAAGTCTTGGCCGACTTCCGTTGATTCCTGGCTTTTTTTCAGATACCTCAAGGTGCCCATTAGTGTGGCGGCTGGCAACAGCTCGGCGGACAGTATCATTAGCTCCTCCTCCGGGCCTATTATGAGCGATACTGGCGGGACACCGGGCACCATCAGCTCGGCCAGTTCTTTAGACGATCTCGAGGCAGGCTGCCGGCAGACTTTTCGTAAATACAAACCAGTTGAAGTAGTCCACATTAATATATATGAGTCACACCTTTCAGGTCGCGATTCCTCCAAAAGCGACACGCGCTGCGATTCCCGCACCTCCAACTTCGAGGTGGAGCTGCGCAAGTCCGCTACTGATGAGCGCCTCGACGGCACAAGATCCTCCGCTCCTCCCTTGGCAGCGAAGTCCGCGTCCAGCAAGTCGTTGCGCCGCTCCAAGGCTTTCTCCGACTTCGAGGTGCTACCAGAGGATCATGTGGCAGAGATTAAGGCCACTAGCAGCCGGCGCCAGAAGTTGCCGCCTAGTCCGCTGAATCTTAGCCAGGTCAACCAGATATATAGCTCGGATCTGCCGCAGCTGCACTCGCCGCTCAAGAGTCCCAAGGATTCGCGCATGCGTCGCGTGCACTCGCCGGGAACCTCCTCCGTCCCCAGCAGCCCCTCCAGGCACTCGGATTTCTTCGGAGAATTCGGTGAGTGGTCAACGGGAAGGTTTCTAAATGACTTCCTCCTGGCATCTCGTAATACTTCGTTAACTTTGGGACTTACTTTGCAGAGAGCGAGGACCTGTCCAGTGGCGACTTCTCGGAGCCAACAACGCCAAATCGTAAGAATTTCCTTCACAACGCAGATGACGAGGTATTTCAACATTATCAACTTCTCGTACTCAAACTAGATTCGGAGTTTAAGAACAAGCAGCGTGAGTTCGAGCGTTCCAGCGCCAGCAACCGCAGTAGGGATCCCCTGAAAAGCCCACGGCCCGATCTCCCAAAAAGTTCTAAAAGCTGTCCATTTCAATCTTTTTAGGCGTCAAACTGGGCACCGGAGCCAGCTCAGGAGGAGGCACAGTTGGACCCAGTGGTGGCGGCAGTGGCAAGCGCAGCAGCGAGGAGCACTCGCCCACTAAGCTGCTCCAGCCCAGCGAGCTCTTGTCGACCGACCAGCTGGAGCAGAATCTCACGCCGCAGTTCAAGAAGAAGCTGCACAAATGGCGGGCCAAGCAACAGAACTGCTCGGGCGGAGCTTATGCCTCTTCGGATCCGCCGGCGGCCAGTCCCACGGCCAAGAGCCTGAGCAGCGGAGAGGTGAAGCCCAAAATTGACTGGAACCTGTGGAGCATGGGCCAGGTGAAGCTTGAAGGCCAGGGACTGTGTGCTTTACCCGATCAAAAGGACCTGCCAGAGAAGTTCCAAAAGAAATTGGGTAAGCTATGTGTGCAATTTCTTGTTTTTTTTATTGGAATTTAATCTAAATATTTGATATGTGATACCAGAGCAATGGAACCGCATAAAGTGTGCTCCTGGTGGCGGTACCGCCTCCGACAATGACTCCCTTAAGCGAAGCTCCAAGCACGGTCAGTCCACGAGGAGGGGGTCGGATGATGATCGCTGGTACAAGCACAGGCCGCACGACAAGGAGAAGTCTGTTAACAGACGGAGTTCAGCTACTAGCTCAGGAACTAATCGTGAACCCTTTCTCCTGCAGATTGTCCCGGCTCAAGGCCATCGTGGCGCCAGATCACACGTCCAAGAACATCGAGGTGAAGACCTCCGATGGCGAGGTGATGAAGTTCGAGGGCATCTCGAGGAAGTTCACTCGTAAGCTGTACGAGTGGGAGAAGGCTCGGGGAATAGGACCGGAAGCCTCCACATTTGCCCTGCTGCACCCGGGCTACTGTCCAATCGATGTGCGACGGATTAACAAGGAGTGCCATAAAGGTTGTATTCAAGACTCAGATGGACTCTAAGCTTACCCCCAGGATTACCTATTCTTTCTCCTTACAGCCGCCGCGGAGCACTCGCCCACCCTCAGTCGCTCCCTCTCCCTGGACAGCGTGTCACCGAACTGCCAGCCCCAGCCTGCTATCTCCCAGCAGGCCTCGTCCCTGTCCCTCAACGATGTGAACGATCTTAAAGAGATCGAGGACAGCGCCGACGCCCTTACCGATCACGAGTTTAAGAAGTACGACGAGCCGGAGGCGGTCATGGTCGAGGTGGAGGAGCACATACACGACACCGCCTCGCCCTTGATCACTGCTCACACCCTGGTGGAGCAGCAGACTCCCATATATAAGTATGAGGAGGTGCAGTGCAACGACTATGTGTAGGTGTCACATTGGAACTTTTAATTCTGGCGCAGCTAATCGGTGAAATCTTTCCCTTCTAGCAACTCTCGCCGCGTCCAGAGCTTCGAGTCCCACACGAATCTGGCACCGTTGCTGGGAGCTCTGAAACGTGCCGAAGACCTATTTGGCCACCTGAGGAATGCCTCGCCTGACCTGCTGGACCAGCCGTCCATGCGGGACTGCCAGGCCGCATTGCTGAGCATTCGCAGCATATATCCGTACTACTCCAACAACCTGATGAAGGCCGGCGTGCTCAACGCCATATCCGATGTCCAGAGCGAGCTGGGTCGGCTATCGGAACTGGTGAGCAGCACTTCTTCCCTCAGTTTAATGAGGGTAATAAACCCATCTATTTGCAGAGCCAGAAATCGCCTCTGGACGAAGCATGTTGTCAGGAAACCATGCAGGAGCGAACACTGGAGTATCTGGAAGAGCTCCAAGGGCTGCATGAGTCCCTGCAGTGTCTCAAGCTGAGCATACGTAAGTATTTCTCAACAAATGAACATTAACACATCCAATTAAAACCGTCTCAACTCCTCAGAGGGCGGAACAAATCACTATCCCCGGGACATTGTGCCCGACATCAACATCACTAGCGAGGATGGCCAGCCGGTGGATTCCAGTTCTGCCTACGCCACCTGCGACAACTCAAGCCGGGATCGCTTGGCTCAAGACGATAACAGTGCTAGTGCGGCCTCGCCCATGGAGCACGAGACGGAGACCAGCACTACCACTGGTACCCTCTGTCGCTCCAGTGCACCCACTGCTAATCCCGGGTCTTTGGGAAACGGAGGAGCGAGCACGAGTGCCTGTGCCAAGAAGAAACTACTGAGGCTGCGCAAGATAGGTTCCCGGCAGAACAGCAAGACGGAGAGCGACAGCAGCGATGCGGACACCCACTCGGTGCTGGAGACGCCGCGTCGGTTGCGTCGGAAGAACTTCCGAATGAAGCAGCGCTCCCTGGACGACGATTTTCGGCTGGGATCCACAGCGCCGGCCAATGAGGCCGAGGAAATTGTCTACGGTTCGCTGAAGGTCAGGCCGGGACAACTCATCAAGCAGAGTCAGTGCGTGGCACCGGTTTTGGTTCTGGCTTCTACTCCCCCCTCCTCAACCCCATCTATGCCTGCCACTCCTTCCCCGGCAGCTGTCACGCCCCCCACAAGGGTGGGTGCCTTTGTTCCTCCCCCGCTGCCGGAGTCCAATAACCGAACCTACAACACCAATGCCAATGTCTTTGTGAAGACCAAACGCAAGTTGTTCACCACCATCCCAGAGCCCACTGCCTTCGAGGGCATTGCCGTGATCGAGAAGGAGCTAGACAGTCCCCTGGAGGAGCAGCAACCAGAGAAGTTGGAAAAATCGGTGAACTTGCAGAACCTGGAGAGATCCAAGTGCCAGCCAAGGCCTCTTAGTCTGTACAAATCCATCAGCTTGGAACGCATATCTGCCTCGAAGCTATCTAAAGATGAGCTAAGGAAGAGCCAGAGCAGCGGAAACTTGCGTCGGGGATCCCTTTTGGTGCGCCCACCTCTGGCCAGCGACAGTATGCAGAGATTGGCCGAGTCCAAGACATCGGAGAAGAAGCCAGACCAGATGGCCAATCCCCCTGTACCAGTCCCCAGGAAGGCACATCTCTACAAGAAGAATTCGCTGCACAAATCGCATAGTGCTACTGTTACCAACAAGATTGAGCACAGGATAGCCAAGACCGGCTCCGGATCGACCTTCTCGAGGGCGCCTCCTCCGCCAACGGTGTCCGCACCTTTGGTCTTACCTAACAAGGAGGATAACACCTTGCCCCGCATTCAGCGGAAGCACCCGAACACGCCCACCAAAGCCAGGCAGTTTGAGTTCCCGCCAACGCAGATCCCAACGTCGGAGCGCCCAGCCACGCCGTTGTCGGAGCGGGCCATCCGCCTCCAGTTGGCCAAGGCGCAGTTCCTGCAAAGTGCTCCGGTGACGCCCCGGCAGGAGCCTCAGACACCGCCGCCCAAGGCTAGTGACTCTGTGGTGCTCCAGAAAAGTATCAGTGCGGGCAGCATGCGAGGGTCTGCTGGAGTTACTGTTCAGGAGGCACCGAAGCAACCACCAGCCTATCAGGATGTGTCCACGGATCAGGAGAGCGTGGGCACCTCCAGTGCCTGCGACAGCTTACCCAGAGCCGTCAGCCGGAGTGCGAAGATCTCGAGCAAATTGGGCTTTGCAACGCTCACCTCGAAGCTGAGAAGGGGTCACAAGAAGCCCAAGGAGACGCCTGCCACGTCTGGACCGGGAAGTGCCCTCTCCGCGCTCTGCCGGCAGACCCTCATGGCAGATGCCATACCGCAGGCCTTCGGTATCACAACCACCGCCGCCGGCGCCACGGCAGAGAAGCCACCTCCTAGTCCCAAGGGTGGGAATGTCCTCAAGTCGCACAGCACTCCGCAGGCGGCTGGTCCACCGTCCACCATTAATCTCGATGGACTAAACAAGTCCCTGAGCGAGCAGTACGTACGCCAGCTGAAGGAGAGCGATGTCTAGTCAGTGCTTCCAGTCCCAAGTCCAGAATCTAGTCATAGAGTGATATCTATCCATTGTCCGAGTGCATTTTAGGATCAGGAAAGTGTCCTGCCAGCAAGGCTGCAAAAAATATATACTAAAAATTATTATTAGTGCTAAAAAACAAAAATCAAGTGACCGCCGGGATCCGTCAAAGGAACGATACTCAAATGGTAGCTTTTGCTACTTAAATTCAACAGATCCAACAATATATCTTCATTTCCTAACCCATTTATCAGGTGAAACTTCTAAAAACATCTTTTTAAATGTATAAATTGCGATTTTTTAAAGCCTAGCTAAAAACTAATCAATAAAATGAAGTCTTGGTTTTTTTTTATGTAAAATTGATAATAAATTATTAAACTTAACAAACTTCTTTTTGGAACATTATTTTAAGTAAATAATAAATCAAAACTAAAAAAACCATATTTTCCTTTCCATTTAAATCATTCTTTGGGCTGAGCAATAATGTGACTAAGTGTGCTGAATTTCAAGTAATAATGATGAATGAAATATAAGAAGGATTAAAGAGTTTCCTAATTTGAGCAAATAATAACTAAGCCAGGCTCGATTTGCTTGTAAGATCTATAAAACATGGTCCATACACTATACCCTCCTTCCTAAACCTCAAAGCTCTAACACTTATATAATCGCCTATAATCTACCCACATTCAGATACATTTATTATATTTTTAAAACTGTATTTTAATCACATTGATTAACGGTAATAAAAGCTATACACACTTAATCCGTAGCCGAGTAGAGTCGAGTGTTATCGCGAGGTAGATTACTCCGATTATAGGTGGAAATTCCTCGCAGGCTTATCTGTGATCCACATAGTCATCGTCCAACTCCTTATTGTCAACATAATCGTCATCGTCCTCGTCCACGTCGTTTTCGTATGGTATTTCCGGAGGTTCTCCGCCGGTATTCCAGTAGCGATCCTCCTCCGGGTGGGTGAACTCATAGGTTACCGTCTCCGGATCCACATAGGTGATGCATGTCGTGAGGTTCTGCAGCGATTCCAACATCTGTGGGACGCTGTCGACGAACATAACGCCGCACTGCACAGAATGCTGAGCCTCGGCGGGCAGCTGGGAGTTGATCTTTAAGTAGACATCGATTCCCACGGCTATGATGTCGTGGACCCTTCGAATCGCACTGAGGGCATTCACTGTTCCCGAGAGGATCTTGCCTACAGTGGTCTGCTTGGCGGCGATCTTCTTGTAGATCTTCACCAGGCCGCCCACGTTGCGCTTCACCTCCTTGACGGCGGTCACTGTTTCATCCTGTATCCTCAGGATCAGGGCCATGGTGTGGGAGTAGCAGTCGACGCCATCGTTGATGGCCTGCAGGGCTACCCGGAACTCGGGAACCATGGAGTAGCTGCAGTAGGCCGCCTGGCTGCCACGACCCCAGTAGTTCCACATGAAGCCTAGTCCGGCTATGGCAGCCGTTACGATCTTGGGCTTGTTGAGCTTCAGCAGATTGGTCTCCAGCGTAATGACCCGCGCGACCAAGTCATCGATGCCGAGCTGGGCCTCGTCAATCACATCCTGCAGTATGTCCCTGAGGTCCTCAAATTCCGCCCTCTGATCTGGAGTAAAGTCTAGACTGGGTGCACCCATTATCTCCTCCACTGTGGGTAGCTTGGTGTCGTATACGACGCGCGGTTTCTCGTCCAAGTAAATAGCAAAGGCCCGCCGAAAGTCCTCAAAGACCTGCACGTAGTTGCCATCCAATTCCAGCTCCTTGATCTCGTTCTGGGCGCTCCCATCGCCCTGCTGGACCTTCAGGCTGTACAGGTAATCGTACTGACTCTGCATCTCCCGGTACAGGGGACGCAGCGCCTTCACCTCATCGTTGGACAGCTGCAAGTCCACCACTTGCTTCTGCAGGAGACTCTCCAGTTCCTGGAATGTATGGCCAGATCCGCAGCAGAGCAGCAGCACGCCGGCCAGCAGAAGCAGCGCCATTCTAGCCATCTTGCTCGGTCTGGTAATAGAGTTAAACTGGCTATTAGGGGGATCTTGACCATTATCTGAGGAACTATGGCTCGTAGAACACTATCACATTTAGATTGCCTTAAGTGGCCACGGGCTGATTATGTGCGATAATCGCGCTTTATCGCGAATATTACGCTATATATAACCCCCGATCCCAAGGGGCATCGTTTTGGTAAACAAATTAAAATTTGCGGCGTGCTTTTTATGAATGGAGGGATAGAGACGGCATATTAAAGTATGGAAATTTGTAATGAATACAATTTAAAAATTCTATTCTTCGTTTTTGCATTGAACTGTATTTGGTTTTCCCTAAACCACAGCACACGTCTCGATTTGAGCAAAGACCTCATCAAACTCCACTTTCAAGTGATGGTAGAAGAGACAACTCGGCGTGTCCAGATCCTCCAGCGACATTTCCAGAAGGATATCATCGCAGAGTTCCAGGCTTCTGGCCAGACGCTGCCTGATGGCCCCAATCCCGGACACCGTGCATAGAAGGACTCCGGCGTGATTGAGGCCGGACTGCTTCAGCTGCCAAGTCCTGCAGGTCTTGGCGACTCCTTCGATCTCCTGCGAAGCCCTGCTCAAAAAGTTGGCCTCGAGAACGACCTCCTGCTCGAAGTGCTCCATGATGCTGTCCAGGGAGTTCCGGCAGATGCTGTACTTATCTACCAGCTCCCGGTTGAAGTGGGCCACCTGGAGCTCATGCTTCTTGGAGCACGCCCGCCACTCGGCGCTGTACTGATTGCCAAAGAACTCCTCCAGGCGGGCACTCGCCTGTCGCTGCTGCTCGTCGAGTGTGTTCAGGGCCAGTTGTAGTCGCTCAGAACGGTAGTAGATAGTCTCCTGGGTGCGGTTCCAGATAGCGGAGGCCCTGAGACTCTCAGTGGATATCAGCTTCTTTGTAGACTCGTAGAGGGGACCATTTTGGCCCCAAATCCTTTGGCCCTGAGCAGGAACCTGCAACATGGAGGCAACAAAGGCTTAACTTATTGGGTTTCTCGCAAATCCGAAATAATTATTACACAAAAAAGTGCCAGCAGCAAAAACAGTGGGAACGGTTCTATTATCATCTTGATACTGAATCAAACTGATTCCCGGAAAATTTATGTTTTGATATTCATATAGTATGTATCTGAGTATTTTTTAATTGCCTTCAAAGGTAGGTTAACTATGAAGGGAACTTTGTCATCTTAGAGTTTTCATATTTTCATGGGATAAATAAATTAAATTATATAATAAAACGAGTAACTAAATTTGAGTTTTATATTCAAAATTAAGTATGAACTATGTACCAGAAACCAATATAAAATTAATGCCTGGCATTATATTGTACTATCCGTTACATTTGAGAGTGTGCAAAAGTCTATTTTAAAGGTTTGCTCACAATAATAAACAAATGTCCAATATACGCACAAACATATCTTTATCTTATCAAAATGTACGATGTCTTCGCTAAAAGTACCAAGAAATTCCACAGTCCAACCGCAAATAAGGATCCCCAATATGAGTGATGCAATTGCAGTTTTTTGTTTTGTATTGTTTGCCTTCATCGTCAGTAATATCCTAAATATTAAGCTACAGGTGAAAGTCTCATTTAATATATAGAAACCTAAGCCTGGTAAGAGCTTACAAGCTGTTGTGATATATTTTTCAAGAGTGCCTCGGCAGCTTGAAAAATGCAATCATGTTTTGCTGAGACCAAAGTTTTTAATATATTAATGGGCAATCGGTGTTCCCTCGTGGGGAATTCTTTCGGAGCAAAAGCCCTTATCGCAAGTTATGCCAAAACCTGGGCTATATATACCCCATCAATGGGAGGGCCAGCTGCAATAGAAAAACAGAACTGAAGGCATGATGAGTCAAATAGTCGGAGCACTTGGAGTGCTGCTCTTTGCCTTGGCAGTATGTAGACCCTGAGGAGCTATCATACAGATTATATATAATTTATTTTATCCAGGCCTGCCAGGCGGAAACCGTGGTCCGATATGAGACCAACACGCAAAAGGACACCTACGGACCGGTGACCATGGTCGTGGACAATCTGGCGGAGATTGCCGTCAACGTCAGCGACAACTCAACCGCCCAGTTGCAAGCCAAGATGGATCGCACCGAGCGGGACATAGCCGGGAATATGGAGGTACTCACTGCAAATGCCGTGGCCCAGTTGAGCGATGTCATCTTCCAGACCAACGAGCTGCTGGTGGCCAATCCCGACTGCAATCCCGCCTGGAGCCTGGATGAGCTCAACGAGAATGTGACCGCTCAGCTGAGCACTTGCACGGCCAACTTGGAAGATCTCCTGAAGGATTTCCGGGTGCAAAGCCAGCAGGCGATGAGCCGCGTTCAGGGATTTGTCCAGCAGATTGCCGAGCTGCCCGCCAAGTGCCAGATGGTGGGCGCTTCTTCGCTGAACCCCTTGGCCTCGGCCGGTGCCCATGTCTGCTTCATCAATGGCATGGCGGAGGTGAACGTGGGCATGGCCCAGTCTATGCACAGCGCCTCCGTGCTCCTGGTCCAGACCCACCAGGCAGCCGCCGATCAGGAGAAGCAGGCGCAGCAGTGCAGTGGAGCCGTGGTGCAGCAGGTCGGTGACTATCTGCGGGAGGAGCAGGACCAGTGCCAGTCCTAAGATCGAGAGAGAGAGGGAGTCCCTACGAAATACAGGCAAATTTATGCACCCAGGACGAGAACTCACCACATCCTGCTCACTTATTGCTTATGCATGACATTTATTTGACAAGTTTTTGATTGATTTTACAGCTGCTGCAACCGATCTGGTGCGTCCAGAGTTATCTGCATGTCCGCAGACACAGTCGAACCTTTCTATAGCGAACTTTACCAAACTAACTCAAATGAATGTATAACTTAGTTGTAATATTTTCCCATTATTTTTTCGAAGTTTAATTTAAAACAAGAATTTAAAATAGTTTCACAATTTAAATCTAGTACTGATTTCCTACCTTATTAACAAATTATTTAATAAGAGCGAGACTTGCAGAGCCAAAGTGATCCTAGTGTTTAATCTATCTTTATATACAGTTACTTAGTACTCATTCACGTCCCTTTAGGCAGGCTCCTCTGTGGTTACTTTTTGGGGCTAATCGCAAGTTCAGTTTTCAAAGTCGCATGCATACTAATTGGCCATTGTTCGTCCCAACAGACCAATTGCCCAATGGAGTTGCCCACGACGACACGTGGCAGCCACACAATATGCAATATACACACAAACGTACCTACTATATAGGATCGGTACGGATCGAGACCGAATGGACAACAGCTGGCCCTAGAGAGGGACCAGGCCCGTTCCCTGCCGTTCTCCGCTTCCGTAGTGAGCCAAATTATTTTGACCTGCCTGCCAGCAAGAGCGGCAGCACACTGGCCGAAATTGTTAGCCGGTTGTAGGCAACAATTTAGCCTTACTCAGTGGTTCAACGGGGATACAACAATGATTTCGGTGCCACGAAAAATACATGTCTACGAATCTTTATTTCGATGCTGGCGCAATTTCACCAGGAGTTTGAAATTTATCTTATTTTTACTGCTTGTAACAGTTGTTGCCCCTGCCCACCATGATGATGATACTCGCACACGACATTGCCGATCCAGCACCTACTCCAACTCCACCATCTGTTGATGGTAGGTTCCCCGATCCCAGACAACTGGCGGAACCCGGTTGACGGTAAGCGCGCGACGCTTGTCTATTGCAACTCGGGGTTCCCTCTGAGTGCTCGCTGGAGATTAGACAAAACTGAAATCGGCAGACATAGAAAAGAGTCCTTAAGGGGTTACAGAAATGCTACAAAAATGTTATTCAATCGAGCAAGATATTATCCTTCATATCGTCCCAGGACCTTTAGTAGTTAGTAGTAGTAAAGTAGTTGCTGGTTAAGAGTCATGTTGTTAGAAGCTTAGAAAATATATGCTTACTTTACCAGCATTTTATATTTACAAACGGTGCATTTATTACCAACTGAGTCCGAATTTCACAAATATAATAATCTTATCAGTTTGGCGAAGAAAACTAGCGATATGAGTTACTCGATTGACAAAAGGGCTTCATATTATTTATTGACTGTTCTACATATGATATGCATTATATACTCTTTGAAAGATGGATATAATATAATATAATATTTATAAGTGGGGTATATGCATTTATTTTAGTCATCATTAAAAAAGAATAACAGTGATTATAAAGAGTTATTTTTAGTCAAAAAAGAAGTCATTAATCGATAATGGTCAGTCCCATACGTTCGGTGGCAAAGGATTTAACGGCGTTTAGGGCCACATTTCCAATATCCTCGTTGCTCAGAATAAGTCCCACGACTTTTACGGCATCGATGGGCCTAACATTGGTGATGGCATTAACCACGTGATCCTTCAGAGCTTCGCGCTCGCTTTCCGACAACTCATTCATGATGATCTCACCCAGCGACTTGAACTTTCCTGGAATAGAAGTCAATATAATTCTCCCTATTTTATATTGAAAAGTAAACTTGCCTTCGGTCAGGCCATAGGCTGCAATGGCTCCGATGCTTCCTCCAACCGCCAGTCCACGGGGACCCATCAGCAGGCCACCGACCAAGGCTGAGATCGCGCAGATTGCGGCTCCTTTGGCGGACTCCTGGAATGTCACCTGGACGTTCTCGTTGTCGGCCAATATGGACAGAGCACTTATGAGTTCTTGGGTACTCATATTTCTTGAATTTTTTTGAGTGTTAAGTCTGAACAGTTTTAGAACTTTCTAGCAACTGAATCCCATGTAACAATCACTTCATCTTATCAGTTAAAAGGAAAAAAATGCAGACTTCCCCCACTCAGTGATGAGAGTTTCTCAATAGTCACACGTTTTCTTTCTCGATTATAATTGAAAAGTTTGTTTTAGTGTTGAGCAAGGCCTACGTGGATCACAAAGCTTTCTGATGGGCGTTATTTATAAAATAAAGTGATACGATGCTAATAACCATTTCGTTTGTTAAAAAGGGAGCAAATTGATTGGAAAATATTAGTTATGCTTAATTAGCTTCAGTGTATAATAAACCCTGCATGACTAAAAGTGCCACATTAAAAGAATAAATAACAGCTAAGGAAGATTATCTTTATTTATAATTTGTTCTTAATTTGGCAACCCAAAACAGACTAGTTCTTTTACAAAAAAGACGGCTGAGAACTCAATATTTTGGCGGCGTCGATGGTCAGAGAGCTCATATTCATATTAATATGAATTTAATGGTTTTTACCTTGGCGCAGGCTATATGCTCTTACCCCAAACCAAAATCGGCGGCCGGCCCCTTTGGAGTTTGCCTTACGTGTCTGGATGGCGTTTAAGGAAATCGCTGCCGGATTTTCTATAATTTTGATTGATGCGGCTTTAATAGTGCTACCGCTGAACTTTCGGGTAACTGTAACTAGACCCCAAATCTAAAGCAAACCTGGAGAGGATCTCGCCCCCAGGATATCTGAGTATATGTAGCTGTTGACTACTATGTATGTAGAATGTATAGGGGAGTATCCAGGAACTGCGACCTGCGACCAACTGGCGCGTCTTCCTCCTGACAATAAGGAATTATCGGGATCGGCAGTGTTGTTATTATTATTTGCTGTCTGCAGGACGAGCCGCGTGGCGTGCGAGTGAAAGCCAGCGAGAAGGATCTTAAGTGCAGAACGGTGGCCAGAACGGGACAGCATGGCAACATATGCCATCTTTTGACCGATCCTCCTCCTGCAGGACCTCTTTCTCCCTCTATATATATCCATCTCGCTTTGTCTTGGGATCAGATCCGAAAAGGACGGCGGCGCACGCCGTCATCTGGTGCCACTTTTGACTTTGGAAATTGGGTTGCCCACGCTCCTTCGCTTCCGCACTCAGAAAAACTAATCCTTGCATCTGAGAAAAGAAGATTTCATAGATTATTTTCCTATAAACAGTAAATGTGTACCTTAGAATAATTATTTGTACATATTTTTTAAAATTAATTAAATCCGAAAGGGCCGGAAAGCTAAGTTGCTGTTAAATGCAAGTTCATTTTTATATTTAATTTTTTATTTGTATTTTATTTTGGACTATTTGTATTGTATGTATTTAGATTGTAGGTTCTACATTGTATTTAATTTTGGTTACTCTACTATCAACATATATTTCTTTAACTGCAGGACCCGTTTCCCCGATCATTTAAAATTATACTTTTTGTTGCCGTAGCTGTTCGGTTTCATTTACGGTTGGGGTTTTCCCCCTTCCCCGGTCGCCTGGCAATTTCAAGGAAGCGGGAGCACTCCAACAGTTACTGTTGACTTCCGATCGGAGCACGAGTGCTGGAGGGAGACGGAGAGGTAGCAGCAGGACAAGCGGCTTAAAGGACACGACCCCAAGCGGAAGGGTTGCTCATGCTCCTGGGGAATGGTGCGGGGTAATGTGCACTCCGGTACTCGGCATCGGGAGGTGTGAGGCCGACAAGGATGCACAGACACAGACGCACATTCGGTGCTCTGCTCTCGGCTTACAAATCCAAATTGAGCCCCGAAATCGCGCGCGCATGCCGGCCAAAAATGAACACGTGTGCTGCCTCAAGGATCGGGCCAAGAGGCGTCAGCTGGCCAACTGGGAAAGATGCCGCCACAATAATTGGTGCGCCTATGAAGATGCTAGAAAAATCAAAGAACTCTGAAAGTGGATAAGGAAGTCTCTAGCTAAAGATAATATTAATTATCTACCCCTGCAGGGTATTCTAATTTAAGTCAATAGCTTGTAAACTAGTGAAGCAGTCATTTCCGACCCTACAAATCATATTTATTCTTGATCAGCATCGACAGGCGAGTCTTCCTAGCTATATCCGCCAGAAAGAAATTTTTTTCTGAAATTTCCCATTTTTGGAAAAAAAAAAGAAAAATGTACAAAAATCGCCCAAAAATTCACATTTTAAATGGAGTATGCAGTTTTGTTAACCTGCTGAAAATTAACATTCGAACGCTTTCCGAATTGAAATTAATGCATTTTTTGTTTAGTTATGAGTTTTTTAAATTTTGATTTGTGTAAAAAATTGCATATAAAAATAATGTCAATATCGATTGAAAATGGTATTTCACCTGCAGTCAGAAGCTTAAAAGAAAGTGAAGAAGTCATTTCCGACCCTGGAAACCATATATATTCTTGATCAGCATCAACAGGGAAATCTTTTTACCCATGTCCGAAAATAGGTTAATTTTTTTAAATTTTCAAAATTTTATAAGGGGTGTTACATTTTTAAAATATGCAAAAAATTGAATATTCCAAAACTTCAAATTGAGTATGCAGATTTATTAACCTAATAAAAACAAACTAACATGTATCAGCTTTCCGAATTAAGATCAATGATTTTTCGACTCAGTTATGAGTATTTTAAGCGTTGATTTGCAGCAAAAAAAAATTTAATTTTTTCTGGGTTTAGTTTTATTATTTTTAATTCAATCTGTTGGCATACATACAATAAAATAAAGCAGTTGTTTTAAGTTTCGCATTCCGAAAAGACTTTTAAAAAGTATAAAAGGGGCTACCAAAAAAATAAAAACAAAAGGATTCCAACAAATGGTGTCCAATAATTTCAAACTTACAACAAATTATCCGCCAGATAGGCGTAAAAAATCTGTAAACCGCTTACACTGATGACCATAAACCAAATCAAAAGCAACGAAAACAAAAAAGTTCATTTACATTAAATACCGATATCGGACAGATCCAGATCTGGGCTAAGTCAGCATTCAAAGGATAAATAATGAACTCCTAGCCGGCGGAGACAAATGTATAATTTTACAGATCGCGCGATTCAATTAGAGGCATCGCTGAGCACAAAAAATTAAGCAATAAAATTAGTTGTGGTTCACGCAAATTGAAAGCATCAAAAGGATCCTCAAGGACATGCCGCAAAAATAGAGCAATAGCCATGAATCAGGACGAGGGCCAGGCCCATTGGCATACCGAGCAGTTTTCTCGTTTTCATTTTCATTTTCGTGTCATAATGTGTTGTAAGTAGTTGCCTTTGTTTCCCCGTAGGACCCGCTATTGTTCCATTGTCTTGCTTAAGGACCTGTCCCGGAGAACACCCGCGAGGTTCCCAGCATCGCAGGATTTTCTCCCTTTATCTCCCATTTTCCTCCCTGGCTGCTGTGTCAGTTGCGACCACAACTTGACCCTTATACCACCAACATAAAATGTTGACAGGCGGAACACGCCTCTAAAATATTGTGCGATAGTCCTGTGGGGTCTCGGAGAGTATCCTTCTCATGGCCAGTTGAGATTTCCTTCTGACAGTTATGAGCTGATCACCGATCACGTTTTGCTATCTCGATGTAGGCGCTTAGCTGCCACGAATTTATTGTTATTGACATTTTAGTTGGGTGGAATCACACGGATTACATCTGCTAATTACACTATGACACAGGTAGTGATCCTTTTAGGCCTTCGGCGGCACTGTCGGCGTTCCTTGATCAGGAATATTTTATTGGTAATCAGTCAAAGTTATGGGGATGTTATCAGGAAATGTGCTTGGGAAAAGTTGAATTTATGGTGTTCTAATTTAATATGTGTATTAATTTGTTCTATTATAATCAGAAACACTTTCTTAGCTATTCTAGTAGTAGTTGTATATTTGGAGTTTAACCAGCACAGCTTACCCTCTGAACTCGATATGTCGAGTTCAAGAAGCCCCACTTTCACGATCGCTTAAACACAAATCGCCTGGAAAATCACGGCAAATCATCGCCGGCTCACCCCTGTGCCGCAGGTGATAAAATTTCGCACATTAATACTTAATTACTTGAATAATTTGGGGCCAGAGGATTAAGTTCACACTCACCCCGGACAAAAAAAATCGCAGTCAATGCAGGTGGCAGTCCCAAAACCGAAAGCCAAAAAGCCACTGCCGAAAATGTGGTAAAAAAAAGGCCAAAAGGACTTGTCCCTCTGAAATGAAGTGATGCCAACACCACCGACGTCGTTGACATTAAGGAGCTGGAGTAGGGCTCTGGCCAAGAGTATGGATGCATCTTTCACACGAAATCCCGATTAATAAATATACAAGTCCACAAGTATTTCTGATAATTTGAAAAGTCGTCAACCTGAGCCCCGCAGGAGAATGGGGATGGAGGCCGAGACGGTGCCCCCTCTCTACAGATTCCATGCGGAGTCTGGGGCGACTCTTCGGTGCCCAATTACAAGCAAATGAGCTGGAAAACTGTATCAAATGACCCAATGTCAATACAAAATTACAGGCTCAGACCCGGACCCGAAACCAGGAATCTCTTGTTCGCCGCAGACCAGGCCAAATCTTCAGACGGTTCTTCTCTCCTGCTGCTGCTCCTCCTCCCGGATTCTTCCCTTGGTCGCATCTTAACGTGACAAAGCGACGGAGATGGCTTGCGTGTGGCAATTTCAGTTAAAAAACACTGCAAACTTGTATCTGTGTGCCGGAATATTGTATACCCTAGAGGAAAAGGTAGGTCTTTGCAAATTTGTTAAGTTCATTTAACCTAGAAATTCCAGTGTTGTATTTAACGATTTTCTTTAGGATTTCTTTGTATACTACAAACTATTTAAACAACCTTGAAAATCTAAACTAAAATATTTGAAAACCCCCCTAAGGGTATTACAAACTCGTTGCCCTGAAACATATATTTCTGATACCTTTTTGTGGGCTTAATGCCTCGTTTTGGTAGCATCTTTACGTTTTTGCTGTGTGTTAATTTGATGCCTCACCAAAAAATTGTCAAAAGATCCAGAACGACTTTGATTTTTGATGCACTTTCACTGGCCCTTGGACTTGGATCTCCTCCTCCATTGGCTGCAGCGTGAGATACTGAGAGCTTTGGCTATATATATTTATATGTGTATATAGATATATATGTGAAGGATGCCCACCTACTTGGATGGGTTTTTGGAAACCGAAAGCCAGTCAACTGAGCCGATCTGTGTGGCTAATTGAGTTACCCAGAGAGTAAGGCTCAGATTTTTGGACCGCTTTGTGGCCGTGCGAATAATTTGTCAAAAAATGGTTAACGGTTAACTTTGTTACTGTGCTCCCGACGATAATGAAAATTCTGATCTCGATCTCGATCTTGCTTGGTAATCGGATCCGGGTTTTTGCGAGGGATTGATTGATGGAAGATGATGCGTGGCGAATCGTTTGACTAATTGCCGCGTGTGGGACTTCCTTAAGTAAACAAACGCGGGTGACCTTTAATAGAGTCCTTCGCCTGCGCCGGTCTCCCTGCCTTTTTCTTCCTTCCTCTCTCTACCAGCTAATCCCTAATCCCTATCCTTGCCTTTCTCCGCGGACCGCACACAATGCCCGTTAATGGGCAGGGAAAAGGATCAGGCCAAGAAAACGAAGGGGGTGTGGTCGTCGTGATTTGGTGTCGCTAATTACAGACTTTGAGTATTTTGCGCCGTCCGTTTTATGACTTAATAATTGTATTCATTTGGCCTGGACGTTGGGCATGGACTTGGACTTGGACATGGCCAAAACCAAGCCGCTGCCCACACACACACACAGAGTGCATGCGACTTGTACTTGGGAGTAAGGTGAGCAGCCCAGACTGAGGTCCACATGGCATTAATCTTCGATAGCCGATTTACCTGGAGTTGCGCAACAATTAAAGGATCAGCGCAAAATGTTCACACAACAATATGCCAAAACAAGTAAGCGGCGGAAACGGAAACGGCACTTGAAGTAGGAAAAACAGATACAAAGTAAAAAGTGCTTGTGGTTAGACCCTAGAAAATTTTATGGAAAATGTGCCCTAAAATTGCATGAGAAAATCCCATTGATTAGAAACAACAAAAAGTAATAGAGGAAGTTGCCTTGAAAAAGGAAAATATATGAAAATAATTGGAAAATTTAGCCAAACCGCAATTAAAAAATCTACAGAGTTTCAATAGGTTTTCTGGAGCTACCTGTTGGTTTCGGTTGTATCTTTAAATATCAAAAATTAAAAGTAAACAACAATTTTAACGACACCTTTTTCAAACTGATTATGTTAAAGAAATATACTTCATAAGCCTGAGAGGAGATATTTTTGATTGAAGAAACTTAATTTGGTACCGATTGTGCACTTAACGATTCCATTTCTTAACAACCACAAATCAGCCTTAAAGACCGATTATTCAGGCGGCAATCAATGAAGTTCGGAACTTGAAAAGTCGGGATTCGGACAATAGCCCATCCCCGGATCCTGCCCCATGGCGACACTAACAAGAAGTGACAAATTGATGGTGTTAAAGCTCATTAACTTACTTAACTCGCACTTGCAGATGGAGATGCTGCAGCTATAAATAAACCTCAAAAACCTCAAAATAAAGCTCGCCAATTATCGACATGACAAATTTCCATGCTCTTACTCGTGCATATTCCCCTCCTGAAAAAAACACAAATAAATAAAAAATAAAGAAGAGCAAAACCCACAGGGGCGACGCACCCCAAAAACCGGACATCGAATGCATAATAATACGTGTTAATAATGCTCAGGCAAGCTGTCTATAAATTGACAAAGACATGCAAGAGGCTGCTACTCCTGCTCCTGCTCCAGCTCCTGCTCCAGCTCCTGCTCCTGCTGCTTCTGCTGTGTCTCCTGTTGCGATCTTTGTGTGTTTGCCGTGCCTGCTGGATGTTACTCCTGCGGCTACACAGAGCTAAAACAACGAAAACTTTACTGACATTTCTAGGGATATCATGTAGCTATGAGCTGTATTATTTGTCTGTTTAAATAAAAAGTAATGAAAAAGATTCTTTTAGGACTCTTTATAAAGAATGTAATATAATTGTTAAATATAGATACCTTCGCGGTATTTAAATCCTTTGATTTCATAGAAACAAATGAATTATTTATTTGAATTTGATAAACTTTAAATTGATAAATTTGTAAATAAAATAAATATTAATATATTAATCCTTGCAAACTAATTTCTGCATTTACTAATAATATTTTAAAATCACTTCCGCTCTTCCTGTGTACATCCCTTTGCTGCCGCTGTGTCGGCGGCATGGCCAAAAGCCAAAAGTTAAAAACTGAAAGCTGAATATCTGAAAAGCAAAGAAGAAAGACGACTGGGGTCCACAGTTGCCCCATTCATGAATTCTAACTAATTGTATTGGCAGAGGCAGTTGCATTTTGGAAGCTGGAGCCGGGTCCCAATCCGAATCCGAATCCGAATCTGTGCAGATGCATGCAGGTGGCAGGCAGTAGCTCCTTGGGATACCGGCAGGAAGAGGCCGGGACCCCGATTCGGAATCTTTTGTTGTTGTTTTCGGGGGAGACGACGGCGGAGACCCAAACAATTTGTGTAATTGACAAATTGACGGCAACGCTTTGTGCGGAAGCGTTCAAAGCCGTAAATTGTCGCTAACAAGAGCGACACTCTCTGCAAGGGACATCGGCAGGATATCGCGCGGGTATACAAATATATAATTGCCTGAGTCGGGGATCGGGAATCGGTGATCGGAGATCCGCCCGCACCTCGCACGACCACTAAATTAAGTCATTAACAATATAACGAAGCCGCTGTCGATGCCGCGGTACCGCGTAACTAATTATGTGAATTTCCTTTTGATTATGAGCCCCGAAACCCCAGTGAGCTTTAGCGGTGACGCCCGAAAATGGATTTTATAAAACAAACAGAGACGGCCCACGAAATCCGGTCGCTGCCACGCCCCCTCATCCTGAGCCCCAGCCCCATCCACCGCCTCCGATTCGCTCCAATTCCCATGCGGGAGTCAGTCGATCGTCAGCAGTCGCTGTCGCTATCAACAAATTGGTTTCGAATCTTCCGAATGATTGACTGACTGACGAGAGACCAAAACCCGGCAACTGATCCGTTTTCTGCTGAATGAATTGGTGCACTGAGAGAAGGTAGTCGAATTATTATGTCAATACAAGATATAACCCACTTTCCCACCTCTATCTCATCAGGTTATAAGTCTGAACCAATCCATCATTAGGTTAGCAGCCACTTGATCCTGTTGAGAATATTAAAGCATCACAATTTGGAGAGTAAAGTTGAAATAATTTTATATAAATAACCTTTTCTCCCTGTGTAAGCTTTAGCTTAAAGGTCTTAAGCCGCTAAGGTTATCCGCCAGCAACGATCGAGGATCGAACTTCGCCTTAAACGATTTGCTGAGTGGCGGCGCTTGATTTTCGGGACTTGGCCGCTTCAGGAGGACCTCAAAGTGAAAAGGACGGACATTGCATGCGACTCGGACTTGCGACTGCTGAAAGGAGATCGGCCCAACACTTAACTTAATTTGGCAGCTACACTCCGGCGCACCGTGCCGTGTAATTATTGGCACAATACTGGCTCTGCTCCGTTTTCGGGATCGCTCTCCGCTGGTATTTGTTTTCTGGCGGCCCTAATTTTGTCGAACTGTCTACAAATTGATCGCGAAGCGCCAAATCGATCACCTTCCCCCATATAATAATAAAAAAGTCCAAATCGCTGGGCGCGAGACGCTAAACCCTCGAAAATTGTGTGAGAATTGATGCCCCCGCCCGATAAGTGTGTGGATGATGCTTGAAGGTAAAGGGATCTGAATTCGGAATTCGAATTTTAGGAGATTTGAGTGGCCTGAGTTAACTGGGATTTGTATTTATATTTTTTAACCCTTTGGGTTCCTTTTTATTCCATAATACAAATATATAAATATAAATGCATTACATATGGGCTAATGAGTCCAAACTTTTATATTTTCTACGAAACTAAATCTAACTGATTTTTATTTAATTTATTCCTTAAATTGTGATATTTATTTTTTTTTTATAATTTTTTATTTTGAACCGCATTTACATACTCAAATTTTAGATAAGGTATAGAAATCCGTTTGGATAACTAAAAAATCCATAGATTTAGGGAAGACTTTACTTTGTAACGAACCCATTAAATAAAACCGCTCAAAAGTACCTAAAATATAAACACATAAAAACCTGTAAAAGGAACGAGTAACCAATAAGCAAAAACTATGTTTTAAATTTTAATTTAGTTTTTATTTCGTCCTCCTTAGTAACCTAATCATTGTCTTCCATTTAGGCTAATTAACTAAGCAATAAACGGCATAATACTTAAGCGGTAATTCACTACTGGGCTCCAAGCTCTATTTACAGGAAAGGTACAACATTGGGTGGGGTTCCACTACATAGGACACCTCCGCATCGGCTCCTCACCGCAGAAGATCCCCCAGGGCGGAGATGTAGGTCTGGGCCATCTGCAGGGTCTCGTGCTTGGACAACTGGCGGTCGTTGCCCAGGCAGGGCAAGTACTGCCTGAGGCGGTCGAAGGCCTGGTTGAGGTTCTGCATCCGACGACGTTCCCGGGCGTTGGCGGCCAGGCGACGCTTCCGCTTGACCACCGGAGTGATCTGTTTGCCGCGCCTCTTCTTGCCGGACCCCGCTGCGGTGGCATCACCATCGCCATCGGCCAGGTCGAAGGAGCCATCATTGCCGTCGAAATCCTCGCCACCGCTGCCGAAGAGCATCAGGTCGTCGTCGTCCTCGACGGCGTCATCGAACAGGGCGGAGTTATCGAAGTCAAAGTTCTGGAACTCGTCGGTGTAGAGGTTTATTGTGGCTGTAGCTGCGGATTCTGACGTGGCTGATGCTGTGGTTGAGGCTGCGTTTAAGCCTGAGGAGGTCGTGGTGGCCGTCACTTGCTGGTTCTTCTTGGTGTAGGAGCGCTTGGATTTCGCCACGGCAGCAGCGGGAGGGGACACGGTCTTACAAGTGCCCACATTGGAGGAGCCCATGGCCTCTACTGCCGGTGGAGTGGCCACAGCTGGTGGTCCTTGAACTGTTGCTGCCGGGGGAACTAGTCCCTGCTCTAGGATAAGTCCATACTGCTGCTGTTGCTGTTGCGGTGCCATGCTGCAACCACCATTATACATGGTATTGAGATCCACATACTCGGGGCTCTCGGATCGGTGGCTGGCCGGCGAGGACGAGGAGATCCACCCATCGGAACTGGCCTGCTCGAAGCTGATGAACCCGTTGGCCGACAGGTAGTTGCTACTGCTGGCCAGCGAGTTGCAGTTGAACTGGTAGTGGCTCACCACGCCGGGATTGTAGGCGGCCATGGGGTTAAAGTACGGCTCGGTGGCCGCCGTCTTGAAGCCTTGCAAGTCCTCGGAGGTCTTGTAGTAGTAGCGATAGATCTCACTGGACGACATGGCGAAGGATACTGTGTGCTGCTCTACTGCTCTGCTGGAGGAAGGTAAACGGACGCTGCGGCTGCTGGCGTATTTCTGACTGGTCTCTCGTCCTTTCAGCCCTATTTATACCCAGGAGACCGGGTCGGACAGGTAGGGAATGGGATCAGGGAGCAGGGAGCAGGGTCGAGGCACAGGTAAACGGGTTCCCACGAGAGAGCACAGCACGTGCCGCCCGAGCTAGCCAGCCAATGGTAGTTGGTGGTGAGTTGTGGGCTCGAGAGCAGAGAGATTTTAAGTTGGTTTCACATATTTCGATTGGGACTCTCCGCTTAAAATGGCGAACAGCTAGACAAAGTCGATTCTTGTATGTTTAAAATATATATATTATAGCTATTAGATAATATAATATATATAGATATGCTGAAGAAAACAAATCCAAAGAATAGTATTTAAGCAAGTAAGTTAGATTTTTCCGTATTTTGAATAGAAAAAGATTTATAATTCAGCATTAAAAAACTATAATATTGTACAATATTTATTTAACATTGGGATACTCTTTTAAATGTTCTTATTAAATATTTTTCCCAGCTTCGTTTTGGATAAAAAGTGTAACATACACAGAAGTTTAATAAAAAACGAATTTAATTGCTTAAATACAAATGTAATTAAATATAAATTATAAATGTAAATTTCCATGTTCTAATAGAATATCCAACCAAAATTTTGAGTTCTTAAAAATATTAATGTTCATCTTCTAAGTAAAATAAAAAATAGAACTGCTCTTTTCCTGATATTTATCACTTTAGCTACATCTAAAGCCGCTAACAAGATGATTATGGGGTTTGCCAATCCGGAACTAAAATGGGCGGAAATGCAAACAGAACTTTGAACAAACAATCCCTAAACTGAATCATAGAACAGGATTAAAGCCGACCGCAAAAACGAGGAAAAATTTGCAAAAATCCTTACAGATTTCAAACCATCATCAGCGATTTGTCAGCACCAAAAGGCCATAGAGGAGAGCCTCCTCGGTGAGTTTATCTAATCTGAATCGTGGCAGCAGGACTACCTACCTACCTGCCTCCTTGCCTGCCAAGAGAAGCCTTAGAAAAGTACCGACCGACAGGACATATCGCAATGGAAAATCTTGTTTATTACAACTTGGCAAAATCTCCAATTGATACGCTTGTTGGCGGTGAACGGGGACTGAGAGGGACCTTGAAGAGGGTGAGTCGGCGCTAGCCAAGGACACGCTCAACTGAGTCCTTGATCCCTCTAATAAGCGTGGCAGGCTCCGACTAGGAGTTGGGTTAACATTTTAGCGCCTCGCAATTAATACGGCCGATTCGGGTTTCGGGCTAATGAAAGAGGGAATTTAGTTGTAGATGAACCCCGAATGACATGGCATAACGAGGCAGGGCAAGCACGGTGGTCCCAGAATCGACAGAATCGACAGAATCGGCCAGTCGTGGTCCGCCCACGCACCCTCAATCCCTAATGATTCGCTGGAAATCATAATGCAATGCGTTTTATATCCCTTTGAAGATCCGCGCCCACCCAGCCACTGGCAGGAGAACTAGTAGCACGCCCCAAAAGGACCTGCAATAAAAACGCTGTCAATTAGATAAAAATGTCACACAACAAGCCGCAACAAGAGAGAGCGGCAGCCAAGAATTTATTGGACGCACACCCAAGTAACCACCGAGACCCCGAGAGTCCTCGATTGTCCCTCGAATGTCCCTCGAATATCCTGTGCAATTTACGAGTCGCTTGTGCACTGACAGTTGTGCAAGTGACGCCCTCGGTTACACCTGCAGGAAAGATCGCATCCCTTGGATTACGGATCGCCATGGCTGATGTAAAGTTTGTCTTTTATCGGAATTAGCTGATGTCCTGGCATCCGCCTGAGACCTGAGTCCTGCATATATCGATTTGAAAATTTACATTTTCATTGCAACGATCACCGCTGCTGCTGCACGTGCCTCGAGTTTGTTGCAGAGGCAAAAAGGCCAAAAGGGTTAACAATACGCAGCTATTTTTTCAGCTCCTTGGACGGGCGCCTTGCGTGCCTGTCAGTTATCGAGTAGCCTGATCGATGTGAAGGAGACCCAGTATGTCTCCAGTGCCCAGTGCCAGTGCTCCATCATTGCCATCATTACGCTGGTAACCGGGTCGCTTCTTTCATGTCAATATGGATAAAGGCAACTGGGAGGCGCTGGGAATGCGGAGCAGCTTCCAGAAAGCGCATGTCAAAAACCATGTCCATAATTGGGAATTCCTTCAAAGGGAAGATGGGATGCCCTTACTCAAAAAAGCTTTTTAAGCTTTGATTAGTTAAACAAATTGTCATATAAAAGTATGAATATTATCGAATTAAAAAAATTGTGTTATAGTTTCATTCAGAAGCTTCAAACTACGTGAAGGAGTCATTTCCGACCCCATAAATCATATATATTGTTGATCAGCATCAACAGCGAATCTTTTTAGGCTTGTCCGACAAAAATTTAATTTTTTCAAAATTTTCAAAATTTTATAAGGGTAACATCGTTAAAATTGTCAAAAATTGGCAAAAAAAATTTAATTTCTTTAAACTTCAAATTGAGTATGCAGATTTGATAACATAATAAAAACTAATATATGAAAGGTTTCCTAATTAAGATTAATGCATTTTTAGCTGAGTTATGAGTTCTTTTAACTTTGATTCGAATCAATTAATAGAATATTGCTAATATTTTAACATTTTAAGCTTAGTCATGAGCGATTTCCGTTAAGATTCTATAATTAAATTACAAAATACAAGGGCATATATAACTGAGCTTCCCGAAGTTAGTTTCCATTCTTTTTTTAATAAATTTTGTACAAATTTTCTATAAATTTTTCAATAATATGTTAAACCGGAGACTTGAAAATAAATTGTGACCCTTTTTGTTGTTTTAACTAGTGGTTTTTGTACATAAATATTAAAACCAAGTCCTTAAGAGTCGTCCTACTACCATCGCTATTACCCTTTTCGAAGGCAAGGAACGTGTAGGCGCTGGCGTTGGGAGTACACGAGGAAAGTAGGCGCACGTCAACGACTCCCATTAGCAAGTCGCTCTGGGCCGTGAAAGTGGTGTCCAGCCCCGGACCGGGCTCCAAGGCGATCCCAGCTTCTGAAGAGCAGCTTCAACTTCGGCCCAGTTATTTTTTGCGAGTCAAAATTGAAAAATTTGTATGTTACTTATTTTATTAGCATTTAACACTCTGTCCCATTTCTCAGACGAGAGCGAAAGGACGGAGAAAGGACCGGACTGCAGCGGTAGACATGCAATCCGAATGTCTGGTCTCGCATGCCATCTCCAACTCCAGTTGGTGGTAAGTACCCCCAGCTCCCTCTGGATCGTACCTGTGGGTGGCCTGGCCCCAATCCACGAATCCTGGTCTCCGTGTGTGGCATTTCGGCAATTGTCAAATTGAAAATTCATTAAAGCCGAATTAAATATGCAAATTCAGAGCAGCCCAAGTTGAGGAGGAGGACATCCAGTGCCCGTTGGCCGCTCATTGTTCCTCCTCAACTGTTTGACTTGGCTCTGCAAATATTGACCGCCACGGAGAGAGGTGGAAAAAATTGGAAAATATCATATGTACATATGGCAGCTCCTCCTCGGTTGCTAAAAAAAAGTCAAGTGGAAATCAAAGCAAATACGAGGGCTTCGGATGGAAGCAAACAAGCTCCTGTGGATGGGTTGGCCACTGAATGGGGCGAGGACTCTACCGGAAAGCGTTCAAAATTGTTTAAACAAATATCGTGCATAAATTGCACATTGTCCGTGGAGTGGCCGGCAAATTGCTCTGGGCATGGGTTAATTCCCATGAAAATTAAAACTAGATTATACACAAGGACTCAGCTCACCACAGCCTCGCCTCGAATCGGTCCCTGCAGCGCCCACTGTGTCATTGTTTGGGCACGCCCTCGGCTCTCGTCTGCCATATCCCATTGTGCCGGCACTTTGTCATAGATTGCATACTGATGGTTATCATCTCCGAGGAGGAGGTGGAAGATGCGTTCAGTTCTTTAGATGGGAGATCGGTCCATGGAACAGCACTTTTTGTCGCACGGCACCTTTGACTTTGATGCCGCAATTCCCTTGTTTTGTTTTGCCAACATTTTGGATCAATATCTGGACTGATCTCCCTGGCAACTGACTGGCGCCAGCATTGATCCCCTTATCCCTTATCGAAACAAGACTAATTCGCCACACATATTTTATAGGATTATGCATTTGAGACGGCTGTGTGCCAGGTTACATGAGATCTTCTGACCTGGCCAGACTTACATTATTTAAATACAAGAGAAATGCATTCTAAACTTGTATTCCAAATAATCATACAAGGACAAATTGATAACTAATAGGACAAATTAAGGCAATAAGGGGATACGAAACAGAGAAACATTAATTTCATGGTGCATTTAGCCAAGTTCCTTCTTCGTTTCCGAGTCGGAAGTGGCAGAGTCATAACCGATCGACAAATTGTGATTGCTATTGTTATGAGAAAGGATCAAAAGGTCCCACGGAACCCTATCCCCCAGCCAGATCCCAGCCAAGTGATCAATTCAAATTTGAAACACTACGAGAGCTGGTGGCGAGGAACAAAGAAAACCAGATGAAAACTACGCAATCACTTGAGAAAAATCAAAAAGGCTCTGAAGGACCTACTCGGCCTCTCCTCTCCTGGCCCTGGTCGTAACCATAACGTAACAGGTGGCACGGAAGCCGCACAAAATAAAAATGATTAAAGCAATAAAAAAAGAAAAACGAAACGAAACGAAAAAAAAAACTCTCACACAAAAGACGGGGCAATGGAGAGCCTTAACAGCAATTTTTAATAAGATTTTTCGTAAATTTTGAGGCCTAGGAGAGAGGCTGTCCCCTCCTGTTGCTCAAACAACTTCCGATTTCGATTTCGATTCCGATCCTCGATCCTTGATCCTCTGTCCTTTTGGGCGTCTCCCCGGCAGCGAGTCAAGTGTGAGAACATTTTGCGGAAGGATGTGGCTAGGATGAAAAATGACTAAGAAAAGCGAAGGCGAAGGGATTGAAGCTGCCTAGACCTGGCAGACCACGTGGTTAAGATTCACTTTCGAGTGACTCACTCAGATGATTAGGAACGCAAATAATTGGATACACAATAGAAAAAGAACTTCAGAAACTAAAACTATCTTTAAAAGTAAAGCAAATTTTGGATTAATATACGAGTTGTGTTAAATTTTTAAGCATTCTACTTTCTTCTTCTCTCTGCAATACCTTGGTTTAAATTAATCCAAACTCTATTTTATAGTTTCTACTAAATAAATACCACGTTACTCTTATTCAATGAAACCACTTTTTCTCGGTGTGAAATAGAGTTCTGAAGCTCTGAATGGATAAGAAATTACCAAGGAATTCTCGTAGCGTAATTGAGCATCTAATTTGCGGCGGCAGGCGGCAAAGACGGCAATTGCAAGAACTCCTCGGAACCCCTCGGAATCGTCGGCATTCCGGTCACGATTTGTTCTAGATGCACTTCATGAATGGAACCCAGGAAAGTGTTTCCCTTAAACCCAACCCAACCTCCGTCTCGAAACCCATTGAGAGACCCGCCGAACCGCGGCCACTCGAGCGCGAAACAATTAACAAGTTTTCATAGCGATAATACAACAATTGCCATATTGTTGCACTCAAGATTTTGTTGTTAGCCGCGGAGAATAAAAAATAAAACAGAAGAGAGTGCCAGCGAATTCCTTTGAATTCACGGATTCAACCCCGGGGCCAGAGGGACACGGCCACTGCTGACCTTTGGAAGGGGAACCGATCGGAGGCCACTCGCCGATCGCTGAAAGAAAACGAAAATTTATAATAATGAGGAGAGGGGCGTAGCGGTGCGGGTGCGGGTGCGGGGTATAAAATGTAAACTAAAGATACTATTTATATGCATTATTTCGGCTGAAAAGGAAGTACCAAATTACATTTAATTAGGCGAAACAACGAAATTCGCGTACCGTACGCGAATCCGAGATAAAGATGGGCAAATGGAGTGGGATCAGGAGCAGGAGCAGGAGCAGGCGCAGGAGCAGGCGCAGGAGCAGAAGCAGGATGGATGGCCAGTCAGAAGTCAGACCGATTACCACCGAAATCCGAGTCGAGTTGAGTCCCTGGAGCCCATCGACTGGCGACTGCGACTGACGACTGCCTTTGGGTGAAATTTGCACGTTTAACCTTTAGGCAAACAAAATTAACAGAACAGCAAGGGGTCACTGAGAGAAAAAAGGGATTACATATTTAGAAATCTGTTTTGTTTTTTTAATATATTGGGTTTTAAATTGAAATTATGGTTATATTTGTGAAAACGCTAAGCAATCTAAACATGTCATAAACTTATACACTCTTAACTTAAAAGGTCAAAAATCTGAAAAAAAAATATTTCTAAAAACAGATCACTAATTCTTGTAATTATTTAAATTATTTTAAGCATGAATTTGCTAAGAAAACTGGTAGTTTCTCTCTGTGCAAAGAGCCGCAACAATCAGCAATCGAAAACTGCGAACCTGTTGAACCCAAACGCAATTTTCATATCACTTTGATTGCTGCCCAGGATGACACGCGTGCGCCGGCTAGAGAGATGAGATAAGCTGCCGATGATCCAGGCAGCCCCGAGAGTCTGGATGAAGACGGGCTCAATCCGAAGCCGAGAACGATGCCGAAATTAGGGTAACAACCGAGGAGGAAGCAAAAAAAAGCGAAACTTTCAAACGGTTTCAAGGACTGGATGGCCTCTTATTCTTTCTTCTTTCCCTTTTATGCGTCTTTTCAATTCTGCGGAGGTCAGTTTATGATAATTCCTCTTTTCCCATAGGTGCCATTGGCACTTCTCACCTTTTTTCTCCTGTCTGCTGTAAGGACGAGAGTCAAGTGGCCGCCGTCCATCCCAGACAAAAGAAATCGAAATTAAATGCAAACAAATCCCAAAACGGTCAGTGTGAGAAATGACTTTCTAGGAAGGATCTTCCTGCATAACAAGCAACATGATCTCAGTGGCAGTAGTTGACTGTCAACAGACGAATCCCTATCCCCGATCGAGGGTAATTGATATGTTTTACCTTGTAGCATTGTGTAGTGTACAAGTGAAATGTAAATCGTAACTGATATCGACCTGGGGCCAATTTCTCAAACATCAGAGCCAATGAAATTGAAAAATTGGACATCAGATAAGTGGCTACTACTGTCTGGAGTCCCTAGCAGTTATTTTGGAGTCCATTCTAATTTGAAAATCAAATTTTGGATTGGGTTTGGAAAACCGCTGACAGTTCGAATTTTGTTTCTCTGAGGTGACAATTGCATTTAAAGGAAAATTGATATTTTTAACCGCATGTGTCACTTGTTGAGCGACCACACAGGCACTGGAGTCTAGGAAGGCTCAAACCAGGTAGCGGAGAATCAAGGGAAATTCCCAGCAAATTACCAGGATGATCAATGATCATTCAGAGTTTGCCATTTGGTTGCAGGAAGAGGCGTTTCGCTTAATGGAAACTAGAGCAAAATGTGTGAAAAGCCAGAGCCAGAGCTCAAATAATTACTATAATGCTTTTTTCGGACCAGAACAAAGGACTGTGAGCTCCTTAAATTAACTCCCAGAGGTAGAGTCATAATTAGCATAATTACAGAGGATCAAACCGACGCCAGGACAAATTCCCAGATGAAAAATTCGATTTATAAAACTCAAATCCAATGATCACTCTATTTCGATTTCCAAGAATCCGTGGAACCGTTTGATAAATTGACCAGAAACTCGTGTCTGACTTAACGCCCTCGCTGGAGCAGCGGCGTCAGAAGGGGTTAATTGCCTCGGGGATACAGGACTCTATCACGTGTCCAGGCATAGCCAGGCATCCTTTACAGCGGAGTGAGTCGAGCGAACAACTTTAATTGCCCCAATTCAAAAAAGAGAAAAACGGGGATGCGTTGGCGTTCACCACAATCCTGGCAGGCTTTGACTGTGTTTGCACTGCATTCGTTCGATTCGTATGGAGATATAGGTACAGATATACATAGATGCCAGGAGAGCGGCACAAATATAAACAATAATCAATCTCTTCAAGGGTTGGGTAAACAAGAAAAAAATAAAAACACACAAAGAACTCGGACGGCAATGACATGTCCATGGGCCAGTCAGATTTCGAAGGCGTTCTTGAATTGATTATTCCTTTGGGTACAAAAGAAATTAAATATGAAAGGGTCTGCTCTAATTTAATACATATTTATGAGGAAAATAGATCAATGCCAATGCAACGATCCTGGAAAGAATCCTTTAAGTGGCTCCTTAGGGGTCGAGAAACACTTAAGGATTAAATTGTGTACCTAGTTTGGGGTTCGCTATCGTAAATCCAATGATTAGGATAAGTTTTGGTAGAATAAATTACTTAATTAACTGAGAAATCAGAGAATTTATAAGCACAATTAATTGTTTATTTGTTCAGCATGTAGCTTAATAACTTATTTGTAAGGCAAGTAAACATTCTTCGAGCGAAACCACCTTGTCGCCATAACTGTTCTGCGTTCTCTCCTTTTCTACCTTTACTTGGCCACAAGTTAATTTTTAAACGCTTCATTAACTTTTGGCCACACGCGGTCCCAACTTTTTCCTCTGCCCTTGCCTCTTGTTTCCTTGCGGGACTCGGCTCAGGTTCGTCTGACGCGCGTCTGCCAAGGCGGTCGATGGGTCGTTTAGCCTGTTGGTCCGGTCCTAAACACCTCGCCCTTTCGTCACTAGAAAAAAAGGCGAATGCTTTTTACTTCCGATTTTTTTATATTTGTTCTTTTTATTCGCTGGCATCAATATATTTTGGAAATGCAGCGCATGGCGACAGCTGGCACACGCTTTTTTCTGGTGATTTGGAATCCATACAAGCAACGGCGTGTGTGGCACGTTTTTTGCCTGTGCGTCGTGCTCGTCGCAATCGTGGGTATGTGGCTGCAATAGAAATGCGAGTGAAAGCGGCGACAGATGGTCGAGATGCAGGCGCAAGTGTCAAGGCTGGGTTTATCGTTATTAATATTTATTTATGAAATGCATTTAAGTTCGATAGATAAATGGCGCCAAGAGGTGATCGAATACTATTCGATAACTAAACCCCAAAACCAAGTGTGGTAACACTGGGCTGCTCTGGCAACTCTGAAGATAAGAAAATTCATTTTGGGAAATGTGCTAAATGCACATAATATTAAAATAATAAATAAGATTGCCAAGTTATACGCTGTACAGTGTATGAACTGTTAAATTAAAATAATTCGATAAGTTGAGCTCTTCAAATGATATGGTCTTAAATAGAAAAACAACTGTTGCGCTATCTACTTTTCATTCTCTGGTCACACCATCGCGCACATGTTTGTTTTGTTGACAAAACCGTCAACATGTCGCGAAAAACCTGGAATTCCCTGGACAAACCGCCGCTCTCTGATGCTGTGCTGCAGGTGGTACAGAGCTTCGGCTTCCAGCAGATGACTCCCGTCCAAACGGCCGCCATACCTCTGCTTCTGGCGCGAAAAGATGTCTCCGCTGAGGCTGTTACGGGCAGCGGGAAAACGCTGGCTTTTCTTGTACCCTTGCTGGAAATCCTGCAACGGCGCCATAAGGAGACCGCCTGGGGATCCAAGGAGATCGGAGCACTCATCATCTCGCCCACCAGGGAACTGGCTCGCCAGATATCCGAGGTGCTGGCTAAATTCCTTGAGCACGAGGATCTTGAGCACCTGAATCAACAGTTGATTGTAGGCGGAAACAGCATCGAGGAAGATATCGCTACGCTCAAAAAGGAGACGCCATGCATACTAGTGTGTACCCCCGGCCGACTCGAGGACCTCTTTCAGCGGAAAGGAGACGATCTGAATCTGGCGGCGCGTGTCAAAAGTCTGGAATTCTTGGTACTCGACGAAGCCGATCGGCTGCTGGACATGGGATTTAAGACCAGTGTAAATAACATTCTCGGCTACCTCCCAAGGCAAAGAAGAACTGGCCTGTTCTCCGCCACCCAAACTACGGAGGTTACAGACTTAATAAGAGCAGGATTACGAAATCCTGTGCTGGTTTCAGTGAAAGAGAAAGCGTCTGTTAACACTCCCGCTCGTCTGCAGAACTTCTACAAAATTGTCGAACCAGAGCAAAAATTCCTGGCACTGCTGGAGTTCCTCAGCTCCCCCGCCACTCGAACCGGCAAGGTGATGGTGTTCTTTCCCACCTGCGCCTGCGTGGAGTACTGGGCTGAGGCTCTGCCTCCGTTTCTGCCCAAACGCACGGTGCTGGGTATCCACGGTAAGATGAAGAACAAGCGGGCAAATGTGGTGGAGAAGTTCCGCAGCGAACCGGAGGCTGTGCTCCTCTGTACGGATGTCCTAGCGCGCGGCTTGGATGTACCAGAAATCGAATGGGTGGTGCAATGGGATCCGCCCTCCACTGCCTCCAGCTTCGTGCACCGTGTGGGACGCACCGCTCGGCAAGGAAATGAGGGCAACGCCTTGGTATTTTTACTGCCCAGCGAAGATTCCTATGTGCACTTCCTGAGGATCAACCAAAAGGTAGAACTGAATGAGGTGATCCAGGAGACAGACGAAGAGACAACTCAAGTGCTGGAGCTTCCGGCTGTGCTACAGAAACTACATCGTTTGCAAGCGGCAGACAAGGGTATCTACGACAAAGGAATGCGCGCCTTCGTTTCCCATGTGAGAGCCTACACCAAACATGAATGCAGCGCTATTCTTCGCCTAAAGGATCTCGATCTGGGCAAAATGGCCACTGCCTATGGTCTCCTGCAATTACCCCGCATGCCAGAGTTCAAAAACTACAAGGGCGATGGCTACATAGCACCCACCTTCGAGGTGGATGTAAACAAGCTGACCTACAAAAATGTCCAAAAGGAGCAAGTGCGTCAAAAAAAGCAACAAATGTACGAAGAAACGGGGAGCTGGCCGGGCCTGAAAAAGCACCAAAAGCGCACCGAGTCCTGGGATCAGACTAAGAAGGCCAAGCTAGACGCCAAGTCAAAAAAAGAGCTGCGCAAGGCCAAGAAGAAGCGCAAGAAGGAGGCGGAAGCAGAGGCCGGAGGCACGGGACCAGGAAAACGAAAGAAGCAACAGTTTAGCCAGGAGGACCTCGATGAGCTGGCCAGTGACATTCGGCTTTTCAAACGACTAAAGAAGAACAAGATCAGCGAGGAAGACTATGACAAGGCAATGGGCATTAAGGACGATGATTGATCTAAGGCCGCGGGGACTTGCTTACGGTTAATAAAAATGTTGTTATGAAACAAAGTGTATTTATTTAATTCTAATTCCAATTATTGAACATTTAATAGAAGAAATATTTGAACATACGCTGAAGTTGAAAGATGGGTTGGAGTCTAGGGAAGCTTTCAAACTCTTTTAAAATTTGAAAATAATGTTTATGCTTAAGATGTCTGGATCGATTTGGCTTTTGATGCTGATCAAGAATATACAGGGTCGGAAACTACTCCTTTATAGCGTTACAATTTTCTGAATTAAATGAAACTACCATTTAAAGGTATTAAAATTAAATTAGACAAATATAAATAATATATTTTACTGAACATATAATAAATTTATTAAATATAAATACAAAAGTAATAAAAAATGTTACTGAATATGTGGGGTACCAAAATTTGGATTCGAACCTTTCTACAACTAAATGAGATGATGGAATAACAGACGCTATGAGAATATCGGGCGCAACCTTAAGCGGTGTTTCCATCGACGACGATCTGGAGGATGATACGGCGCTTCGGATCGTAGGAAAAACCGTTGGTGCGGAACAGATCAGAGTCATAGAACGGCTTCAGGTTGCTAATATCGAGCTGCTTGGCCCGATCGATCAGGTCGCGCTCCATAATTTCCACATGCGTGGCTCCGGGTCCGTCCTTGCAACGAATGTAGGCAAGCTGGTCGAGCGTCAGCTGGCGCAGAATGAAGAAGAGTAGCTCGGAGTGGTCCTTCTGGAAGGAAAGGTACTTCTGGAATGTGTTGCGCATCTTCTTCATCACGCTGAATTTCTGCGCCTCGATGAAGCTCTCCAACATCATGCGGATGGCCATGCTGACGTCCGCCTCAAGGACATTCTCGCGCAGATGCATTCGAGCGTGGGCCTCGGACATGCGGATGACGCTCTCGATGTGACGCACCGTAATGGGCAGCGATCCAGTGGCGTACGACTCCTGGCGCAGCTGGGCGTACATCTTGGCGATCTTGTCCTCGTCTATGTTCTATACGGCGAAAAGAGGTAAGCAATGAATATAATCCTTAGAATCTTGGGACTGAATCGAACTAACCGTTAGCTTGGGCCGTATGTTCTCCTTGGCGTATACAATGTATTGACGAAGCAAATCCTGCGGGATGTCATCCACGGCCTTCAGCTGCGGCTCCTCCAGTTCCGGCTGCTCCTCCTCGCTTGGGTGGTGTTTCATATGTGAATGGACCACGAACTTCGCCAACTGCTGGTCCTGCATCGGATCGAACTCGTCCTTGACCACGCACAGGATGTCGAAACGGGAGAGAATAGGCTCCGAGAGATTCACGTTCTCCGAGAACGTCATCGAAGGATCGTAGCGTCCGCCGATGGGATTTGCGGCGGCTATGACGGTGCAGCGCGCCTGCAAGGAGGTAACGATGCCAGCTTTTGAAATCGAGATGGACTGCTGCTCCATGGCCTCGTGAATAGAGGTACGGTCTTGGTCGTTCATCTTGTCGAACTCATCGATCAGGCAGACTCCCTGATCGGCAAGGACGAGAGCACCCGCCTCTAAGGTCCACTCCCGCGAGACGGGGTTCCGTCGAACGTAGGCGGTAAGACCCACGGCACTGGCTCCTTGGCCCGTTGTAAAGACGGCCCGTGGTGCAACCTTTTCCGTATACTTGAGGAACTGCGACTTGGCCGTTCCGGGGTCTCCGCAAATCAGCAAATTGATGTCGCCCCTGACCTTGTGCTTCTCGCCGGGATTCTTAGACTCACCACCGAAGAGAGCCAGGGCCAGAGCCCTTTTAATGTAGTCGTGTCCGTAAATGGATGGAGCCATGGAGGCAACCACGCGCTCAGCAATGCGAGGATCCTTGCTCAGCTTCTGGATTGTGGCAATGTCCTCGTCCGTTAACGACTGAACCACTTGCTTTGAGTCCTTGACAACCACATGGTTAGCAATAATTACGGTGGCAAACACCGGGAATCCCTGATCCGTGTTCAAAGAGCCATCGTAGTTGTTGGTATAGATGCCGGTGACCTCCAGCTCATCGCCGGGCTTGCACTGATCACACAGATCGGCCAGCAGAATGACGTCCTTACTGCGAGGAATGCGGCCGGCGGGAATCCGGCCCGGCGACTCCTGCAGCGTGATCTTTTGGTAGTTGCGATACAGTGTCTGCTCCATGTTGATGGAAAAGGGTCCAGTGCTCTGGCACTCGGGACAGGAGCCCGGCTTGATCTCCGTGTTCTGCGACTGGACAAAGGGACCGAGCACATAGCCGCACTTGACGCAGTCGTACTTGATCACAGACAACTGCGGCAGGACGCCAGTGGTGGCGGTCACCACGCCCAAGGTGCGCACCAACTGGTTCAGATGCAGCTTCCGGAACGTGCGCAGCTCCTCGATCAGAGGCAGCTCGGATATTCTCACATGGATCTCGGTAGTCACACGCTCGTAGGTGGGAAAGATAGACAGAACCATGTCCTTGGCCACCTTGTCGAAGATCTCGAGCATTTGAAACGGAGCTTCTGGCAGGAAGTAGGCCAGCACGTGCTCCTTGTTGGCTAGATCCGTGTAGGAGACGACAAACGACGACTTATTCTGCTCACACATCCGACGAATCCGATCGCGATAAGTGTACGCGCCCCGATCGTCCACGAAGGTGCGCAGGAAGGACTGGAAGCGATTAGCGATCTCAGTGCGCGGTCCCAGCATGCTCACCCACTCTTTGGTCGAGTGGCCTTTCGTGTCCTCCAAATTTTCGATGGACTCAACCATCTCGGTGTCCTCCACCTCACCCACGGCAGCCTTTTCGCCGGCACGTCGCTTGGCTCGAGGTCCAACATCGTCCTCGTCGTCCGACTGCCCGAAGCCAAGATCACGATCATCTCGATGAATTCCAGCCGCTCGGTCGCGGCGGCGCATCTCCGACTCAGCGGCAAAACGGTCGCCCTGCGACATTTCCGAGAAGTCATCCTCGTCGTCCAGCATTGCCGGATCATAGTGATCTAGCTCCGGCATGGGCCGGTAGTCGTTCTCCATGTTGTCCCCAAACAATTCCTCGCCATCCTCCTCCTCCGCTTCGTCCCGCACCGTCTGATCCCCAAGATCTCATCCTCGTTCTCGAACGGCTCAAAGTCACCCACCGGCGACGTCATGGCCGCTCGCATCTCGCGGCGCTCAACGGCGGCGTCGCTGGGCGTATTTGGTGGAGGTGAACTGGGATTGTCCATGTTGTTTGTGCGTCTGTTGTGCTTGGAGTTCTCTTGGAATCTGTTTTTACTTTTTTGTGCTCCCGATCTCTTGTTATAGCGACGCGTGCGAATTGCGCGGGAAAAGTGCTGCCAAATGATAGAAACCAGGGTTGCAACTTTAGATTTCCATACAGAACTACAGGGCTGCACAACTACAGCAACGACAAGTGAAGTGGTAATAAATTATATTTTGGTGTTTAAATGCACTCCATTTAAAATAAGAGTCCTATTTAAATTATCAATGATATCTGCATGATTTGCTATGTATATTAACTATCTTTTTTTATGTTATATCTATTCAAAAGCACAGATAACATAATAAAAATATCAAATAAAAATAATTTTAATTTAATATTTGAAATATATAATCATCGTTAATACGTACCTCCTAGAATTGAATATCTGCGTTAATTCCTTAAGTTTGAAAAAAGGGAATAAAATCGAAATTCTGAAATTTATTTTAAAACTGTTCAAGTTGCTAATGTATTTACTCTTGATTCGTACCAAAGGGCTTAAATAAATCGTTTCAAAAAAAATATGTTTAAATAATAATTAATAAATTAACTTTAATTATAATTATACATACGAATTATGTAATACATGCATTTTTGTGGTATATTTAAATGGCCTTGTTTTTTATGTTATACATATATAAATATATGCACGCACGAGAGTCGCGTACATCGAGGCAAATAAATAACATTTCTGATTTTGGTAATAGTAACATTTTATTTGAAAAATACATTAATTATACATATCCATATCGAATCAAAATTATAGTGATATTGTGGGATACGTTTGAGCGACGAATCACTGTATTGCCTAACATGCAGTCCCAACTGGAACCAGTTCCATCCAAACCACTCACCACTGATTCGAAACGAACAAGCTGCCCCTCCCGAATCTTCTCTCATATAGAACTGCAGTACTGTAAAACTGCAGCAAGGTACAGTGGTGTGGGGATAAAGGATAACTTGCACTCTAAAATTAGGCAATTTCATATATAAATTTATTTGTTTTTTTTTTTTTAGATATGTGTATGATTTGCCATATATATTAATTGTTTTTTTTTTTAATATCAATTCATTTCGTAATTGCAACACAAGTTAAACACAAATTGAACAATATCAACTTGATATTTAATATATATGAATTTCGTGAAATAAAACAACTTCTGATTTGATTGAAGTTAAAAATATGGTTTGTGATAGTAGAAATGTTGTATATTTTTAATACACTAAACATAGAAATTCATAACGGGTTAAAATTATCCTAATATTGTCGTGTACGTGCAACCGACGAATCACTGCACTGCCGGCAACCCCGAAAGGAACCAGTTCCATTTGAGCCACGAACCAATGGTTCAAAACCTACAAGCCCTTCCCGCCTCTTTTGGCATCATTTAGCGACCAGCCGACGAACTGCATTTCTGTGAAATTATATTTGCTTGTGAAATTGAACTGTTTTAATTAAATAACAAGATGGTCTACGCGTCGTTGTCCTCAGGAGTCATTGATGTAAGTATGACATTCATAAATGAAAAAAATTTGATTTCAAAATATGTATATTCCGGGGTCACAGCGCATCATGCATGGCGAGGACGTCTCCAAGCCGGTGCTCCAGATTCTAGCGATCAAGAAAATCAACAGCAACGAGGACTCTGAGCGCTTTCGCATCATGATCTCTGACGGCAAGTACTTTAACAGCCACGCCATGCTGGCCAGCCAGCTGAACGAGATGCAGCAAAAGGGCCAGCTGGACGAGTTCACCATTGTGCAGTTGGACAAGTATGTGACTTCCATGGTGGGCAAGGACGGCGCTGGCAAGTAAGTTGCAACCTAGTAGAGTTTTTCCAAGCGCTAGAACTGAACCAAACTTCTATTTCAGGCGCGTGCTTATCATCTCAGAATTGACGGTTCTCAATGCTGGCGCCGAAGTGAAGGTTAAAATCGGTGAGCCAGTCAACTACGAGAATGCCTCCTAACAGGATCCGGCAGCACCTTCTCAGACTGCTGCTGCTGTCAAAAAGGAGCCCGCCCTTCGATATTTCCGAGAAGTCGTCATTGTCCTCCAGCATCGCCGGATCATAGTGGTCTAGCTCCGGCATGGGCCGGTAGTCGTTCTCCATGTTGTCCCCGAACAGCTCCTCGCCATCCTCCTCCGTTTCGTTCCGCACCGTCTGATCCCCCAAAATCTAATTTTCATTCTCGAACGACTCGAAGTCACCCATCCAGCGACGTCATTGCCACTCGCATCTCGCGGCGCTCGGCGGCGGCGTCGTTGGGCGTATTTGGTGGAGCTGAACTGGGATTGTCCATGTTGTTTGTGCGTCTTTTGTGATTGGAGTTCTCTTGGAATCTGTTTTTTCTTTTTTGTGCTCCCGATCTCTTGTTATAGCGACGCGTGCGAATTGCGCGGGAAAAGTGCTGCCAAATGATAGAAACCAGGGTTGCAACTTTAGATTTCCATACAGAACTACAGTGCAGCACAATTACAGCAACGTACAGGGAAGTGGGGATAAATTATATTTTGCTGTTTAAATTTAGTCCATTTAAAATAATAATGCTATTTAAATTATTAAGGATATGTGTATGATTTGCCATGTATTTTAACTATCTTTATTTAATGTCATATCTATTCAAAAACAGATAAAATAATATCAATTTAATATTTTAAATATCGTTAATTCGTACCTCTTCAAATTGTAATTATTTGGTTTAATGTCTTATGTTTGAAAAAAAGGAATAAAATCAAAATGATGAAATTTCTTTTAAAACTGATCCAGTTGCTGATGTATTTACACTTGATTAGTACCAAAGGTCTTAAATAAATCGTTTCCAAAAATTAAGTTTAAAAAATATTAATAAATTAACATTAATTATAATTATACGTACGAATCATGTAATAAATGTATTTTCGTGGCATATTTAAATGTCTCGTTTTTTTATGTAATATATATATATATATATATATAAATGCACTCACGGGGGTCGCGTTCAAATAAATAACACTTCTAATTTTGGTAAAAGTACAATTTTATTTGAAAAATAAATTAATCAACCTAATCCATATCCAGTCAAAATTATAGTGATATTGTGTAATACGTGTAAGCGACGAATCACTGTACTACCTAACACGCTGCTCCAACTGGAACCAGTTCCATCCGAGACACTCACCGCTGATTTTAGGAGATGTGTATGATTTAATTCATCTCGTAAAGGCAACACAAATTGAATAATATCAATTTAATATTTAATATATATGAATATCGTAAAACAAAACAACTTCTGATTTGATTGAAGGCAAAAATATGGTTTGTGATAGTAGAAATGTTGTATATTTTCAATACACTAAACATAGAAATTCATAACGAGTTAAAATTATCCTAATATTGTCGTGTACGTGCAACCGACGAATCACTGTACTGCTGGCAGCCCCGAAAGGAACTAGTTCCATTTGCGCCACGAACCAATGATTCAAAACGAACAAGCTGCCCTTCCCGCCTCTTCGGGCTTCACTTAGCGCCCAACCCTCGAACTGCATTTATGTGAAATTATATTTGCTTGTGAAATTGAACTGTTTTTAATTATTAACAAACAAGATGGGCTACGCGTCGTTGTCTTCAGGAGTCATTGCTGTAAGTATGACATTCAGAAATAAAAAATTTGATATGAAAATATGTACGGTGGGCACAGCGCATCATGCATGGCGAGGACGTCTCCAAGCCAGTGCTCCAGATTTTGGCGATCAAGAAAATCAACAGCAACGCCGACTCTGAGCGCTATCGCATCTTGATCTCTGACGGAAAGTACTTTAACAGCTACGCCATGCTGGCCAGTCAGCTGAACGAGATGCAGCACAAGGGCCAGCTGGACGAGTTCACCATTGTGCAGTTGGACAAGTATGTGACCTCCATGGTGGGCAAGGACGGCGCTGGCAAGTAAGTTGCAACCTAGTAGAGTTTTTCCAAGCGCTAGAACTGAACCAAACTTCTATTTCAGGCGCGTGCTGATCATCTCGGAATTGACGGTTCTCAATGCTGGCGCCGAAGTGAAGGTTAAAATCGGTGAGCCAGTCACCTACGAGAATGCCTCCAAACAGGATATGGCGCCAAAGGCAGCACCTCCTCAGGCTGCTACTGCTGTCAAAAAGGAGCCCGCCTTTAAGAACAACAATAATAACAACAATAACATTTCGATGAACGCATCGATCAACAGCGGAATGACGCACCCCATTTCTAGCCTGAGTCCCTATCAGAACAAGTGGGTTATCAAGGCGCGCGTGACCTCCAAGACTGCAGTGCGCACCTGGAGCAACCCCCGCGGCGAGGGTAAGCTCTTTAGTATGGATCTCATGGACGAATCGGGCGAGATCAGGGCCACAGCCTTCAAGGAGCAGTGTGACAAGTTCTTTGATCTGATCCAAGTGGATAGCGTCTACTTCTTCTCCAAGTGCCAGCTGAAACCTGCGAACAAGCAGTTCTCGCAGCTTAACAACCCATACGAGATGACCTTTACCGGTGAGACGGTCGTGCAGCTGTGCGAGGATCCTGACGACGGCGCCATTCCGGACATCAAGTACAACTTAGTGCCCATTTCCGAGGTGGCGGGAATGGAGAACAAGGCAGCAGTGGACACGATTGGCATTTGCAAGGAGGTGGGCGAGCTGCAGTCTTTTGTGTCGCGCACCACCAACAAAGAGTTCAAGAAGCGAGAACTCACCCTAGTGGACATGAGCAGCTCAGCTATTAATCTGACCCTCTGGGGTGATGATGCCGTCAACTTTGACGGCCATGTACAGCCCGTTATCTTGGTCAAAGGCACACGCATCAATGAGTTTAACGGCGGCAAGAGTTTGAGTCTTGGCGGTGGCTCCATCATGAAGATCAATCCGGACATACCCGAGGCCCACAAGCTGCGCGGTTGGTTCGATAATGGCGGCGGTGATAATATCGCCAACATGGTCTCAGCGCGCACGGGCGGAGGTTCCTACTCCACCGACTGGATGACACTGAAGGATATACAGATCCGCAATCTAGGCTGTGGCGACAAGCCCGACTATTTCCAGTGCAAGGCGGTGGTGAACGTTGTCAAGCAGGAGAACTCCTATTACCGCGCCTGCCCTCAGACCGACTGCAACAAGAAGGTTGTGGATGAGGGCAACGAACAGTACCGCTGTGAGCGCTGCAACGCGCTCTATCCGAACTTCAAATACCGCCTTCTGGTCAACGTGAGTACAAGGATTGGGAAATATACGATGAATTTTACTAAACCAATTTACATTTTGAACTGCAGATGAGCATTGGCGACTGGACTTCCAATCGTTGGGTAACGTGCTTCAGCGAGATCGGCGAGCAGCTGCTGGGACACACTTCGCAGGAAGTCGGCGAGGCCCTGGAGAACGACGCCGCCAAGGCCGAAAAGATCTTCTCTTCCCTCAACTTCACTTCTCACATCTTTAAGCTGCGCTGCAAGAACGAGGTGTATGGCGACATGACTCGTAACAAGCTTACTGTGCAGTCCGTTGGCCCCATCAACCACAAGGAGTACAACAAGTATCTGCTCAAGGAGCTGCAGGAGCTGACTGGCATTGGCTCCGCAACCAACTAATTATCGTATTGCTTGTGCAGCGCACATTCATCCAAATAACATAAATTATGAAAATAATAAGTTACTCAATAAACTGTTTAGGATAAGAACATTTAATTCGTTTATTGTTTTGATATTTTGATATCTGGTCTTAAAACTACAATGCAATTATTAATTGGTTCTCCTACGGAAACTATTTTCCCCACGTAGTGAGTGCTCAAACTAACGAAACTGCAACGGTTTCTGCGTCATAAATAAAAGGACAAGTTCAAATCATTATTATGGTGAAAAACAATGTTTAATTGTCGCGAAATACTTGTACAATAAATAAATAGTAACACGTAATAACATTAACCGACCAAACCCTATTGCCTGGGGCTTTACTAGAGATTATTTAATTAAGGGGCTATCAAGGACTACATCTAAGGGCGCTCAGGAGTAGAGGAAAAATGGGACCACACAGAGGAAAAAATCATTGACTGTAAATTTTAAAAAATCAACGTTTCGGGGACTTATTTCTCTGCGCAGGAGCTGCCACTGGAATTGATAAGAAACGACTACAGGAAACCCATTGGCTCGTGGAGCAAAGAGCAAAGACTTGACTACGTACGGCTAACCGACCAGAGACGCTCGATCGTGAACACTTAACCTAGATCTCAGATAGCGTGGATGGGGCTCTGAACCCTAGTTGGACAGACGCTGTTCTCCCTCCGCTGGCACCACATGCTCATGGTCCTCCTTCGGCCGACTGCGCTGCTCCCTCTCCTCGGCATCGCGCTGCTCCGCCTTCTTGATCTGCTCCTGGCGCCGCGACACGCCCTCCATCGACTCCCGCAACGAGTCAATGTCTAAAGCGTTCTCATCCTTGGCGCCATCTTGCTCCTGACCCTGCCGCTGACCGCCGGCGAACTTCGAGAAGTATGTGAGGGACTTCATCAGTTGGTAGCTCTTCGAGATCGGAATGTTCGAGTCGTATATGCTAGTGCTGGAGCTGCAGTCCACGTAGAACCACCAGTTGCACTTGAGGATCGTCTGGTCAAACAAGGTGTTCTCTGGGCAGAGGAAGGACTTCCGCACCATCCCGTCGTCGGTGAGGGCGCACACATGAAAGACCTGAACGGGATATTTTTATTTTTTCCTTTTGTGACATGGTAGATAGGATATAACTTACCATGCAGCCCAAATCCGTATCGGCATAAAGACCCGGAAAGTGCTTCTGCTTGGCACAGGTAAAGCTTGTCGGTGGCAGATCCACTTTCGATTTGAAATTGTCGTCAAAGTTCTTTTCGTAGCCCACGGGATAATATTCCTTGGGGGCGTTCATTACCTTCGGTTTTGCATAAAAGTGTGTTAGAATATATAAATCATTTAATTTAATACTAAACATCCCACCTTCGACACCTTGTGCTCGGCCAGTGCCTTCTGAGGACGTGGTGTGCTAGTTGTCGTCGTCGTCGTCGTAGTTTTTACGGTGGAGGTGCGCATAAACTCCTCTCGCAGCTTAGCCGCCAGTTGGGCCCGGTGCTCCGCCTTGAGTTGCTGCTCTCGCACATAGATGGCGTGTTTGATGGTGTCCACGGTGACATTGGCCGCTGCGGCCAGCTCTTCCACGGTCACATCCTTTAGATCGAACTTGGGCTCCTCGAACTGCAAGTAGTTCGGATGATTAGACACCGTTCGGTGCTCCTTTCCCACATTGGCGATGCGGGCAATGGAGGCTGGCATGGCCTGGAACACAGGGACGGCCACGGGCTGGGAGACCACCGGATTGGCCACGTGGAAGGTGCGGTTGGAGTGCTGTAAGTACAAATAATTACTAGGAAAATTTACAAAGTGAACTGAAACTTTTTACTCACAGGCTTATCGTTGGCACTTATCAGCTTGTTGTTGACACTGACCCTGGGCTCTGGGGTGTCCACAGCTACCCGCCTCTCCGCCGTAGTTGGAGCCGGACCAGGAGCTGCGACCTCCTGCTGCTGTTTCTTCGGAATGGGTCGGAAGGCGGGAACACCCAAGGGAAGGGGACGCGCTTCGGTCATCAGTTGGGCCTGCTGTGCTTGCTGTTGTTGTTGCTGCTGCTGCAGTAGCAAAAGCTGCTGTTTCAGTTTTAGTTGCTGCTGCTGCTGCTGCTGTTGCTGAACTTGCTGAAGGTTGTAAGCCGCTGCCCCGGTGGAGCGTGAACTGATTCTCTTCTCCGGTAAGGGTTGTTGGATCGGGGTATTGGCCTACGAAGAGATATAACCAGATTCAAGTACATTATGACGATTGGCATACATTTATCCACTGAGTGAACCCACCTGCTGCTGGGTGGAGGGAAGCACGCCCACCAAATCCGGTGGAGCTCCGTTCTTGTAGCTAATGGCTCGTCGGCGATCGCTCTCCACATTGCCCAGCGACTCCGGAAAGCCCAGCTCATCGCCCAGGCTGAAACCTGCAATTCGGTGGGCAAAGGTTTGAGGGTTAAGTCGGGCCCATCAATCACACTTTACAAACGTGGCCAAGAGAGGGTTGGGCAATGATGTGTTAATTAATGACCCTTGTTTTCCCTTCACGTGGTAAGTCCATTTGCCGGCCGAGGGTCTTAGCTTTATCAAAGTCTTGCATCTGCTCGGTTGGTATGTGCACAAAGTCTGGTTAGGATCGGATCCATTAATAAAAGGGGTCAATGGATAGGTGTACGGCTCAGCCCACCAAATTTGCGTAACTCTTTTTGATATTTTGTGTAAAAACAAGAGTGAATTTTAAAATTTGTATACTTTTAATTAGGAATACTTTAAATCTCCTCGATTTTGTAGGTAATTTACAATGAATTTACAAAGTATTTAAAATATTCTTGACTTAAAAACCTGTTACCTAATGGACTGTACCAAAAATATCATAAAAAACTGTACCATAAATATATTAAACAAATTGTCATTTATTTTTCTTTGAAAAACTTTCCTTGATTAATATGGATTTAATCAAAAAATATTTAATGGCGTATCTGACTCAATCTGCAGAGCTGCAAAAACTTCTTAATTATAAAAAGACAAGTCAAGTCCAAGTTAGTCTTTGTTTTTTTTTGTGTTAGAAGAATTTCGATTTACTAAATATGATCTGTTAATGCTGTTTGAGCCGTAAAGTGATAACGACCCCTCTTCGGTGCCCCTGATAAGTGAACTACAGGTCAATGTTCAGGTTTTTTTTCTTGACTTTTCTGTGCTTCACGTTTGCTCCACTTATCTATCTATCGGTCTACCGAGAGGTCTGACATTGGCATTAATGCATTAATGATTTACTTAATCGCTAGTCGCGGTGCGTTTGAGTTCAAGCCGAGTTCGATTGCTCGGGCAATTAGTTGTACTCGAACACTACAATTACAGTCACCTTGGACTATTTCGGTACCATGGATATATACACTGGGAAAATGGGGAAAATAGGTGACAGATGATAGATGACAGAGTAGGTGGAGTTGGAGTTGGAGTTGGGAGATTTACCTAAACCGAAATGGGCCTTTAGGCCACCCAAATTTCGTACTCGAAACAGTCCAGACTTTTTGAAGTTACAATCGATTATGAAACCGAAATCGGAGGATAAAACACAGGTCCCGCAAGCCAATCCTATAAATAGAAGAATAGAAAAAGCAAACACAGAATAGGATAGTCGTTCGATATAATACAAAACGTAATGATGGTTTCTCTTTCAAGTTAAATGTTTAATATTATGGTGAGTGTTGGGGGAGTTCAGGAGGAGGGAGGGGGCTTCTGTGTTGTTTTCTCTATAATACCATAACCAAAGATAAAAACCCAGAGCCAATTGTTATTGCTATTATAAGTAATATTGATTTGTTAAAGTGGGTGGAGCTGACAATTCGCTGTGCTAAGGTTAGATTTACATGTCATTTAAATATTATCTCCGCCAAGCATCGGAGTTTTTAATGTTTATAAAAGTTACCCCGCATCGAATGGCATGACTGAGGTATGTCTCTTGATTGATGTGCGGATTGCCCGCTTAAATCTTGATACAGCCTGAATGAATATATGTGAGGCTTCTCTGTCTGTCATCTACCGTCCTAGGGTGTGACCGCAGAATGACCCAGATTGGGCAAGAGGAGATGGCCCAATCCGACCGCAATAAAACCAAGTTGCGACTCGTCGCATTCTCGAACCGATCTCTAACTTGGCCATAATCGATTTACCATTTACCATTTACCATGTCGTGAACGGAGCCATTATGATAGCCCAACCACAAGCATACCACTTCCTTATGACACAAGCAATTGAGACTCATTGCAAATTACCTGAGGCCGGGGTTAGTTAACCAAGCTTTATGGAGAGCACCTCTCAGCACTCGGTTGACCTGAACAAAGTGGAAGATATTTTAATATTGCGCTCGTCTCTGGGTTTAAATTAAATTGTTAGCCCATCAAGTGGGACATGTAATACGTGTCTCGAATGGATTCTTTCAAAATTCCCCCTCTGATCCACATAAACGCCGTCGTTAGCAGTACATCCATATCCATATTTATGGGGCCGAGCATTTGAAACCGATTCTAAGGCGGCTAATGGCTGGCCATTATGTCTCCAATTGTGGTAATCGCCAAAGCTACCACACTGGGCGAAAAAGTGAGATTTCACTGATTTATTACTGAATATTTTAGGTCAGAAATACTGATGCCATGTTTTATATAATTATTATTTAAAAACAACATAAAAGATTAGCATTGTAAAAGGTGTAATAAGAAGGAAGGTAATCTTATCTGTAAAAAACTAAGAAAGTTGGGGTTCATCATTTTCTAGGAAAATGTTGCTAAGAACATGATGAGAAGCACTTATTTGTTGCAAGAAAACATTTCTTTCTTCTAAAACACTTTTAATAATAATGAAAAATAAATAAAAGTTTAAAAAAACCTTTTGTCTGAGTGCAGAGCCGCTACGGGTCGGAGTCCGGTCAAACACTCGGTTTTTTGCAGTTCAGTTCAAGGAAAATTGAGCTAGTTTTATAACGCGCCCCGCCTAATGGAGTGTCAGCATGCCAAGGCGTTTTTTGGCCATCTCTGGAAGTTCAGAGAGCGCTCCCATGTGGTCACTTCCTCATCGCCATCGCCATCGTCATCGTCATCAACCATAGCATTCTGTCGGTCACTCCTCAAATTGAATATTGAATATTAAGGCATAATTATAGACTCATAATCGAACTTTTACTTGGATTTGCATTACGCATACGCCGTGTGGGCGAGCAGTTATTTTAATGACGCCTGCAAATGGCAAGGGAAACCAGCAATTAGCTAGGGAAAACTGCACAAGCTGGAGGAGAGCAAAATGTCGGAGGAGGAGGCGGGGGAGGAGCAGCGGATATATGTACATATCCAACGACGGCTTGCAGTTAGTCACAGGCGATCGACGACGCCGAACGCTTTCTCTCCTCATCTCGTTGCGGCGGTGGCGGCCCGGCTGGCATCGTGGTCAAATAGAAATCCAAACTAAGCAAATAATGAGGCATAAATATGCACGTGGGGCAGTGGGAATGCCGGCGAAGACAAGCCATTGACCACTGTCTCTAGTTACTTTCCTCAAAAGATGACATACAGCCCAGCCCCATCCCCAGCGAACCAGCTAGTCAGCTTCCCTGCCTAGTTAGCACCTGCGCCGCGAAAGTGGGTCATCTCGCCTCCAAAAAACATTGATATTAATTGCTCAGTCCGGAGACTGGCACTTAAAACACAAACTGAAAGCGAAACCGAAACTGAAACCTAAACCGAAACCAAAACTGAATCTGAAACAAAAACTGGCGGCGGCCCAGCGTTAATTCAATTTGATGATCTTCCAAATGCAAATATTGTGTATTAATTATCAGACGTCTCACATCTGTGGCCTAGGCCGTGGTCAAACCTTAACCCAAACCAACGCCTCTCCAAGCGGTTTCCCTTTTTATATTCTGCACTCATATTTAAAGGCTGAGCATTCCATTGTTGCCAAAACGCTTTACAGTCAATCTTTTTATCTCATTGTCAATGTTTCTTTATTTTTATTATTATTATTTTTTTTTTGCGAGAAACGAAGGCTCTTTTGGGGCGACAACCTTTCCCTTTTTTCCCTTATTTTCTCTGCGGCCAACTTTCCATTTCTCCTTAATTTGGCTCATTACGCGGATGGGTCTCCTTCCTATTTGCAGGAGAAATCCATAATATATTTACTATAGAGTCTTAACTTGTGTCCCTGACCTTGCTCTAGCTTATTTTAAGCTGATTTCAAAGATTAGATTAAGAGATTGTTTTTTTTCTATTGTTCAAGTGTCTGGGCAGACACTTTTCCGATTTAACCAATTACAATGAGAATTCAAAGGCCTACTTAATGGAGTTTTTAAGAGCAGTCCCGACCTTGCTTCAAAGATCTTTATACCTTTGCAGGGCATTATAACTTTAATCAAAAGCTTGAAAGTCTGTTAATGAGTCATTTCCGACCCCATAAATGATATATATTCTTGATCAGCATCGACAGGAGAGTCTTTTTAGCCATGTCCGACAAAAATTTAATTTTTTCAATATTTTACAAATTTCATAAAGGTTTACATCGATTGTCAAAAATTGACAAAAAAAATTTAATTTTTCAAGATTTTAACAGAACGGCTTTCCAAATTAAGATTAACGCATTTTTGGCTTATTTGTGAGTTTTTTAACATTTGATTTGAAGAACAAAAATGTCATATAAAAATATTGAATCAAATAATGGTATTATCATTTTAGTCAGAAGCTTCAAACGGCATGAAGGAGTCGTTTCCGACCCCATAAATCATATATATTCTTAATCAGCATCAACAGGCGAATCTTTCTAGCCATATTTTGAAGAACAATTTTTTTTTTAGATTTTTTCCAAATTTTATAAGGGGTTACATCGTTAAAATTGTCAAAAATTTACAAAAAATTAGATTGTAAATTGAGTATGCAGATTTATTAACCTAACAAAAACTCAGAACAGCTTTCCGAATCGAAATTAATTGTTCTTTGACTTAGTCATGATCGATTTAAGTTTCGGTACCCCAAAAAATTACAAAGTGAAAGGTTAATTATTTATTTAGGTTAATTATTTATTATTATTTAGTTTTCTTTGATTTATTCAGAGTAAAACATTCCTAGCCTCTATAATTGAAATAAAATAAACTCTAATTACCCATGTGTTGTGTACTGTGACCTTGCCCCTGTCCGAATGAAACCATTATCGCACGGCACCAGCTCCGGGTTAGACGGAGATTGTGTCTCGGAGATCTCCAAAGTGTCAGCCTCAAAACGGCGAGTCGCTAATCCCCCCTGCGCCGGGTTAATTATGTTAATTGAACGATGGTCTTGACAGTGAGCGATAGGCCCAACAAAAGAAGAGCTCCGACTGACAAAACTTTTGACAAAGCCACTTCAAGCCATCGAATTAAATTGCAATTTGGAGGGCTCCGACTCGTGTGGGTAACAACAATAAGCCAACAACAGCAGCAGTAGGTAGAGGTGGTGCTAGAGGTGTGGAATGGAATGCAAGTCTTCAGTCCGGAGATGAGATGCCCCCAAAAGCAATGCAGCATCTCCGAGGCGAAGGTCTTACGTGAGCGGGTTGCGTGCTCTTTGCTCCGAAATAATGCCCCAAAACAACAGACAATCGAGATGGTGCCAAGCGACATATCATGTGAGTCTGTTAGGCGAAGACAATGGACGTGATAATCATGCATTAATTTATTCCTAATTGCAAACAAAACGAGGCTACAAAGTGTCTACAGCGCCAAAACGTAGGGGAAAGGACAGGACCCTCTTCGTGTGAAAATAAGCACAGCCGGAGTCGCTTCAGACACTCAGGGAAATTGCTCCGAACTTTATAAGCATTGCCTAAATCTTAAAATCTTTTGTAATATATATATAATATTTATATAATAATTATTTCATTGATCAGTTAATTGTAATTATTCATTTTGGGTTTACACTATTTGATTCCCTATTGTAATATTTGGCCAGCATTACTCCCCACTTATTTCAATGCCTCACTGAAGCCCATTCCCTTTTTGTTTTAAATACATGTATATCTTCTTTAATTTATGTTTTCATGAGTGCACCCAGAGATGCCTTTCTGTTTGCCTTTCACTTTGCAAAATACCGGCTCCCGAGCAGCCTTTTACTTATTGACCAATTTGAAATGACAATGCAATTTCTTTGCCTTATTATTTTGTGAGTACTCGATGACCCCGTTGCATTGCCGCCAAATGCATTTTCGAGCCCAAGGGTTTACTTAAGTCAAGAAAAACATTAGCTAATTGCCGTCGAGAGCATGCATTTGGCCAAAGCCCATTTATAATGTTTTTATGTTTATTATTGGCAAACGTACGGGGCGTATGCGCACTATTGGCCATTAGCCGGAGCAGGAAAAGGGTCTTCCCAGCCCCAGTCCCAGGCCCAGGCCGAGAAGTATTGCATAAAGGAATGTGGCTCTCGTGGGTTATATAAAATCTCAGAAACAGAAACAACTGGAGATTCAGACTGAATTGCTGCGTCATTGACCACAAAGCTGAGGCTCATGAAAAATATAAAATACAAATGTAAAAGAAAACATAAAAGAGAAACAACGCATCTCAATAGGTTCGGGCAACAAATCGGTGAGTCGCCATACCGATATTGATGAATCATGGCCCACGATTGTCGGTCGAATGGTGGGTCACCTTTATGAAGCCATCAATGGGAATATTGGAAAAGATTTGGGCAGGGCAAGGCGGCTGGTTCCTCCCTCCTCTCTGCAGATCTCTTTTCTCTTTTTGGACCCGAGACAAAGGTCAGCAAACAAGACGACGAACGACCACCGCGTGAATTTATGCAAATTAGGCAGCGAAAATTGCCGAAGTTAACACCCAGCCAAGCCGTGTTTGGTGGGCCGATCTTGACCGATATTCTGACATGTCCGCGTCCGGCCTTTGGCCATATCGAGGCGAGATCGGAACATCGTTCCACTCACCACCAAATCTGCTGGCACAGTCTTGGAACGAAGGTCCGACGAATTTGCAAATTGATTAATTGGTAAATGGGTGAAGTGGCAGTCCTAAATGGGGGCTACCTTCAACCCAGATATGCCCACATACCACACACACATTGTGTGTGTGCGTTGAGTGTAGCTGTTCTTAATGAGCCGCACATTACTTCAGGTCAAGAATGGTCGCGCCATGGGCACCGTGACTAACCCAAAAGCAATCCGGTTTTCTCAGCAAGGTTTTATACATCTCGTGCGAGGCAAAGAAGAAACCGAAACTAAATTCAAATAAAAAGCGATGCCAATAAACTGCAGCCTCTCGAATCGAATGAACAAAAAATATGCATAAACAAATGCCAAGATAAGGTTTTTAGGTGCTCTTTTTGCATGGCTTCTAATTGATTGGAATTTTAAATGCTTGTCTGATGAATTGTATTAAATGGGAGTAAACTAGGGTATACATTTAAAGTTTTTCAATTAAAGCAAATTCGTTTCGTGACGCTGGTCTTAGTTTAATAATAATTACTTTTCGATTTTCATTTCCATCTTACGAGCAACTACAAGTAAAACAATATAGCTATATATAATATAAATATAGCCTATTTCTCCGAGTGCAGTTTCTGGCTTGTCTTGATGATGATTGACATTATAATCAAGATAGAATTGCATGCCTCTTGTGTTTGACGCGCTTTAGCGATTGCATTAGATTGGATTTGGGGTGAGCAATTGGCCAATTACCGACTGTTGCTACTCACTCACATCCACAATGGAGAACCAACCTGTTCGTATCCAAAAAGCCTAGTATGACGGCATATTCCAGGTGTCATAAGAGTCCCCCTGACCATAAGAGATAACGGCTGTGCTCGAGCGAAAAGACTTAAGACACAAACCCGAAACTCGAGAAAAGTTCGTCGCCTAAGTCATTTGTTTTTCTTGTGCCAGCTGCCATGCCCGAGGAATGAATGCATTTAATGTTATCCGAAACCAAAATAAAATAAATCAGCGACACACAACCGTGAAAAGCAATTACGGGAACAACAGGAAGAGCGATTATTTGGAAAATGGAAAATGAAACTGCATCTCGTACTCACTTGCCGCCTGCATGATCAGAAAGCCAATCACAAAAAAGTTCATTTTGGCCACAGCTTCTTTCTCGCTCGAATGTTGCTTTCAATTTTCGGTAGATCCCCCTCTTCACTCTCTCGCTCGTTTCGGAAATGATTGTGATTAGTTAATTTCCTCGTCGGATGCGTATAGCGTGTAATTTTTCTTTACGATCCGAGACACACACTCAAGCACACTCACTGCAATGCACAATCACGGCACAATCGGTGGACGACAAAGAGGAAAACTGAGGAAAGCACAATAAACTTTTATTAGCGCGACTCGTGCCGCAGATCGGAAGCGGAGTGGCTAGTTGCTTTAATTAAATTTAATGAACTTATTATTTTATCAATTATTTTTGCAGTCCGCAGCAGTCGGCGATGATAGTGGGAAAGCAAACGAAAATACCGAAAATAAAACATAAAACCGGTAAGCACAAGAAACGCAAATAAGCGGGGTAAACACTCTCACTCTCTCTCTTATTCAGCGGTAAAAGTGAAGACGGCCAAGGCGGTCCAGAGGCGGTAACAGCGTTGGTAACGGTACGACGCGTCCGAGATGTTCCGATAAACGCGAACGGAGTGCGTAGGCGCCGACAGAGGCAGCGTCTATAATATACCTTTATATGTTTAATTGTGTTTTTTTGTTTGTCATAGCCAAATAATTACGAAACCACAATGTTATCATATATCTGAAGCTATTACATTATTTTGCATGTGGTAGGGGCTTGAAATGCGAGTATTTACTAGGAAGAAAATATCTACCAAACTACATTGTCAACCTAAATAGTTAATGGGAGATAAGCCCTAAGCTACTTTTTTTCTTGATAAGAGAAAATCGTTTTATATTTTACTCAAAACTAAGCTGTTTCTGTTAAAACTTTACGTTTATTTTCTTTCATTTTGAAATCCTAATTAATGCTAACCACACACATTTAAGTCTATAACTATTTTTTGGCAATTCAGTCAGCTAAGATTATCCAACAAAGCTTTTGCGAAAAAATATGATTAACACCATTTTAATGTATTAAGTTTAACTGCTTTTTAAAGTCTGACACTAGGTTTGTAACCACATCCGTGACAGTGATTTAATTTTACTTGTTTACAGGCTTAATTAAAATTTCAAAATAAAAAATTGTAAGTTAATTTAATTGCAAGACTTGTAAATTGATTAATTGTAATTGTAATAAATATGCTTGACCACTGAAATAGAATTTTTCAAGCTATTGCTGTGGATATTTTACATTAATTGTACTCTGCACAACTATGAATAATTTAAGTATATTTTTAAAGAAATTAGTTAACTGTTTTAAGCATATAATTCAAGTGTTCGTAATGCAACTCCCAGGCATTGGCTTTTCCATCTGAACCGATTTAGCCTAGCGGCGGATTCCGATATATTTTCCAAACTAAATAATGTCGCGCCTTGTCAACTCCTTCGCTTGCTCCGCTGAGCATAACAACAACTTTCCAATTGCCAACGCTTTTTTTTCTTTAGATTTATTTCTTATTTTTTCTCTTTAGTTTGTTTGGTTTGTTGGTCAGCGCTCCATAATTTCCTCAGCCGCCGCCGTTCGCTCCGTCTATTGTCACTGCCAACTTGAAGCGGCTGCGCACATGCCAACTACATAGGTGCCACGCCCCCGAAAGAGCCAAGGCGGCTACTATATAGCGACGGCTGAGCACGTTCGGCCAACAAACAACAACAGTTCTGCCTCGTTTTGAAACTGGCAATGGTAGCGGCAGCATAGGTAAAAGTTGTTTTCGATACGCTTTAATTTCGTTAGCTGGCGCTCTTTTGGCCGAAATTAGCGCGAAACCGATTTACAACACACACGCACACACACTTAGCACTGTTCAAATCAATGTTATCCAAATTAAGCAAATTAAGCACTTGATTTAATTTCATTTTGTAACACAGCCCGATCCAGCGATGCACATATGTATATTGCCTTGGCTCGAGTGCCTCAGAAGCAATAATACAGAGTATTTAGCGTCTAGAAGACCTGCATTGCCAAAGCCAAGCGTTAGCGGGAGACTTACTACAACCTGCACCGACGATCGCGAGCACCTGGACAGGTTGGGAACTTAACTTGCTGCTGGGGCGCGCGGCCAACGACTGAACACCGATTCGGAGTCGGATTCGAAGTTGCTATCGCGGTTAGCCGAAGAAACTCTCATGCAAAACGCAGCTCTCGTTCGCTCTTTCTCTCTCTCTCCGTACTTCGCCTTGCTGATAACTGTAAAATATATAACTAATTCGTTGATTATTATACAAAAACAAAAAAATACAAACCAACACAGAACATATTTGGCTTAGTTATGAGCAATTTCATAACATGCCACAAAAATAGGCTCTCATCTTAATTTCAACTAAGGCCCATCATAAATGTAAATAATTGATGGTTTGGACAGATTTTTTAAATAACTTTAAGCCCTACGCTCTATTATGTTCAAAGTCCCATTTAGGCCCCTGTCTAAAAGCTTAATTATTAGGCTCTTTTTATAGGCTGGGGTTACATTAAACTGACAATTATTATTAAGGAATTTATGTATGACTTTAGCAGATTCAATGTGTACAGTTCCTGGGGAGCTCTCTTGATAAAGCAAATAAGGACTACCGAGCTCCTTTATCAGTTCCGGCAAATACCGAAGGGTTCTCGTCTGGGCTATCTAGCTTACCAATTTCACCGGATGATGACCGTCAGGCAAAACTATAGAGATGTCTAGCCAATTGCACTGCCACTACAACAACACGGTCACGCCCTTCCTGCTAATTAAGGCTCAATCCATATATGGTTGTTTATCACGAAGTGGCCTGCGAGAGCGGGATATGCTCTAGCATTGCTTAACAAGCTAGATTTCACACTATTTTAAGGTTCCCCAGTTAACCAACTCATTTTATAATCTTATGGGCAAAGTTATCACAAATTTGTCAAAATTTATAGAAATAAAGCGGATTCATATTTAATATCACGCAAACTGTTCGCTTAAAGCCATCTATTTCCCTATTATAAATTAGTCTCCGGCGATGCCGCCCGAGTAAGGCGGTACTTCTGCACCGCGTAGTGCGCCCCCTCCTCCGAGGTCAGCTGTTCAACGAACTGGTCCTGTACAAAGCGATTGCTCTCCGCGTTAAGGCCGTCCTTGAGGAAGCCGAAGTGCACAATAGCATTAGGCACAAAATTCAGCTCAAGTAGCGTTTCACTGGACGGCAGCACCTTCTTCGGTGGGATGGTGAAGAGGTGAAACTGCTCGCCGGGCTGGGCCAGAAACTGGCGCACAAACTCCTCCACCTTGCCCAGCTGCTCGTGCGGCTTAAAGATGCCCTGGAGGACGAAGCGATCGGGGAACTGGATGCGCAGCACGCAGTCCTTGTACTGATTCAGCTTCGCCAGCATGGTCTTCTGGCGCTCCAGCTCCCTTAGCTTGGCCGTCAGCAGTGGGGCGTCGTCGTCCCCTGTGGATGTGCGCTTCAGGTCGCGCAGCACCATCTTCAGGTCGTTCACGGTCAGGTCGAAGAATGAGTCTGGCAGGTCGTCCGCTTGTTTCTTGGTTTCGTCCAGAGAGAAAAGCACCGCATGCCGGGGCCCAATCACATTGACTACCGGCGGTGCTCGGCTAGGATTCTCCTCGCCCTCGTTGCTTTCCAGCTGATTTTGCCGCTGTTGTCGATGGGCAAGGGAGTATCCGGAGCCACTGCCCCAGTCGTATTTTGGAGCAGCCTCTGCCTGTGGTTCTACCTCCGAATCGGCTTTTTCGGTGAGCTTGGCCGTGTCGTTGGCCGCATGTTCATCAGTTGCAGTTCGCTTAAGGTTCTTGATCATATTGCTGGTGAGAGCAAAGCCGCCGCCTCCCCTGCCGCCAGACGCCATGGCCGATCGCGATGTGCTGGGCTGGTCGTCATCATCCGCCATGGACTTTGCCTTCACCTCCGACGGCTTGTACACGTTGGCCTGCATTCTCAGCTCCTCCGGCTTCTTGTCAATTAGGCGCATCATAGCGCGCCCCTCAAGGATGCCCAGTGACTTTAACGTCGTTTGTCTCATTTGCTCCTGGCCGATGACCTCACTCCGCATGTAGACAATGATGGGACTCTCATAACCCAGAATCTGGGACTCGCACAGCTTCTGAACCACCTGCCACACAGTGTCGTTGGGGGAGAAGTCGCCTTGCTCCCGGGCTCCGTCGCTCAATTGGACACAGACAACGACGCTGCTCAGTACGCGCCGCTTCTCTGTGGGCTCCATCTCTAGAACACAGTTGTTTGGAAGTCCGCTGAAGCGGAACTGTTGCGTGAGGCTGACCACCTTGTTGTGAAACTTAAGGCAGTGCTCCTCGCTGTCGTAGCCGTGCTTAGCGCAAGCCGTCTCCAGGATCTCCAGCAACGTCATGTTCGCCGTGACGCTCACATTCTGCCGCCGGGCATTGGGCAGCAGGATTGTGACACGCTTATCCATTCTGTAACGAATCGTTTGGTCGGTAACCGAAGCTGGGACAACTGGCAGGGCTAAAATACTTACCTTTATTGACGTTTAAGGAAATGTTTCGTTTGATAAGAAATTAAAGCCGGCCGGGACACGACTGTAGAAGTTGTTGTTGTTTATACGTTCGATTTTTTGTTTACATCGATTGCGATGCGTGACTTGCTATTTGACCTTCTGCTATCGATAGGCAGATGGAGATGAACGCGTGATAAATTGAATGGAAATTATACTCACGACATGAACATCACTTAATTAAGGATAATTAAGAACAATAATTTTCTCGACATTTGTTTGCATTGCATAAATTGTATTTCGTAGTCCCTTAGTTAACATTTAAAGCTTCCTTGGCCATTGCCTGTTGCTTTTTGATACCCTCACACAATGTGTTGGCATTCTTCTCCAGTTTGTCTCGGCACTCTTGAAGCTGTATCCTATAGTGTTCGAGATCTTCCTCAGATGCAGCCAGTCTCTCCACTTTTCGTTCATATACGTCGAAAACCTTCCACCACGTTGCAAGTGTTAAATTTTCGGAAGTTTCTGTCAGGAGAGCTTCCTCCAAATCGGAATTGTCAGTGGCGTTTGAATTAGTTGGTTGATTGATTTCAAAGGTTTTCATGTCCTCAAACATCTCCTCCACACTGGGAGCCGTCGGAGGAGGTTCAATTTTGGGCTTGGTCTTTCTGAACATTACTCTGAAACATTTCTAACGTCAGCAGTTGTTTAAATCAGTGTTTCATTTATATTTACGTGCAATTGGGAGGCTCCTATGTAAAAGTGCCGTATAGCTCTTTGGACTTTCTTCTTTTGTGTATAAGTCTTGTAAATTTACGTTTATCTGCAAGTTTCGATTAATGTTTACGAAAACCAAAACCAAAATAAAATTTCTCAGAATGACCAATAACGGCCACCTCAAGAATACCAAAAGAGGCAGTTATCGACTTATCGGTTTTTCTGTTATCTCTAATTGCGCTCTTAATTAAATATTATTAATTAAATAATTATTTTTTAATTTTTTTAAAGAAAATAACTGAAATTCCCAGTATCTGATTTAAAATATAATAATATCATTGAATATAATATGATAAAATTATAAAAGTTAAAGTTTAGTATTAAATATTTTGTTCATATTTTTGGTATATTTGCCTACCAAATGGTTTTGTGCCGGACGGTAATTTATTGATAAGCGGGCTGCCACACTGGTCACGCCTGTCCGTAAGGTTGTGTGAAAAATTGCAAAAAATAGTTTAATTTAACAGGTAAATGTATTGCCGAAGAGGAACAAAAACGACCTTAATTCGCACAGCACCGTTGTTAACGCGCTACCTTTTTTCCAGCCGCTTACGTTCCACCGCAAAAGATTCCGACAGCATGCCGCGCTATAGGGAGTGGGACCTGGCCTGCAAGGTCTATGTGGGCAATCTGGGTTCCTCGGCATCCAAGTACGAGATTGAGGGCGCCTTTGCTAAGTACGGTCCACTAAGAAACGTGTGGGTGGCGCGCAACCCCCAGGCTTTGCGTTCGTAGAGTTTGAGGATCGGCGGGACGCCGAAGATGCGACGCGGGCACTGGACGGAACCCGCTGCTGCGGCACTAGGATTCGTGTGGAAATGTCATCGGGGCGATCTCGCGACCGCCGTCGCGGCGAAGGTGGAAGCAGTGGCGGTGGTGGAGGCGGACGCTCTGGATCCGGGCGCTACAGGTAATTCTTTCAAGCCTTAAAATCTTCCCACGTCCTCAACAGCCGTCCGCGCCACTCCTGACTCCAGAGTCGGATTCGGAGTTTTGGGCTTCAAATCGTATACAATTTGTTGATGGCGAAGCCCTCGCTCCCAATTCACTAACTTTCCCGCCTTTTTTTTATCTTGCAATCTGTTGTCATGAGGTCGGTGTCGGCCTGAAAAAGACAAGCTATGGTGAGAAATTTTCGATATTGATGATTTTGGAAAGAATAGTTTCCCAGGCTTGTTTTGTCCAGCGCCAAATGCTGACCTTTAGACTTCGGCTGCCACGTGATTTGTATAATTGAAAATTGCCAATATCCAATTGAAAGATCCGAACCGATCCCGACCCACGTTTGGACATACGTATATGCCATTTAAAGTATAAACACTGACAAACTGTATACATATATTATTATCTTTAAAAACTTTTTGAAGCCTTTGGCGGTTGTTAAACTCGAGTTATCGAAACTTTTTCAGGATAACTCCTTCGGCTAGAACTACTTCCACTACTGCTACTTCTTCCTTCTACAACATCAGCAATCTACAACAGCAACCATCTTCACAGCCCACAGCCAGCCACATCCTTCGACTTTCAACTCTAAATTAACCAAGTTCAGCGCGCGGCACAGCCTCAGCCTCACAGAGATTAGGAAACCAAAAATGATTACCATCGATAGAAGAAGCATTGCAGTCGCCGATAGAGTTCTACTAATGAAGTTATCCTACGTATCCGCCGTGACATAATTGCTTATGATTCTTAAGTTTATTCTTTTAACTGATTTTCAAAGTGGCTCATAATTATTTTTATAAGGCATTTTTTACCAGTTTACGAAATATTTTTAGGCAGCGTATTATAGGGATTCTAGAGTTGTCCGTCCAACATGTCCTTTTAAGTTCTTTTAACCAGTGTCCAGTACAGCAGAGAGCTATAAAAACTAAGGTACCCCTTTAACCGAGAACTAATTAATGGATATTTATGAATAGAATTGGCTTTGTTTAATTACAGTTTCTATACACAAGAAATATGATAAGATCAGAGCCTTAAACAAGGACCTAGCTTAGAGAATTAGAACAATTCAGTTTGGATGTTTTTCAGCTCATTCTCCTGCTAATCCAGGAGTAGTCCTTAATTGTGTATTTTACTTTTCTTCTTGATTTGCAAATAATATACCTTTCCCCCTATTGATTTCAGATCCCGCTCGCCACGTCGCTCCCGTTCGCCCCGCAGCCGCAGTTTTTCGCGCGATCGCCGAAGTCGCTCGGACTCCCGCGACCGCCATTAAATATAAAAACAAAAACATATTCCCAAAAGGATACCACTTAAGCCATTTCGCAATCGAAGCCAACTATTGCTGGGGCCACAAAACACACGCATCGATTGCGATGTAAGTAACTTGACATCAGATGACAATATAAAAACCTTTCGATGCATGCTTCAAATTTCCACTTTTTTTTTGTTTATTACGAAATAAAGACCCATAAACAAAGCGGAGAAGGGTTCTCAGTACGAAATGGCGATTCTTTTCCGGCAAAAAGGGGGAGTGCTGCGAGGCACAGTTTATTTGTGGTGAGAATTGACGTGCTACTGTACAACTTTTCTTAGAAGTATGTTCGAATAATAATTTAAACAGGCGCACAGTTGTAAAAATATTAGGTATACTAACAAAGGTACACACTTTAAACTTAGGGAGAGAGAAGACGCAGCAACGCAAATTCGTTGGCGTTGCACATTTTCGTACTGGAATAAACCTTACGTCTAGTCATTGTTTATATCCTTTCCGGAAGAGGAGGGCTCAGAGCCCCAGCCCACAACGCTCGTTCGGCGTGATTATGACCCTAGCGCATGCGGTATGTGTTGGACTCTTGTATCTCCGACAGCTCCCCTTTGAAATTGATGTCGATGACAAAATCCAGGTCGCGGTTGTTCCGCTCGTTAGGTTTCATTTGGAACGTGCCGGTGATCTCCTCGTTCTTTTTGGCCGTCATGTGATCGTCCAAGTAGAACACAGTTTGCTTCCAGTGCGTGTACGTGGAGTCGGGAGACGTACTGAACCCAAGTCGCTTGTGGCACTTGGTAAACTCGATGTTAAAGTATGTGACTAGCGCCTGCACAAAGTCGTTGCGCTTGATGATCAGGCTGAACTTGGACGAAAAGTTGAGATCCGCCTTTTGCACGGTATAAAGGTCTACCTCTTTGACCATGCAGGACGTGGACACCACTTGCTTGGGATCCACCACATCGACAAGTGGTTCGGTCACGGCCACCTTACGGATGCAGCTCATGTCGAATCCATACACATCGTCCCACCAGTTGATCTTCTCGTCCTTGTACTGCCGATCCTCGATGGCGGTGATGTACAGTGTGCCCCGATCCGGAAACATCATACCGTTGGGCTTAAGCCACTTGTCACGAGCGTAAAGGACTGTGTCCAGCATAGACTCGTAAAAGAGGCAGTATCTGAACAATTAATCGATAATTAGAAAAGCCATTTTGTGCCTTTGACTCTTTAAAACTTACCCCATCCACTCGGATATGATAATGTCCACACCTTCAATACCATTGGGTAGTTCTATCTCCTCGATCTTTCCCTTGACCACCTTAATCACGTCCTGCAAGTTGTTGTCTATGACCACTTGGCGGGCGAATTCAATGATGTTGGAGCAGTCGACGGCAATAACCTGGGCGGCACCGGCCTTGGCGGCGAACATTGACAGGATACCGGTCCCGCAGCCCACGTCCAGGACGGTCTGAAACGAGAAAATCCCCCTAGCTATAAAACAGACACCCGGGTCTCGCGATGGTGATCTCACCTTGCCCTGGAACAGATGTTTGTTGTGGTACATGGCGTTGCGGTATGTGACGGTCCGCACCTCGTCCTTCAGCATCTCCTCGTGGATGCCAAAGTGGGCGTACGAATCGAAGTAGTAGTCGCGGGACGTCATTTCGTCGGCGTTGGCATTAGCATTGGTGGCAGACGCCTCCTCGCCCGTTCCGGCTCCGGCGCTGGCGGGCAGCTTTTTCAGCACATTTTTTGAGTTCGCGTTTGAATTGGGCGTGAGGCCGGTCGCCGTTTCCACGGCTGCCTCCATCGGGATGTCTGTGCTGGCCTGTGGAGAGTGCTTTGTCAGCGAACCGAACCTCAAAGCCGGGAAAAACGAACGTGAAACTTACCATTTCTGATTTTTCCGGCGTCTCTTTGGTTTTTCACGTCGAAAAAGGTAGCGACAAAAAAATGGAATATCCTACAGCACGCTAGTTTAAAAAGTTGCTTTTCAACACTGGCCTTAACAGTGTTGTGACCGGGGCGAATATTTTATCCGCGGAAGCGAAAACATTTAAACTAAAACTTTTAATTGTATTTCGATTTTTAGTGACATTATTCAACCATTGTTTATATAGCTAGTAATATCTTTATTCAAAAAATTAAGTTACCCCTTCTAAGTGGCTACTAATGGTATATTTTAGTTTTATGAAGTGGTATTATTTTAGTGTTTTCAATTAATTGTAGTATTTTTGAAATTGGCGCCCAGCTATCAGTGACTTCACGACATATTTGCCCAGCAATAAGTTATTGGTAAATTTGCGATAATTTTGTTTTAACATTGAGAAATTATTATTATTTACACGGACGGTCACACAATGCTGATGAGCATTTTCGTTTTAGGGTATTCTTGGGTTTTGAATGTATAGTAATATATTTCTGGGCCAATTGAAAAATAAATATAAATAAAATAATTTATGTGCTCGCTAGAAATCTTCCAATTAATTTTAATATATATTTTCTGCAGTATTTTGTTCTGTGACTTAATACTAGAAGTCACATTTTTTGGTATTAATTGGGTTGTTTCTGTGATCGACAAACAGGCTCACTGCCGCAATTTTGGCGGCAAAAAATCGCACACCGAAGCATCAAACTGAAGAAAGCGACGCAGAAAGTTGCATTTATTTACTAAAACTATCTTGATTAAACGCTATTAACATTGTGAAATGGAGGGCTTCGACGATGCGGGTGTGTTTTTCTCGGACAACTTCGGTAACGACAATCAGCCGGATGCGCAAATTAATCTGCAGGCAGTGAAGAAGAAGTACAAGGAGTTCATCCGCACCTTTAACGAGGAGAATTTCTTTTATAAGTACCGGTAAGTGAGAGGCGCTCCTTTTCCCGCCTTAGTTCTCCTGTAACGAAAGGTCTTCCTCTTGCAGCGACACCCTGAAGAGAAACTACCTCAATGGCCGCTACTTTCTTGAGATCGAGATGGAGGATCTGGTCGGCTTCGATGAGGCTCTGGGGGACAAGCTGAATAAGCAACCGACGGAACACTTGCAGATCTTCGAGGAAGCCGCTCGGGAAGTGGCTGACGAGATAACAGCACCGCGACCGGATCACGAGGAGCAGATGCACGACATTCAGATCCTGCTCAGCTCTAATGCGAATCCCACTAATATTCGGGAGCTGAAGTCGGACTGCGTATCGAAGCTGGTCAAGATCGCCGGCATCATAACGGCAGCCTCGGGGATCAGTGCCAAGGCCACACGCATGTCCATCATGTGTCAGTCGTGCAGCACCGTCATTCCCAATCTGAAGGTGAACCCGGGTCTGGAGGGCTACGCCCTGCCCCGCAAGTGCACAACGGAACAGGCGGGCAGGCCCAAGTGCCCGCTCGATCCCTTCTTCATCATGCCAGACAAGTGCAAGTGCGTCGATTTCCAGACGCTAAAGCTGCAGGAGCTGCCCGACTTTGTGCCGCAAGGAGAGATTCCCCGTCACTTGCAGCTCTTCTGCGATCGCTCGCTCTGCGAACGAGTCGTGCCCGGCAACCGGGTGCTTATCCAGGGCATTTACTCTATCCGCAAGGTGGGCAAACCCTCGCGTCGGGATGGCCGCGAGAAGGCCGTCGTGGGTGTACGTGCACCTTACATGCGCGTGGTGGGCATATCCGTGGACTCTGAGGGAGCCGGTGCCATTTCTCGCTACAGCAACATTACCAGCGACGAGGAGGAACACTTCCGTCGCCTGGCCGCCTCCAATGACATATACGAACGTCTGTCGCAGTCGTTGGCGCCCAGCATCTTTGGATCGCGCGACATCAAGAAGGCCATCACATGCATGCTCTTCGGGGGCTCCCGGAAACGCCTGCCCGATGGACTATGCCGTCGTGGCGACATAAACGTCCTGTTGCTGGGCGACCCCGGCACGGCCAAGTCTCAGCTGCTCAAATTCGTGGAAAAGGTGGCTCCCATTGCTGTCTACACCTCGGGCAAGGGGTCCAGTGCCGCCGGTCTGACGGCTTCAGTCATGAAGGATCCCCAGACGCGCAATTTTGTGATGGAGGGCGGCGCCATGGTGCTGGCCGATGGTGGCGTCGTCTGCATTGATGAGTTCGACAAGATGCGCGAAGACGACCGCGTGGCTATCCACGAGGCCATGGAGCAACAGACCATATCGATTGCCAAGGCTGGTATCACAACCACCTTGAACTCGCGCTGCTCGGTCCTGGCAGCGGCAAACTCCATCTTTGGCCGATGGGACGAAACCAAGGGCGAGGAGAACATCGACTTTATGCCAACCATTCTGTCCCGTTTCGACATGATCTTTATTGTCAAGGACGTGCACGACGAGACGCGGGACATTGTACTAGCCAAGCACATCATCAACGTGCATCTAAGCTCTAACAAGTCGGCGCCCTCGGAGCCGGCCGAAGGCGAGATTTCGCTGTCCACATTCAAGAAGTACATCCACTACTGCCGCACACACTGTGGTCCCCGGCTGAGCGAGGCAGCTGGTGAGAAGCTGAAGAGCCGTTATGTCCTCATGCGCAGCGGTGCTGGTCAGCAGGAGAAGAACGCCGACAAACGCCTCAGCATTCCGATCACCGTGCGCCAGCTGGAGGCCGTTATCCGCATATCTGAGTCGCTGGCCAAGATACGCCTACAGCCCTTTGCCACCGATGAGCACGTGAACGAGGCACTTCGCCTCTTCCAAGTTTCCACCTTGGACGCTGCCATGACCGGCAGCTTGGCCGGCGCCGAGGGATTCACCACAGAGGAGGACCAGGATAAGCTGAACCGCATTGAAAAGCAGCTGAAGCGTCGATTCGCCATTGGATCCCAGGTCTCGGAGCAGAATATTCTGCAGGTAAAGTCAAGAAATCTTTTTTTCTTTGGAGGCTTTTATTATAAATTTTATCTTTTAGGACTTCTTGCGTCAGCAATACGATGAGCGTACGGTTATGAAGGTGATCCACACCATGATTCGACGCGGAGAACTGCAGCACAGGATGCAACGCAAGATGCTTTATCGCATGTGCTAGCCACTGTGTCTCAGATCATTATTTACCCATCGTTAAATGTTGCATCAAATCTTTGTCATTTTCATACTGTCATTATTAAATTAAGCATAATATATATTCTTTATAGTTATGAGACAAATAAATTAAAGCTTCAAATGCAGTGCTTATGTTATGTACTAATAAGTTATTAGTTTTTAGTAATAACTATTAGATTACAAGGGAAATCTTCATCTAATTTGCTATTTTAGCTTTGAATGTGAAGCACTTGCGTCCTGAAAATTGTTATTAAAAAAAAGTAAAAGTAAGTAAGTAAAACCCAGCGTTTTTAAGAAACGAATTCTTCTTTATTTTTTAATCATCTGCTCAGATTTTATGGCTTCTGGGTGCTACTGACCCTTTCACATTAATACTGATAAGACTGGGTTTAAATACCACTCCCAGCCGCTCTTTGCTTCAGTGTTGATTTTGATTTCACTTTACACAATGGCTCCAAGCTGGATTTTCACCATCATGTTTATCATTTCTGCCATCCTTGCAGTGGGACAAGCAACTTCCATTCGCTTCTGCGGCGATAATTCGGATAGCCAATGTGTGGAGCCACAATTCTGCGGACCCCAGAAAGGGGTAAAGACGCGCATGATCCAGTGCCCCGACAATTTAGTCTGCTGTAAAGTCGAAAATGTAATTCTGCCAAAGTTAATAATAATAATAATATTCGGTAATGTGCCTACATATATTTTCCATTATTCGCTTACAGATTAACAACCTGGCTGCTGGCGAGTTGGATGAATTCGCTTAACACCTCGTACCTACGTATGGACTATAATAAGCGCCTAAAAAAATAAATATTGCTAATAATTAAGGATGTGATCCCTTAAAAAGAATCAAATTTTTTTAATATAATTTAATTGGGAATAAGGGAACAATAAGAAATAAATTATTAGCCATGTCCTTTTAAAAATACTTCTACTCAATTTTTCAAAATTGTAAAGGGGTTATTACATTTTAAGCTCCAAGTATTTGAGTGCTTACCGAATAAAAACCAACACATAAAAGTAAAAGAAATTCGGCCCCTTAAACTTGTTTCCCTGTTACGGTTAATTTAAAAAAAAGCAGAAAGCAAGATAAACTTGTTTCCCCGTTACGGTTAATTTAATAAAACATAATTTAGAAAAGGCAGAAAGCAAGATAAGAAATGTTAAAAAATAAAAATGTTCTAAAGATATGAAGAATAAATTGATTGGACACTATACAGACTTATTCGAATTTTGAACTAATATTGCACTATTTTCAATACATGCATATGTATGTATGTATGTATGCATACGGTGTTTAGTGTCATAATTTCTCGGAAAAATAAAAGTCAATTTTATATTTTCCCGGAATTGTTCATTATCAGTTATTTACTTGAACTGCTATGGGACTAAACGAAAGAAGATTAATTCTTCAGAAATGCAATATCATTATTGTTTTTCTTGCTTTAAACTTCGCTAGAACAATATCAAAGGCTTTTTGTATCATATCATGGAATTAGTTGGAATTCTCAATAATCAGTGATCCGAAGGTAACGTTGATAGATGCATGCCCTAGAGACCATGGTTTCCGCAGTTTATAGGTTTTGTTAGCCTGTTTATGTTTGCGTTAGCAATGTAAATGCAGTTTGACATATTTAAATATTTTCGTTTATTTTCAAAAGAGATTTCTATGACCAAATAATTCAACTAGCACGTTTGAAACTTTTCAATACGATCGATTTCCCTTTTTTCGTTTTCCAGCTTGGTGCTTTTCAATTTGAGTGCGGGAACAGAGCTCGGTTAAACCAATAGCAGCGTTTCTCGATAAGGACATTCAATTTAGATAGCTTGGGGGTTAGTGTTCGGTGATGCGTAGTTCTACTTGGCGGCGGCAGCAGCCTTACCCGCCTTTCCACCCAACACCTTAAGCGCCGCTTCCACGAGATCCTGGACACGTGGCAGGGCATGAGCCTCCAGTGTCTTGGCATAGGGCATGGGTACATCGACGCCGGCGCAGCGCCAGACGGGGGCGTCCAGCTCGAAGAAGGTCTGGTCCTCCATGATGCGGGCACAGATCTCGGCACCAACGCCTGAAAATATTTTTAAATGTTAGAAATAGGTTCAAGTCTACCCATTAACTGGGTTAATTCAACCAATCAACCAACCGTGCTGTGGCCAGCCGTTCTCCACGGTGATCAGATGGTGGGTCTTTCGGACCGAAGCGAAAATGGTCGCCGCGTCCAACGGACGAATGGAACGCAGGTTAATGACTTCAGCTTCGATGCCTAAAATTACGTGAATTATAGTTAACTGCTATTCCAAAAAAGTTTAACGGGTCCCACCCTTCTTGGCCAACTCGGCGGCTGCCAGCAGCGACGTCTCCACCGCCTTGGAATGCGCCACAATGGTGATGTCCTTTCCCGGCCGCATTATCTTCGCCTTGCCGATGGGCACCAGGAAATCCTTGTCGGTCACATTGTCGCCGATTGGGAACGCTGTGCCGTACATCAACTCGTTTTCCAGCACTACAACTGGATCGGGATCACGGATGGCGGCCTTCAGGAGGCCACGAGCATCTTCCGAGTCGTAGGGCGAGACGACCTTTAGGCCGGGGCAGTGGGCGTACCAGGCAGCGAAGCACTGTGAGTGCTGGGCAGCCACACCCTGGGCGGCGCCATTGGGGCCACGGAACACAATGGGTACGTTGACGGCGCCGGCGGACATGTAGAAGGTCTTGGCGGCCGAATTGATGATCTAGTTTGAGAGTATAATATTAAGGAATATCATGAATTTTAATGGATTTCCTAGGTTAATGTAAAGCCACCTCCCCTTAGTTTGGCCAATACACCAATTCAAGATCAAATTAATACAAGTAGCATTTTATTCCTTCTCATATCCGCTCCTTCACTTAATGCCTAGTTTCTGCTTAATGATAAATGCGGGCAGACGGCGTCCCTTCCAGAATCGCGGCAGTGGCGTTTCATTCGCCTGTCGCAGTATTTCGGCAACGTGCTGTTCCGCACTGAAGGCCTCCGCCTGCTTAATCTGTGCCATGAGCTTTGCCTGGAACGCCTTCTCTTTGCGCATCTCCCGGCGCTGGCGTACTTTGGCCCACTCGAACTTCATCTTGCGGCGCAGCTTCTTCAGCTTGTGTTTCTTCATCTTCCGGCGTCGGATGACGATGAGTCGTTCCGCCTGCATTTTGTCAGGTTTGCTCTTGTCCTTTGGTGGGGAAATCACCTCTCCACCACCTACTCGATCTCTGTTCAGAATGTCGTTGATCTCGGTTATCCAGGTGGAGCGGGGACTCTCGATTATTCGACTAAGGGGCAGTTGGCGGTCCCCAATCGGCGGCCTAACGCAACCGAATATCTTTGCCTGCACGTAATCGGATAATATGGGTGGGGAGATTAGTGAGGTCCGGTTCTTTGACTGGAGGAGCAGAAGTGCTACGCCACCCATATTATCCCATTAAGCGCCGCGGCCCGACTTTGCTCTTGAATTGGTCTATTAGCTAGCTAAGTGGAGTTGTGGGGCGTTTGTATTGGATTTGCGTGTCTCTCTCTTTTTTGGCAATGAGATAATATGAGTAGTTACGCTACTGCTGGAGGGTGGTGGAGTGGAAGGAGGCTGCAACTTACGTGGTCGATGGCCTGCATGGCAAAGTTGAAGGTCATGAACTCGCAGACGGGACGCAGGCCGGCCATGGCCGCTCCGGTGGCAATTCCGGCGAAGCCCATCTCTGTGATTGGCGTGTCGATGATTCGCTTGTCACCATACTTTTTCCACAGACCACGGGAGACCTGAAGAAAGAGCATAATGGGAATGAGGAAATAATTAATATCATTCGGTTAAATAGAAATTTCGTGTAATAAGTAATAAGTCACTTAATCTTTAATAAATGATTTCATATTGAACATAAATTTGTCAAAGAAAATCAATTTCCAACGTATAAGCTAAAACCTGCCGAACTTTGGAAATAACACAAATACACGATTGGTCAGTGTTGTTTGCTTAAAAAAAGCCGGTTCTATAGGTTTTGACACGAATGCTTCTGTCTATAAACAAATCGCTATTTTATGGAGCAATCATCTATTATCAGCAGACAGTCACACACATTCTGCGTGACCTTGCGAATTCCGATCACGCATTCAGATTCGGACTCATTATCAGCAGTTACATACAGCACGCATATAACACCCCTCAGCCTGCCAGCCCCTTCTCCATCCACCTGCATCAGCTGTCACCGCTGCTGCGTCCGCCTGTCACTACTGCCCTGTGTTTACGTAATCAGAGGACGGAACGGAGAGAAAAGCCACTGGTCTCACCTTGTAGGCACCGTCGTACTGGGCCACCTCCTCGCCGATCAGGAAGACGCGGTCGTCGCGGGCCAGCTCGTCGTCCAGGGCGCTGTTGAGGGCATCTCGAACGGTCATCTGCTTGGCAGCAAGGGCCTTCTGACTGGTGGAGAAGGCGCGCTGGGCGGAACACGCCGCCTGTACGAGTCGGGATCGGAGCATGTTCTCCGTGTGGTTCGCTTTCCTGTGGGTCTATTGGTATCGTTGTCCGGCTACAGGTGGGTAATTTGGGTTTTAAAACTGTTATCTAACTGAAAAGGAGGTGAAAATGTATACGGACCGACTTCCGTCCCGAAATTTTGTAAGCAGTGTGACCGTGTCGTCTGGCTCAAAATATACTGGGACAAAAATACTAAATGCAGCTGGTCCTAGATATTAAGTATTTTGGGAGATTTATTTTATTATTAAGTTATTTCTAACATTATCATGAAGTACTTCTTATTTTTAAATAAGCCCAATGAAAATCTAAAATCATCGCTGGCTTTGCAATTTATTTAAAAAAAATAAGTTCCTACTGCTTTAAAATGTTCAAACTCCTTGGTGGATTGCATCGCTCCTGGAGTTCGTCGACTTTGGGGAAACCCCCAGGCTGCATATCACGGATTTGGTTTGGACCACTGCCAAAGGACTCTAAGTGGGTTAAGCCCGGACGCATCAGCTATATCGAAAATGACGTGAAGAAAACGGCGGATATTGTGAAAATTGTGGACGGTGTTGTGGTGCTCCTCTTCAGCAAGTCTCGAGAAAAGCTCATCTTTGTGCGGCAATTCCGAGGATCTGTTTACCACGGAATCTGTACCGGTAGTAATGTCCAAGTGTCCGAGGGCGAGGCTGACCTAGAGCGGTTTCCGCCGGAAATGGGAGTTACCTTGGAACTTTGCGGCGGCGCCGTAGACAAGGATAAAAGTTTGGCGGAAATCGCCCAGGAGGAGGTGCTGGAGGAATGCGGCTATAAGGTACCCGTGGAATCCTTAAAGCATGTTTTCGATTACAGATCGGGGGTCGGAGCCTCCAGCGGTGCTATGACCTTGTTCTACTGCGAGGTTCGCGATGATCAGAAGGTGGCAATGGGTGGCGGAGTGGACAACGAGGTTATCCAGGTCGTGGAGTTGTCCGTGGAAGAAGCCAGAAAATTGGTCCAAACAGGGGCCAAGACGAATGGAGGACCTTCTTGCATGATGGGATTGCTATGGTTCTTCCTTCAAAAAGATTCCAATTAAAATAAAATAAACACATTTAAATAAAATTAAATAAATTTGTACATACGAAGGGTTTTTTAAAAAACTTTGGAAATCAAAAAATTCAGTGTGACCATGTAGGGCCTGGCCCTAAATGTCAGAAAACCTCAGCTCTCCCAAAGATTAAACCATCTGTTTGTGCCCCCCTCATTTGCTGGAGCTTTCGCAGTCAGCTGTTTCCCCATGATAGTGCCACTGCCCGTCGAGCAATAAATATTCGGAGCACCATGGAGAACGTGTCCAAGATCTGGCTGGGGCCCCTCCCCGCGGACTCGCCGTACGTGAAGCCCTTCCGGCTGTATTACGTCCAGAATGGCAAGGAGAAGAACTGGGACCTGCTCAAAGTCCACGACAGCGTGGCCATCATCCTGTACAACATCACGCGCCAGAAGCTTGTATTGGTACGACAGTTCCGGCCCGCTGTCTACCACGGCGTCCTTACCAGCGCCGAGGGCAACTTCAACGAAGTGGACCTCACCAAGTACCCGCCCTCCATTGGGGTCACCCTGGAGCTTTGCGCCGGAATTGTGGACAAGGAGAAGAGCTGGGCGGAGATTGCCCGCGAAGAGGTTTTGGAGGAATGCGGCTATGATGTTCCCGTGGAGCGTATCGAGGAGGTCATGGTCTACCGGTGAGTGTGACTGCATATCCGGTTCGAAAAATGATAAAGAAGGAGGTTTAAGAAAGCTCTGAAAAGTCGGTTACCACCTGGGTTACCTCTAATAAGCTATCGTTTTAGTCGAAAGCAATGATTAAGCAATGTCATTATTTCTCCAGTTAATTCAAAATATAAATATACATACATATGTATGTAGTTGGAGTAGACAGATAGTAGAACAGATATATGTATGACACTATCTCGGAAATTGCCAAAGAAAATAGTTATATCTTTAAAGATTTGTAGTATCTACTGAGAAGTTCGTTTTGGCAATTTTGGCATAACAAAATATAATTTTAAATATTTTTAATAAATAGAATTGCTTGCTTCCAGAATCATGTGGTCCTAACTTTCCTATACGTTTAGTTTCTTACCCTTGCAGTGTATTCTTATTTCAGTCAGAAGGAGTCATTTCCGGCCCTATAAATCATATATATTCTTAATCAGCATCAATAGGTGAATCTTTTTATCATATCCGACAAAAATTAAATTTTTCAACAATTTTAAAATTTTTGGTAGGGTTTACATTGTTAAAATATAAAAAAATTGGCTAAAAAATTGAATTTTATTAAACTTCAAATTGAATATGCAGATTTATTAACCTAACAAAAACTAACTTAGGACAGCTTTCCGAACTGAAATTATTGCGTTTTTGGCTCAGTTATGGGTTTTTAAGCATTGATCTGTACCAATTAAATTTTCATAAAAATATAGATAATTATCGAACCAAAAATGGTATTATAATGTTAGTCAGAAGCTCGAAAGTCTGTGAAGGAGTCATTTTTGACCATATAAATCAGATATGTTCTTGCACAGCATCAACAGGAGAATCTTTTTAGACTTGTCCGACAAAAATTTAATTTTTTCAAAATTTTCAAAATTTGATAAGGGGTTACATCGTTAAAATTGTCAAAAAATTGACAAAATTTTGAATTTGTTTAAAATTTATTTTGAGTATGCAGATTTAATAACCTAATAAAAACTAGCATAGAAAAGATTCCGAATTGAAATTAGTGAATTTTTGACTTAGTTATGATGATCAAACTGCAAGGGTATATGTACAAGTTGCAGTTTCCCGAAGTTAGGCACCATTATCACTAGTTCGGGGTAAACGATGTGGTGACGATTTACCCTATTTACGAACTGATGGTTGTTAAAGCAGGCAGTGGTTCGATTTATTAATCAGTTATTTATGCAATATCTTACAGATCTGGCGTTGGCTCCTCAGGTGCCAAGCAGACCATGTACTACTGCGAGGTGACCGATGCCGACAAGGCCACCACTGGCGGTGGAGTAGAGGACGAGATCATCGAGGTGGTGGAGCTGACCCTGCCGGAAGCCCAGCGCATGATCCAAAAGGGAGCCGTGAACAACAGCCCGCCCAGCTGTCTGATGGGCCTGATGTGGTTTTTCGCAAACCGGGCTCCCAGTGCCCGCGTCTAGATGACGCCTCGTCGCGTCTAGATGACACTCACCCGGATAAGCGGCGGCCGTGAAAGGAAGATAAAAGGAGGAGTAGCATCCGCAGTGTTGCCTTAGTAACTCGTATTCAAATAATTTCCAAAAAACCCCAGGGGATCTTAGTCTATCCCAAAACTAAATGAAATTCCGCGCCCTAAGACGCTCAATTTATGATATGTGTTATATATGTAATAAACCCTGGCCAGATGTCCGCTCATGAATTCGGTCAAGTCGACTAAGACGACTAAGACGACTCCCACCTCGGCAGCCAAGTGCATAAATCGTCTATAAATCAAAATGCCGCAAGTCGTTGCGGTTGCCGTGGCTGCTACGGCTGCTGCAGAAGCTCCAAACGGGTTCCGATCGCATCCGATGTGATCCCATCGCACCACATCCCCATGCCCAAACCCAAAACCCATACCCATTCCATCCAAACCCAAGCTGTGTGCCGTTTTTGGGCCTCTGCTGTCAGGCAGCGTGTTGCTGGGATCAGGTTACTTATTTATACACGGCCAGGGACTTTAGCTCCCAATGCCCGCTCCTGGTGCTCTTGGCTACAGCGAAAGAATTAAAATATTTGTAATTCATATTCATAGATTGCATTGAATTAAGTTCATATTATTATTTCCTATCAAATTTAGTCTGAAAAGACGAACCATAATCTCCTATTTAAATTAAACAGAGATTTTTGATTATTTTTGATCTTTAGTTTTGGAATAACCCGTTTCTTATCTAAAGTCCAATTACAGATTTATTTGCAGTGTACCTGCATAAATTCATCCTCCTGTCTTAGCATCAGCTCCCATCCATCCCAGGTTCAGCGGTCATGGCAAGTGGTGGTGGTGGTAGTGGTGGCGTGGAAATTTATTTACCTCAAAGCCATGATTTGGCAATATTTCAACATTGTAATAGAATTTCTTTCAGCCTTTTCAAACTTGACTTCCTTTTCGGCGGCCGGCCCCTGTCCGCTGTCCCAGATCCCCTGCCTCGAAAACTCCTGCCCCGGGAATCCCCTCCGCATGTGCGTGCATTCGATTCGCCGCTGATAATCAAGGCCGGTTCCCTGTGTTTGTCCGCTGTTCGCTTGCGTGTTAACCTCATGTAAATTATGGACCCGAGGCGGAGGCAGCAGCAGCATCAGAGTCAACAAAAATGCGAGTGTTGAAATTATATTTAATTTGCATATATGTTGGCAGACGGCCAGTGGTCGCAGGTAGTTCAGCAGCATCGTTCTCCGGCAAGAGATTTGAGGATGCAAATCAGTTGGGGGAGTTCCACGTGAAGCAGCATCAGGTGTGCTGTCCACAAGAGGGATTTGTCATGAGAGCCTGAGAGAAGAGTATATATACCAAGAGGTAACCGATTATCTAAGAAGGCAAATAAATATTAAATATATTTTTCAGAGTCTAGGGAGTCTTAAATTAAAGGCATAATTAATGAAATAGTTATTATTAGGAAGATATTACGCTATAATAATTATTTTCTGTTATCATCTAAGTTATCTTTTTGTTTGCAACTTGTGTAGATAAGACTTGAATATTGGGTTGATTACCCGAAGGCCAATATAAAACTAATCTACTTAGATAGGAAACCCAGGTAGACAAGAATTGCACAGAGCTTTTCCGAGATAAACTCTGTAATAACAAAAACTGAAAGAATAATAAGCCCTAATCTTAAGAAAATTCCTCCTAAATTATAATGTTCCTTAAATTAATTTAATTTGATTGCAAAGCCTCATAAGAACAAAACAAAAATATTTGTGGCAAAGTAGTCCCTTGGAAACTGTGATCACAGATCAAAACTAATGAATGAAAGCTGTTCTTTGCTGTTAATTTAGCATCAGTTGCTGCGTATCCCAGAGCGATTTCTTTTGATTTGTCTGGCGACAGTTCCAGCTTCCTCCTCATCCCACTGAGAGCTCATCTGTCGCCTGTCACCTGCTCCCGTTTGAAGTGGTTGCTCTGAGCTCCCCAAGGTGCAAATCGAAGCCAGTGGAGCCAACTGATTGCGTTTCTTTTACCTTTGCACATAGAACAAATGTGTGGAAATTATTTTGAAAATAATTATTATTATTGTTTGGGTGTGTTGAATTTGTTGAAGCGTATATAAAATATATTTAGGTTGAATCAAAGTTAAATGAAATCAAATGCGATGTTAGATATGTATGGTTATCAAAATAAGTGCAACTATTTATATTTTTTAAACTAATTTTTAATTTACTGAATGTAGAAATATTGTGGTCTGTTACCGTAGTAATCAGAGAGAAAAAAGTGAAGCTGTATTAAAAACGAGAAGCACTCTCGCTCGTATATTTCAGGCAAGTGTGGAAGAAGGAGTGGGCTCATATCGCATCACAAATTGTTTTCAGTGCATCTCAGTATCTTTGCCTTTTGGCTTTTGATAGTTGCGCAAAAGTCCAAAGTACAGAATTGCAATTATTTCATAATCACGTCCCAATTTATGTGCTGCCGGAGAAGCAGCGGCAGCGATAGGCCAGCGATTGCCATTTCGAATCAAAGCCTCTTTCTATTCCTGCGCCAACCCAACTGACCTCCAGTGCTCCGGACTGCGTCCATAGCGCTGAGAACCCAATCTCAAAATGGCGTCCGCACACGAACGGGAGCGAAAAGCCGCATGGGGAGGAGGGGGATGGGATGGCGGACCAAGATGGGGCTGGGAGGTGGATGGATGGTATTCTGGGATGGGAAGACGAAAGATCAAGAAATCGCGATCATGAGCTCTGGCTGTGCAGCTCGGTTTCCATGCGAAAATTAAGTGCAGTCTACCGACAATCATAACAACAACAAAAACAAAAAATTACCTGTAAAACAGTTATGTTTTTTTATCCCCCTGCTGTTGTTATTGTTGCTGTTGCTGCCGCTGCTGCTGCTGCTGCTGTGGAGCAATAATGAAATTTTTTATCGGATTTGATTATAAGTTGCCCAGGTCCACTACGGCGGCCACCCCGCGCCTCCTCGTAATCTGCCAATAAGAAGAAAAGTAAGCAAGGTAAGGCAGCACTGAAAGAAAAATTACAAAGAAATGTGCAATTTTAAGCTTTGATTTTTCCAAAAAGCTATCAAATAAAATTAAGGATTAAAATGGTCTTAAATAACTACTTAGTTCTTTAGGTGTGCCTGGAATAGGCGACTAATTAACACTTAAGCCATTTGTTTCGCAGTGTCTCGTTGCTGGTAGCTGCCTAGCAGGGAATGGCTCTTGGACTGGCTATTGGGGGGGCCTGAGGCCCCTGAGGAAAGGAGGAGATGCAGTGGCGTCGGTGGGGGCAGCAGCCGCAGCCGCTCATTGATTCCGCCTGCCGTCCGTCGACGGTCGTCCGTCGTGATGCACTTTAATGAAATGAAATCTTATACTATCATGAGGCGCATGAACGGCAGAGCCCGAACTGAGGCTGAGCTGAAGCTAAAGCCAAAAGCAAGCTGCAGTCCAAGTCCACTCAAAATGTATAATTATCTGGCGGTTTTATCCGTTTGCCAATATTAAATTTCTCATCACGCCCAGAGACCCAGAGCGCAGCCGGGGAGATAGAGAGAGAGAGAGGGGGAAATGCTGCTGCTGCTGCTGCTGCTGCTGTTCACCTGGGGTTCTTTTCAGGTGGCGGCCATCAGGTGGGGTAGCAAGGAGAAGCAGGGGGAAGGTGGAGGAGGGCATGTCCCGCTTCCTGGGCACGGGCGCCTTCAAACAATTAATAAAAGGCCAAATGTCTGCAATGAAATTTATGCGGCAGCCTCTGCCATCGAGTTATATATGGGCTTCGGATTTCGGATTTCAGATTTTCCTGTTGTGGCCGAAAAGGAAAAGGCTTCGCCTGGCTATACCGTTTTAATGCCCAGTTGTCGGACTTTCTAAAACCGAATGCGCCAGGTCGAGGGCTGCTCCATTGGGCGTTGTTCCTGCACCTTGCACTCCGATCCGCGATCTGCGGGATACACTCTGCAAGGTGCGGCGACATCCGACAGATTGGGCACAAGAACGCCAATAAATGTGTGTCAAGTGGCTGCCACCCAGCGCCTGTATAATTATAGTTATTAGCCCGATCGATTTGGTTTAGAGTTCATAATTAATGAAATTTTGTTGGCTTATCAAGTTCGTGTTCGAAGTCTTTCGTTTAGAGAGAAGTAGCGTGAGTAGAGACAAAGGCTCTATCTTGACATATAAACGTCCACAGAATAACGTCACGTAACCTTAAATTTGTAAAGCAAGCAGACACATATGAATAAATATAACCTTGTACGGACGATGACCTTTAACTATGAACCATTTCCCAGCATTTAAAGCGACCGATCGATCGACTTGTAAACACTGTCGTTGGCAGCCTGCACGTGTTGCAATTTTAATTGCCGTGCAAAGTGCTAACAAATATTTTTGGCCAAATGCGTATAATTGAAATTAAGTCATAAATGGCTTAAAAATGTCTGGCCAGCCTACCGACGACGACATGGCTGGCAAATATTAATGAAGCCTAGAGCCAAGTTGGGGCCAAATGGCGAAAAAATTTCACACTCCTTGCCTTGATTTATGACAGCCCAACATAGCGAGGAACAAGTGCGAAGCGAAGCAACAACCCAAGGCGCCTCCGTGGAAGGAAACCTGCCTCCAGTGGCTGCCAAACTGCTGCACCTGCTCCGCTGTTTTGCTTGAGTTGGCGGCTTTGCGGCTCTAATTACGCGCCAGATCTCTTTTGTATAAATTTCTCTTTCTTACCTGCTCTTACCTGGATCTTGTCTTCTCTTCGGACCGGCACTCTCTTAGGCACTCGTTAGAGCCCAGTTAGATGTGTGCTCCGCCCCATTTGAGCGGATGCGGAGAGACCCAAGATACCCAAGAGACCCAAAAGAAACCACTAAGCTCAGAGCATCGCAAAAAGTCGACAACGAAAGTGCCAAAATGGGGCGATGTGTATTTAGTTTCGCCCCTGGCTGTGGTTTGTTATAATTAATACCTTAACATGAACTCTGTGTCTGTCTGTTGGGGGAGGTGACTCATTTACAGCCTCACAGGCTGTGAGGTCTTAAATGGCGTAGATTGTTCGGCGGAATGAGCAGATCACTGCTATATGCAGTTAAGTATTTAGCTCGACTGTATTACCTTGTTATATAGCTTAACACCTGTCCTTTTCACCTTTTGGCTTATTTAAAAAACAAGAAAGGCTATCAACTTTGGGAAGCCAAAGTTTATATACCCTTGCAGTTAGCAATTAA